CTGGAGTATGTTGGTGGTTGACCGGCGTTGATGGTTTCTTCAGTGGTTTTGACGGTTAATGTTGGCGGTGGGTGTTGGCATTGGCGGTGGGTGTGGCGGTGGGTGTGGCGGTGGGTGTTGGCGTTTGTTGTTCTTTGTGAGTGTTTTGTTGGTTGTTGGTAGTGGTCGCAAAACAATCTAGTGATCCGAAGAGTTTGAAAAGTTTACAGTGACTATATGAACAACATATTTTTGTGAATTTTGAACAAAAGAGTCAGGCTGTTTTCCATAATTTCAAGTAATGAAAAAACTTTTTATCAATTATCTCGAAAGTACCACTGAATGTTTTCGAGAAGAATCATGCGTTTTTTCCATTTCAATTTTTCATACCATTGTTCTTTTTATCTGAAGAGGGTTCCTGGAAAGCTAATCGAAAATCGAAATTGTTTGATGCTATTTTCAGTCTACATTGATCAAATTCAGGCACTAGGGCTGTCTTATAGTTTATGCACAAAATACATGAATTTTCAAAGTTCTACACATTTTTCTGTTAATTCATTTTGAAAGAAATATGATCTTTATGAATCATTTACTGTTGAAACAAATTCTATCTTGAGTTGTTTTGAAAAATACGAACCGTGTTATATCAAATGTAGAATTGAACTTAAAGTAATGTAATTATATAAAGCTCTGTAATATCATTTGCTTTGTAATATCTCTCAATCATTATTTTTGATAATGACTTGCAATGATATGTCTTTTGGACGTGAGCATATTTTGACAGACAAATCATTATCGCTAAATTTTCTTGGAATCTTCAAAGACAGTCTGATGATGAACCTCATAAAAATTCCATATTTGTTTTACCTCTTGTTTCGAAATCGAAATAATCAAAAGGTAAGTCCTGGCTAATTATGAGATCGAACAAAAGATAATTTCTTGAAAAACCATCAAAGATGTAATCAGAGTACTGAAAAACACTTCTTTGCAGAGTAGTGAAAAGAACACTTTCGTATTTTTGGCTGATAATAACTGGCAATATTCCTTACTTGGGTGTTTAAAGATATAAAGATATTTAAAATTTTCTTTTTTCTTTTTCAGGTTTAGTTTTGCACTTCTATACTTTTCAACGGCTTTTTCAAGTGGCTTTCTCGCCTTAATGGCTACTGTCTAAATTAATATGCTCTAGTTTTTTAGTGTACAAAAACAGATCTTTGAGGCAATCATGGCTTGGTCACATGGCGAGTTTCTCGAAAGCAAAGAAAACTTAATCATAGCAAAACATTATTCTGAGAAGTTAAATCCAACAAATGAGTTAATTTTTTCATATGTAATGTAAAACATGGCATCTGAAACAAGCATAGAGAAATAAGTATCAAGACACAGTTAATCTTGTTTTCTTATTCTCTATTAGAATATTATAATTTCTATTTCACTCAGATATATCGACAAAACTTTTACATTTTAAAAACAATTTTTGTGCTCACATAGTTTGTCGTGACCTCTTTCCAAAAACCTTATAGGTACGTTAGGATCTATATTTGTGAAACAATTATATTTTATAGATATTCTCAAGTTTAATTTTGCATATATGAAAAAATTTTCTAAAATGATTCCATTTACTTTTCTTAAACTTAATGCTATTTTAAAATATTTTCTAGCATCATATATTCCAATTGTTAAAGATAGGATAGCTGAGCTTCCCATCTACATTACAGATGAGTTCCAAATCACCACTTGTCATCTTCAATCTACTCCTATATCTTTGATGTTTCGTAACAGTGGGGTAAGCTTAACACATTTAGAACTCTGACTGCCTTTAAAACAAATCAAATCTTCTCTAGAATTGTATCCGTTGAAATAACTTGATCTTTTCTTTAAAAATATAAATTTGGAACTGTATTTTGTAACAACATTTCAGTTCCAGAAAGAAACAAAGTGATTTGTTTTTTTACAATGCTGAACATAAAATAAGCCAATAATATTGTTTTTTACTAATATCTTATATCAACGATCATTTAAACATTAACGACCTGTAATCATCAACTAATTTTACATGTTCAGACCACAGATGATGTATATTAAATCTACCAAATTTAACAGCAACTTGCAAATTAAAAAGTCCACCAACAGAACTTATTTGAAGGAAAGCGGCGTTTTAATGATATATATGTATATATATATATATATGTAGAAATTTGTCTTTTGATACTTCCGTAGCACAGTGCTCAACACGTTAGCACGTAGAGAGTGATATATCATAAAGTTGAAGAAAATAAGACTACATGGTTTATCTCTACAAGCCTGTTTCGTGAGTAACTCACTCTTCAGGAGATGTTGAAATACTGGAATATTCCTCGAATAAATAGATAATACGGTACATTTCAGTTAAAATATACGCATGAGTTACTCACGAAACAGGCTTGTAGAGATAAACCATGTAGTCTTATTTTCTTCATATATATATGTCTGATGTTTACCAAAGCGTTTTAATGATATATGTATATCTGGCTATTTTTTACTTTTTAAAGCATGGAGTCAATACAATAAGATACATTTTCACTACTGTCATTATTCTGAACAATTAATTTGTTTTTATTAATTCAACCGTTTGCAGAGAAAGATTATCTTTCAGAATGCATGTATTTTCCAAAGAAATGTATCAGATGCAGCTGCAAGATCTGTCATTCTGGAAGCTTTGATATGTATAACGATGACCAATGCCCACCGGCCTGCTCCATAGTGCCGGATGCCGGTAGCAGAGCTTCTCGTGTTTTTTTTGTAGAAAAGGTTAAGTATTCATTATTTTAAAAAAACCATTTGGACTAACTTTACCTACTTGAATTAACTCAATCACCATACAACTCTGTATGATACATAGCTATGCTTTATTTATTCTTCAATGCATAGAATCATATGCTCACATGTTTTTATGAAGTTTAGAAGTCATTTCGCTTGTCTATCTATGTTTTATCATTTTCTTGATGTGTATTATTTTCTTAACAAACGTTCAGCTCTTCAGATACTTCAAGGAAAATTTTTGATTGCAATTTTAGGTTGAAATTGGGTGAGTGAATTAGTTTAATATTCAATAAAAGCTATTCCTATTGATTTTTATTTTATGTTTTCGCATCAAAATAGAAATTCAGGCTTGAATAACTTAATCATGTTTCATAGAGGTTATTTATCTGAGATAATTAACTCTTTCCAGGCCTGGACTAATGCCAACAAAAGAGGTGGATTTCATTTTTTAAAATTTTTCTTTTTTCAATAAAAAATTCTTTAAGTATCTTTTTTCAAACATTTGTATGTTTTTCTGAAAGTTACAGATATATCATGTTTTATAACGCTGTCAGTATCAAACAAAAATATTAGTTGAAATAACAAGGCCTGAAAATGGTAAGTAAATTTTTAAATGATCTTTTGTATGTATATCTTAAAAAAAAGGTCAACATGGTTGATGAAATGTAATATCAAAATATTGGAATATTCAAATTGGGGGAAACGCGCCAACTGTTAGAACAACAGAACCTTTTCTTGACATAAATCTTGCTAGTAAACTTATAATCTGTTCTAATAAATTGGCTAGTAAGATAATTTCAAAATCTATTGTGTTTTAATTTCTGTTATCCTTGCATGCTTTTTATGTTGATGATTATTGCAAAGACGTTTTTTAAGCAAACTGAATGTTCCATCTTGCAGGTCCCTTGTTTGAATTGCAACGTATTTATTTATACATGCTTTAAAAAAATTCAAAAATAGTTTTTCAGCATTTGTTTACAAGAGTTACAGTTGTGTTACGGAGAAAATTGGCTGTTTACAATTTCAAGTCGAATTGGTGAGTAATTGTAACAAATAAAGATTGCTTTTTGGTAGTGATTGTCATCCGCCTTCAAATGAAAATCAAACCTTCCCTTATAGCTATTTAACGGCTATTTAAGACCGTTTGTGCAGAAATTTAAACGTTTTTGTCAACAGAAAATAGCGACATTTGAATCATTGTCAAATCTGTTTCTTCACCATCGAGTCTTTGTAAACAATTTAATGTTAATAGCGCAAATGTAAGGATTTTCTGTCACAGCGAACAATAGTCTCTTCATCGCCCCCTTTTGATATTTTTATTGCTTACCTTTTGACTTCTCTAACCTTTTGACATTTGACTTCTCTAAATACAATAATATTACAATTCTTGTATGTTACTTTTTCCAGCTTTCAAAATTTATTATGCCTCTAAATAACTTGGGTGCAGTTAAAGATCAAAGGGTGCAGTTAAATTGCTTCTTTTTGTTCATTTACATAAATGATCTCTATCTTAGATGATTAAATGATGTTCGTTTGCATGTTACTTAAAAACATTTTCAAGAGGTTCGTTAATTCAAGGTAGCCTCTTACGTCCTTTCTGTCAAAATATTCAACACTTTTTTTAATTAATTTCTATATTTTAGGATCTCACAGTTTTCAAAGAAAGGAAGATACGAATGAGTAAAGCAAGTGAAAAGGAAAACATATTGGTCAGTACTTTCATATTTTGTTTTATAATTATTATTATCTTATTCGTTACCGATTGAAGATATTTTCCCATGAAGCTACGTGTTACATGAGGATATTCTCCCAACAAAGCAGCGAATGATGAAATTTTATCACTAGTTTATCACTGTAACTCTTTACATAGGCCAAAGGTTCTAAATTAGACATGAATCATTTTTAGATTACAAAAAGGACTTATAAGACTGTTGAGTTTTTCAAGTTTTGAGCGTGTTAACCTTGAATACTCAATTTCTCAATTATCTTTATTTTATTATTAACATTTAAGAAATTTATCTTGATACCACTTAAACATATACACTACTACATATTTACTTTACACATCAATCCTCTTGGAGTTTGCATGATTTACAAGCTAGTTATTCTTTTATTTGTTTTCAGATGTGACCTATATCTTTGAGAAAGTTTCGAAAAATTCCTCTTTCTTTATCCATTTTGTTTTGGAAAATTGTTTTAAACATGCAATTTTTAAGGGAAGCGGTAGGCCATACTCTCTTCTTAGTTCTGATGGAATTGAATAGAATGACTCGAAAGGCAGAAATTTTGGTTGAATTTTTGGACAAAAAAGGTTAAAGTTCTGGGTGAATGTTGAGTGAAGTTTTTGATAGTTTAAAAGGGGCTTTATTTTCTGCTTCAGATGTGTTTTTTCTTTTCTTTCTTTTTCTATTAGAAGCTTTTTGTTTTCGATATTTTTTCTTTTTTCCCAATAAATTTAGCTTTTCAGTTTATACCAATCAGGAAATTTTGATTGTAGGTTGGCAGGCTTGCTTTTGGTGAGAAGATTTTTCACGTTAAATCCAGCAGATATTGCATTATTGTGCGAATGTTACATGCTCAGTCAATATAACATTTAAATTTTCAAATATTATAGGAATGTTTTTGTTTGATAAAAACTTTCCTTGAATAATTTTGTTATGAAAGGATATTTTCTCGTAGCTAAAAACTTCATTGTGGCTATGACTGTAAAATATGATAAAGACGTCAAATTATGGCATCAGATCTACGGTGAGAATTTTTCAGTTTCAAATAATTTTTTGTTAGATTCTGAAACTAAAGAAATTACATAACAACTGTATATTCTTCAATGTTTGCCTGGAAAGAGAATCTTTACCTGGTGAAACAGTTCACAAATTGAATATGAGATCAAGGCGAAATGTCAGAGAGATAAAATTAATGAAATAATTCGATGATATCTAGCATACATTAAACGTGCAACAAATTCAGCCATTTTTATTCAAGGCAACCCTTTATCATTAGGTCAGAAATTTATTTAAATGCCTATTTCATTTATCTATGAACACTTGAGAACAAAAAAATCAGGAAAAATGTTTATATTCAGGTAGCTACGAGTTCATGCAGAAATTTGATTCACAGAGTATGAAGACCTTAGAATTATCTTTAATCTGAACTTTCTATTACGGGATGAATTCACGTTTTTGGGCTTTTTGGACCAAGCATTCTTTTGAGTGATTAGGAAAGTTTTAATCTAATAATTTTTACAAAAGATCTGTATTTCTAGCTTCAATTTGATCCAAAACATACTAATTCATTTGAAGAAAATTTTGGAACAACATAATTAATTCATTTGATATGCAAAATAAATACGAGCAGAAGATTTCAAACAACCAAATTTCAACCGATTCTTGGCCTTTGCTTTCACTGTTCAATCGATTTGGGTATTGGAGCAGTGTCGTTCGCTGGTGAGTTGAATGGGGTTGAAAAGTGTGGACAACGTTGGTTGATGGGGTCGGTTGATGGGTCAGTTGTTGATGAGTCAGTTGTTGATGGCGTAGGTTGATGGGGTCGGTTGATTGGATTGGTTGGATGTCTTGCTAGATGTATTTGTTTGGCATTTGACTGTGAAAGCATAGGTCAACTTATTCTTATAACACAAATTTTTATTTAACGATTCAAAACGCAAAGCTGACAAATTTCACTTCTGACATAAAAAGACTTAAAAATACCTTTAGTAAATTACTTTACGCGATTAAATCCATATATTTGAGCTTCAAGATAAGCCAGCTAAGGAGTTGGCAAAATTCGGTTTCTATTTGAATAGAAATTTGATTTCTTTAACCATTCAAGCTTAAAAAATAACTTTAAGCTATTTCGATATAAAATTGGTTGTTGATGCACTTGGAAAATTTCCAAGAGAATTAATTTTTGATGCACCACGCGGCCTACTTTGAATAATTGTGTTTTTTAAAGCAAACTACCCTTGGGTATGGAGCGCAAAATACTTAAGCACACTCTAAAAGATTTGCTATTCCATCGAATGAATAGAAATAAATTTTTAAAAGAAGCAAAATACTTTAACAAATAAATTAGCTTTCACATTTATTTTAAGATGAGAAGCACCCATCTAACTGAAGAAACTGTAAATGAGCAGAAAAGATGAAATAGAGCCTTAAACTTAGCAAGGGTAGAAGTTTGCTTGCATGGAGACCAAGGGTCTCTTGAGCATCAAAATTCAAAGAAATCCATGCGCTCATTGCCATACCAGTTTTAGGGCAACAGTACGATCACGACAAACTTGATTTGCTTCATCGCAAGAGCACTTCTGCAGTAAACAAGTCAACTTTGTTCCGAGCCAAATATTATAAACCTTGTTGAGAAGTAAAATGTTTGTGTCCTATTGAATTGCTATCTGGTTGGACAATTTACTTCGATATTGCTGGCTTTTGCATCCTTTTTCAGGTGATCAGCATAGGAAGTAGCAACCACGAGAAACGGGACCAAAGAATCGAGGATTTATTAACAGTTCATAGAGACTGAATTTGAAATGGTAGAATACGTTAGTAAATTACAGTTATTCAATTTCGGAAAATTCTCGCAATGTTGGAGATTGATGAACTAATTACCCTTTCCAAAAAAATGGAGAAATGTTCTCAAAAGTTGCTTGATATAAACATCTGCATATTTTAATGCTACGATCACCAATAAAGAAATTTAAGTACGTGATATAATGGAGCAAGCTACTTGTCGTAACGTAAGTCCATGATTTTTAAAAACATTGATGTTCCTCTAAAGAAAACATTTATGTTACTTTTGGATAATGCTACAAGGCCTCTGCTAGTTGTTTGCAATTTCCATTTATGCCCGTCCATAAGCCCATAGAGATTGACCCATAGAGTGTTTGATGAATTTTATCGATATTATTCCATCGATTCCCTGATTTTTACCCATACTTTCACTCACCAGAAAACCCCTAGAATTTTATCGCAAGATTGAAAAATCCCTAAATATCCGACAAGAAAGAATAGTTAATAGTTGGAAAACTTTGCTACTTTGAACAGTTCCCCTTTTGCGAGTTTAAACCTTCGTTGCCATTATTTCGTATTTTAAGATATAAGCAAGATGAATGGATGCGAGCAAGGGTCCTGTTCATGTCTATTTTTGGGATAAGCCATCTCATTTTGCAATTAACGTTAATTTGCAGTACGTACGTAGAATTTTCGTGTTTAAATAACTAAGTTGTTATTTATTCTAATTAATTTTTTGTAAGTAGTTTTAAGTAAACTCAGGAGACTGCTTTCAATGTTGCGTAGGGGTTTTAGCACGGTGTTTTAACGAAGGGTCAACATGGGGACATTTGTTCTCTTGTCGACTACTTTGCTTAAAACACCATGTCTAAAAAAACCCCTAACCTAACATTGAAAGGGTTTCTTGGCACGGTGTTTTAAGCAAAGAGTTAACAAGGGGGACTTCTTCTCCTTCTTGCTAACCCTTCGCTTAAAACACCATGCTGAGACAAATCCCGATTGAAAACAGTCTCCGAGGCATTCAGGTAGAACTTAGAATTGTACGTAGTGTAAAATTTTTTGAATGAAGAGGAGAAAATCGAACTGAATTGCTTTCTAACCCCCGTCCTAAAAACCACGGAAACGAGGCTAGTAGCCCCCGTAATTTGATGAAATCAAAACGAGGTCAAAATGGTGGAATTTGATTGGCTATTTAACAAAAGAAAGACAATTAACAAATGGAGAGCTGTGATTGGTCATTAAACAATAGAATTTTTGAAAGAACAAACAATGATTGGCCAAAAACACAATAAAAAATTGACCAAAATGAAGCGTTTGATTGGCTAGTTTACAAAAGAAAAACAATTAAAAATGGAGACCTGTGATTGGTCAAAGAACAAAAGAATTTTCGAAATAGCAGCTGGTGATTGGCTAATAATACAATGAAGCGCGGCCAAATACCGCCATCTTATTGGTTAAGAAACAATGGTGGCCCCCTGCGGCCAGAGGCTAATTAAAATCCATATATTGGCAAGTGACGGCCCTCGCCCGCAGCCACCAAAAAGGGCTCAAGTAAAGCAATTTGATTGGCTTAAAACAATGAGCTGTCAATCATTCGCGGCTCCTAGCCGCTGTTTACTTAGCCCTAACTTAAGGGCATATTGCTCTGAAAAAGACAATAGATCACGGAGGAAGTTTTTCACTTCCAAAAGAACATTAACCAAAGTTCAATAGAATTTTCAATAGAAATACGGGGGAATGTCTTATCAATTTCTATTGAAAGACTCACAAAGTGTTTTCAATGGCACAAAATAAATAGAATGTGCAAACAATATGAGTTTATCAGAAACAGGGGGAATACAATAGTTTTTTAAGCGAAAACAGTAATAAATTGGGAGAAATTCAATAAAATTTCAAGCGATAAAGAATAGAAAAACGGGGGGCAATTCAATAGAACTTCAGGTAAAAAACAATAGAAAAATCAGGGGAAATCAATAGAATTTCAAGTAAAATACAATAGAAAGAGAGGAGGCATTTCAATAGAATTTCAGGTAAAAAACAATTGAAAAACAGGAGGTAATTCAATAGAATTTCAAACAAAATACAATTGAAAAACAGGGGGGCCTTCAAATAGAAATTCAGGAAAAATACAATAAGAAACGGGGGACAATTTAATAGACTTTCAAGGGATATAAATGTAAAACGGGGGGAAATTCAATAGAAACTCAATTTAATAGAAGGTAAAATACAATAAAAAACGATGGACAAAAATAATAGAATTTCGGTCAAAGTAAAATAGAAAACAGGGGAATTCAAAGGAATTTCAATTGAAATATGATAGAAACAAAAATGCAAGTCAATAGAATCAAGTGGGGCGATTCAATGGAATTGCGGATCAAATAATTTAGAAGATTTGGTGGATGCTAAAGCCGGAACAAGGCTGTATGCAGCAGAAACATTGATCAAATTTGAAAGAACTCAGGTGGTCATACAAAGGGGAAATTGGGGGAGAATTCAAGGGATCAAATTCAAGCCACAAAGGTAAATAATACGCGTTTTGCGAACTAGTGAAAAGGAATAAGATAAACGTGGCCAATGAGAGAAGCAAAAGAAATCATACTGGAAGCCGATTTCAAGAGAAATATCAAAACATTCATGTCAAGTTACTTTAAATCTATAATTCCGAAGTACCAAAACCAACAAGTAACTTATAAAATTCTCAAATGCCATTATACCTTTGAAAATACAAGTCTTTCATTCGGTCATAGTGATCCGTCGTATTGTGGGTTGAGAAAATTTCAAATGCAAGAAGCCAAACACTTCGATATCTAACAAAGGAAGAGTTAAACCGTTTTAAAACATAATGTCCCTTTACACTTTTAGGAAAAATCAATGTAGTTGTCTGCTTCTATTCTGATCTTGGAAATACGAAAAGTTCGAGTTGTTGGCAAAATCGCGAGGTCGCTTGAAAGCGTATCCTAGCTGATGTGACAGTGACAGTAAATATTAGATGAAAATTTACTCTTATATTAAATAAGGCCGTCCATAGGAGACTTCGAAGGCTTACATCATATAAACATTGGAAAGATTAGGGCTTTTAATACCAACAGAAAGATCTTATCGTATACGAAATGTTTGGGCGTAAACTCAAAATGCGACACGTGGCTAGGCTGTGGTAAATCAGGACTGCTGTTTTCTGCAAAATAAAGGCATCAAAGAAGACCACCAACTAAAAAAATTGGCTGTACTTACATCAAGATATTGTGAATACTCCCTTAAAATCCGTTCGTAAAGTTCGGTGTTTTGAAACGACAGCATTTTGTTTTGAAACCCTAGCAAAAGTGGATAGTGTGAAATCCTTTTGTAAAAATTCTAAAGCGTTGTTTGACATTGAATAGAAAAGACCAAGATCGTCTTCAGAAAATTGAGCAGGCAACAGAAAAGATGATTGTCCTCGACAGATTCAACCTATTATTCATAAAAATGCCCGCAAATATTTGTAGGGGCTAATTTTAAGCAGAAAGCTATGACAAAATGATCTTGCCAAGTTATGAAAAATACTTTTGCATGCAGAGAAGATGTATGAACAAAATTTGAAATCTGCTTTATGAAAAGATTCATAAATATATGATACGAGGCATAAAAATCCCTCTGCAAGGGCGTGGAGACTTGTGGCCATTGGTCTACTGATTCTTTCCATTACAGGGTAATGCAACATTAAATGCACATACAAATGCAAGTCAAAGATAAAGGACCAATTTTAAATTGTCGGGTGGCCAAAAGCTTTTAGGAGATCAATTTATATCGTTAAGGTCAAAAGCTATCATCACATGCTTCTTTATAAAATATAATAGTTTCTGACACAAGAACGAAGCACTGAGAAAAAATTGCTTATTAAGGGTCTTCCTGGGATGGGAGAGGTATTTGTAACTTTGACTGTTTGTATTCAAGGAGACTTCCAAAAAATGCTGATTAATCAAAACATCACAAATCTGGCAGTAGTTTTAATCCATTACTTATGGATTCAAGTATCGTTCAGACACACCGCAAATACAAAGTCTTTATTATTTGTAAGTGTGGCTTTTGGAAGATTTATTTGATGAACGAATTGAACGAAGAGTATACTCGTCCTTCAAAATTTATCAGGTTGAGTTTTTGCTGAAAAAATATCTCGTCTTGAAAAATTTCTTCGATACAGCAGCGAGAAAGCATTTTCTTTAAAACTTTGCAGACTATTTCTTTAAATTCATGGTTGCATTTCTTACCAAAAAGTTTTAAGTACATTCATGAATTACTGACATTAAGGATATTTAAAGTTTTAAAATCCAGACACATGAATTTCCCCAGCAGCAAGCACTGAATCAGACATTTTTTTTCAAGACAGGTTTTTTCAAGAAACAATTTCTATGAATACCCTAATACAAAGCCATTGAAAATTACCAGTGCAAACAGTGCAGCAATTTTTACAAGATTTGATAAGAATGACTCAGTTGACTCACTACACTAGCTCTTATCTATAGCCTCCTCTCTGTTTATCTGTCTCGATTTGGATTTCGGTGTTGTTGGCGTAGCCCGTGATGTTCCACCTGACAATGCACGTGATAGCGTGACTGGCGTTCCAGGTAAAGATTCATTGTTATTATTTTTTTCTGGAAGCGATGACAAAGCTGATGCCGTCCGATATTCCGCAGTTGTGTCTTGAGAAGCACGCCGCGCCGTTCTCTCGAGTGCCCTGATTCTCTCTAAAGCTTCCTTAAGCTGTGTCTCTGCTGAGATGGCTCTTTCTTCTAGCATTTGAGCTCGTTCTTCAGTTTCACTAAAATAACGGATGAAGATCTGAATTATAACAGTTCGCAAGATTCCAAAAAGGCGATCACACGGCTGATCACAGTTCAGTGACATAAATAGCTTCACTAAACACACCCTGCCCCAACCCTGACTACACCCTCGCCATGCCATTCATTGATCTTAAAATCTTTGGCTTACTACCAGATGAAGGATTAGCTGTTTTCTAGAAACAAATTGTGTATTCAAATTATTATGCAATCTCGCCCTAATCGTTTCAAGCCTTTCGTCATAAGAAAGTCAATAATAGCAATTGTCAAGAAAACAAGCCACTAAATGTTAACTCAAATTGAGCCATATCGCAAAAAACCACATTCGTCCGAACGCATATTTACGATGAAGAAACCACTTACACTAGCTGTTCCTGCAGCTTTTCAATAGTTCCCAGAGCCTCTAGTGACGATTTATTCTCCAAAGCCAAATCTACAAAAAGAGGGCCAGGATGATTAAATGTTTAAAGAATTAAGTCACGAGTTAGCTTCAATTAACATTCATGACTGAGAAAGATAGACATAAATCCTATATGCGCATCACATCAATTCATCTTGCAACAAAAAACTTAAGAAATATCTATTTTGTTTTGTATCGCAGGAAGTACACCAAAGAACACAAGTTTCGTAGGAATATAACAGAACAATCAGAAAAGCGCGTATATCCCTAGTATGCAGGCTTTTCATTAATTTTTGAAGCAGAAGGCTCACAATTAAAAGTAGGCGTCCATGAATTTACTAACGTTTGTGCAGTTTTATTAAGTGAGGGTCAAAGTAGGCGGCGAAGTTTTGGTGAGTAAGCAGCGGACTTTCATCGGCTGCCGGCTTCAAATGAAATCTCTGAGCATGGTTCTCTCTGACTAACAAAAGTAGCTAATAATTCTAATTTATGCAATGTTATTCTAAAATATGCATAAATCACAACATTACAATATCTATTTAAAAAATTGTATTTCGAATTTATGCTCAATATTCACACAAGTTTTGCACGAAAAACTTTCTACGAATGTAGTTTCTGCTTATTTCAACCTTAAGATGATTCATGTTTTATTTAATGCTCATTACCCATTACCTTGCCTGCTTTTCATTGCTTTATAAACGAGCCAACATGTGTATTTTAAAATAAAATAATAATGTTCGTTGTTATATAATTATTCAGAATAAAATAGAAAAATATCAGATTTTTCAAATAATAGATAAACACTAGCCTACGTCACAGACGATGACAATTAAGGAGGAGATTGCTCCTTCATGATGCAGGCTAACTTACCTTGTGATACATTGCTTGTCATTTCCTGAAAACATATAAAATATTCAGGTCAGGGTTTAGTGAAAGAGCACATAAAAAGACATCTCAATTCGATGAGAAAATATTTTTCACATTAGGGAAAGGCTGTCATTTATATTAAAGCTTATAGTTGTGGGTTGACAAACGGTTTGGAGTAAAGAAAGTAGATGGGTAGAAAAGGTAGAAAAGAGCGTGACATAAAGAACTTGAAAAAACATAGAGAAGTTCGCTAGAAATAGAAAATGGAGCTGGCACCAGAGGGAAAAGAAAGGTAAAGAAATTGAGTGACAAGTAGGAAATCAGACAAAAGGATTGTCAAGGGCATAAAAGAATCAAAGCAAAGGATGCTAGCAAAGTCAGCAAAAATATCAAGATCGACTTTCACAAAAGCATAAAGAACTGATAGAATAGTATTTGGCTAGTGTGTAATACGAATGCCGAAAAGCGTAAGAAGTTGTGGGGTAACATCTTGAACATGGAAAAATAGCATAATAGACAGGCTTAGTGGCTCCATGAGCTGAAAAAAGAAGAGAGTAATATGAACATGGGAAGGCTGGAGATACCAGTGAAAGCAGTGACGTAGCCAGTCAAATAGCAGTGATCACGCCCTCCACTTCTTGATTAAACCTTTCAAAAAATTTGGGTGGGGTCAAATTTTGTCACATCCTACTTTCTTTGTCACGAACTAACGACTTTCTTTTCAAACATTGCTACACTGCTCACAGAACAGAAATATTTTATGGGCTGGAATGAAAAATATCCAGATAACCTTTGGTATATAAGCTATTTTTGTTACCTAGCTATTTTTATTAGCAAACGATTATCTTGTTACATCAAGAAATGAGTTCGAATCATAGCTGTAAGACTGTTTTGGTTTGTTGGTCAATTATTATTGAAGGTGTTACAAGCAGTAAAGAGAATTGTAGGAAAGAGATTAAAGAAAAACTGCAGTAGTTTAATAGATTAAGATAGTTAAGTTTAATAATATATCTGTTCTCCTTATTTCTTTCCTTTTTAAATAAAAGTATATTAGAAAAGTTTTGAGATAAGCTCAAATTTGTCAATAAAATTGCAAATCAAATGAAATTTAAGGACAGCTTTTGGAAACAATTTACAAAACCGTCATGATAACAATTTATTCAAAGTATATTAAAAATATTGTAACTGATTAACGAGCATAATAGCACAGGAAGATGAATAAAATCAATAGTCTAATAAAAATAAAATGTCAGCTTCTAGTCATTCAGTTTATTTGGCATTAAGAAAATGACACTAAGGATGGATGCAAAGTATATTCTGTAAAGTTGGATTGAATAGAAATCAACGGTATGAAATAATTAGGCCCAGTCACTAAATCAAAGTTTGCACACGTGAAAAAAATATCAAAATGATGAGAATTGATTCTCAGCAATTCTAGCAAACTAGAGATTTAAAATAGAGCATTTGATCGTGTACATCTGCAAAAACGTAAAAAATGTAAGGCAAAACATGATTATTCAATAGCCTTTTGGAAAAGATAATCGACAAAAAATTCAAGAATAACTTGAAGCAAGTATAGACATGCTCGATTAACCGGCAGCTCAGTAATTTTCCACCTGATAGGAAACAAGCCTCTTTAAAGGACTGAATTCATGCAAGGTTTGTATTAAAAGCGTAAGACATGGCTTTAAATTATAGGGTAGAATGAGAAATTTTGTGGAACTGCCAATTAATAAGTGGATGTGTAAACCACATTGTCAGAGAGGTGAATTGGAAATGATATGGGAAATATGATCTAGAAAGAAAGGAAAGTGATATTAGTTTACTTCAGGGGGTATAACTGGAAATGAAAAAGTAAAACTGCTTTGTTCGTGTGAATATTCGGTGTATCAAATCAATCAAGGCAAAAAACATAACAATCCCTAAATTATCATTAAGTTCTTGTTTGAAAGGTATGTATTATTTATCAGCCTTTGCCTGGCAGTGCATTGTATATTTTTACAGCATTGTAGTAGAAACCCTTTAATCTGCTCAGATGATAACACTTGAAACACGAAACAACGCTTTTTTCACAAGAGATTTCACAAGGTTCAGGAATATACTATGAAATCTGGATACTCTCATTGATTTCGGAGTACTTACATTTGAAATTGCAGCTATATCTAGAACTTTAACTTTGACATTATCATCTTCACCTATAACATGCATTTGAATAGAATCATCATTAAGCTTTGTTGATTCTGGTGAATGTTCTCTGCCTTGATCTTCGACAACTTCCTTTTCGTGGACTGCTTCGGTTTTTGCTTCAATCAATGTTGCTGGCAATGCCGTTTTCTCCTCCTTCCTCTCAGCATTATCTCTATCTTGAGGTCGCGAAGAGAAGTCACTATTGACCTGCTGTTCCTTGTCAATAAAAGAGACGATTTGTCATTTTAAGATCATGGTTGAAAATCTGACACATATCACTTAATGGCCACGCGAGCGATGTTCAAGCAGGAGAAAGAAAAAAGCAGGTCCCAACAGATTATTTCTTTCATTTGTACAGGGTAAAAGATTTTTCAGCCGAAGATATCAACTTTGATAATCTTATGAAATTTACCCGGACCAATGAATTTTGTTATTATTATAGATATGTCAATTACCCAGATACTGTCTACTTCGAGTCATTTTGTCTCAATCCCTCTTTGCTCTGCATTTTTGAATCGGGTTCAAGCTTGGCTGGCACTAACATTATTTAAGACTCTACAGCGTAAAAGCAATCACCCAGATTAAGATTTTCTAGTGTAAAAGCACTAACCCAGATTAAGGTTTTACAGTAAACAGGCACCTACCCTGACAAAGGTTTTACAGCGTAACAAAACTAACCCAGATTAAGGTTTTACAGCGTAAAAAAACTAACCCAGATTAAGGTTTTACAGTGTAAAACCACTAACCCAGATTAAAGTTTTACAGTAAAAAGGCACCAACCCTGACAAAGGTTTTACAGCGTAAAAAAACTAACCCAGATTGAGGTTTTACAGCGTAAAAAAACTAACCCAGATTGAGGTTTTACAGCGTAAAAAAACTAACCCAGATTAAGGTTTTACAGTGTAAAACCACTAACCCAGATTAAGGTTTTACAGTAAAAAGGCACTAACCCTGACAAAGGTTTTACAGCGTAAAAAAACTAACCAAGATTAAGGTTTTACAGTAAAAAGGCACCTACCCTGACAAAGGTATTACAGCGCAAAGAAACCAACCCAGATTAAGGTTTTACAGTGTAAAAGCCTAATCAAGATTAAGGTTTTACAGTGTAAAAGCCTAATCAAGATTAAGGTTTAACAGTATAAGCAATGACCCAGATTAAGATTTTATAGCGTTAAGGCATTAGTTTGGATTTGACCATGATATGTCAACCCTCTTTCGGAGTGTGTCGAGTTTTGCTTCTACCCAGGTGAAAGTTCTTAATCAACAGTGCATGAACTACAAAAAATTTTATTTGCACCTTCATTCAATTCATACTTCTTGAATACAAGAGAGATGAAAGCTAAGCTCATTTGGGCACTAATTGTGACTTGAGACAAAGGTAAAAGTAGACGAATCAAACGCAGCAAATATGGCTGCTCATGAGAGGATCACGTGGCTATTGCTTCGATCGAAATCCAAGCCTATGGAAGGTTCGATATTTTCTCTCGATAAACCTTATATTTTTCACGTCTGCTTTTTCTCAGTTATCAAAAGTCTAAAATTTGTAAAAGAAAAACAGGGAGAATGCAAACTAAAAATTCGACAGACTGCCAATCAACCGTTTTTTAACTTCATGCATTCATTCGAAGGTATGAAACCTGAAGTTATGGGAATATGAATTTTTTGGTTCGTATCAATTCACTCGATATGTTTCCTGAGTCAAACACTATAAAACAAATTTTGGAAAACACTTTCAAGGAAGGATACATAAGTCCTTTATCATAGATAAAGGGAGGCATCATTGAAAAAAGATGAAAAATTGTTTATGAAATATTTAAAGATGAAGGCACAACAACATAAAAACAAGTTAATTTAAGTTGATTTGCAACTTGAATCTGAAACACTTTCAAACCTTGGCAAAAGCCTGCCCAGAGTTCCCACTCTCTTCGACAGACTTTCCGTTTTCACTTTCATCTTCAATTTTTTCCTCTTGTATTACGTCACCAGAAAATTCTTCCACCAATAAAATTGCAGTTTTGATCCATCCATCACACTCAGACTTGCAATGAAAGTAATGTAATATATCAACACAGATTTGATTATAAAATGGTCAGACAAGGAAATTAAAGCAACGAAGAAGCATTATTTTTATAATGGGTTCACTAGACACTTGTGGATAACAATGGCAGTGACAAAAACATATAACAATACCCTGTGATTGTGTATACATTTCTTTAAACAGAATGATATTATTACAATGCATATGTCCTGTAATAGGGACCTGAACATGACCACTGCTTTCGCCGAGCTGCACCCGTATTTCCTTGCATGACATCATATTGTTGGAAATTTCACGTTTTCTTGGTCCTTAGCTACCCTATAGAAAGCAAAGAGCCAACGCACATCAAAACAGCTTCGTGATAGGCTCTACATACCTTTAATTTCTTTAGATCCTTTGCTTCAACCTCTGCCATTTCCGTACCTATATCATGCCGTCTCTGAAAATCATTATTTACAATTCCGTTGCAGCAGGTGTACAGGTTCCCTGAAAGTTGTCTCAGTAACCTAAACAGCAATTGACCTCTCTCTTGAATTTCCTCAGTTGTCGACTCTGATATGATAGCAGCACCGATTCCAATGTTTACATCTTCGTCTGAAAAAAGGTCTTCTTCAAGATCAGGAGCCAAACGGAGCAGCACGGTGACAATCCAACGCACCATTTTTGAATGACAGTTTGAAACCTATTCAAAATACGTGATTTTCAGCAAAAGCAGATATACTGTTTCCTAAGGGCAATCTTAAATGGTAACGTACTTTTTTCAGGGCAGCTACTTGAGTCAAATGAACCTTATCATACCTAAAAATTATCAAAAGTGAAATCAGCACTCCTTTGACCGACTAATTCAATGACTGTTTTAAAGTCTGCATTATGGATCCTGTAGCATTTTTCGAAATTGATACATCGTCGAATAAATTTAAAAAGAAAGCCCACTGAAAAACTGATAAAAGTTATTTATACATCAGTTGAATCCTATCTTCCTAATTATTACTCAGTATAGCTTGCTATAGAAAATGTTTGGCTACAAAAAATCGTTAGAGATCGGTGCTACTGAACCTCTTATTTATAGCTAAGATGACATTTGTGTCCAAATTCAATTTTGGCAAATAAAACAACAAATTGGCATTGAGATTTGTTGGCTGGAACAGGACGATTCTTAGTTGCAACTTCCAGTTTCACACTTAATGCAATCGTTAGAAAACCGTAATAATCATGATTTTCAGAGTTGCAATTTAGAGTAGTCCTATTCTACACAAAAAGCAAAGCATATACAGCTCGCCTCTCTACAGTTTCGAGCACTATATGACAGACCGATAAACATTAAGCATCAGTAATGAATTTGAATGACAATTTCAAGCCTTTTTTAAGAATTGCTCATTCTAAAACACGCAAACAAGGACCCCTTTCAGATAGCAATATGTTCACATCAATGTTGTTAGGACTGTGAAGACTTTCGAATACGTGTCATAGAAATTACATGAACACGAAAGAAATAACAAAAAATCAGGCTTTGATAAGAGCTTTATGAATTCATACAGTTTTCAACTCACATGGTCTAGAATACTGGCATCGGCATTTTCGACAGATTTTGAAGTGTCTTTTAACCACTTGTATGCAGATTTACTGAGGATTTGCAGATCAACGTCATCATGACCAAGAAGCTGATCGTGTGACTTGTCATCAGGTGTTTCTTTTCTAGGATGAACCAACTCAACCAACTCCGTTAGGAGGTCAGGCCACTCACTCTGAAGAAAGTCGGCAAGCCTCACCCATTCGGGGTCGAGCAAAGTTTCGTAGCCATGTGAAAATCCATTCAGCTTGTTACCACTAAAAACAAAACAAAGCAAAAATATTGAATTCATATTCAGATGCCTAAAGAAAGAGAATTTAGGAATAGTAAATTGTCGTATACTCAAGAACTTCTGCAAAATACTTCAAATGCCTGTCTCATCTTAAAATATTTTGAAATATAGAATGGTAGTATGAAACACCAAGCAAACAGCTGTGTTAAAGACACAATAAAAAATAGTTTTCTTTTAGCCGGTTTAAGTCGAATCTCGACAAATGGGAAACTGTAAATGGCAGAATAAAATATTTTTAGTCCAGCAAGTCTTCGAATAAGCCCCCATTTTCAAATAAGCCACCCCTCAAATAAGCCCAATTTAAGTACAATTTGTGAAACAAGGTCCCACCCTTGAATATGAAAAAATACCCCAAACTATTTCTAAATTCTATGCCGCCAAAAATGTCTCTTGCCAACTTTACATGCATGAATGACGTTATGTCGAGCTAGCATAATAGCATTATGTCGCCAGTGAAAAAACAATCTTATCTCCTTTTGTCTATTTTTTAAACTTGAAATGTACTTATACAAAGTTTTGTAAAGTTTTTCAACATCAGAGTGTTTGTATGTAATGGAAATTAAAATCAATCAATGAGACCAACTGCTTTTCATCGAAAACTCTTTTTAACCGGAAGGGTCGGCATCTATCCCCTAGTACAGAAACGAACAAAGTCCCTAAAAGTATCAAAAAGTTGAGCGGTGTCACCATCCCAGCGATTCAACTGGCTTCATCGGAGACCATACCAAAAAGAACAATGATGTTTCGGGAATGAATTCTTAACATGACACAACGATGCATTAAATTAAGTCAGTTATGTACTGCTACTAATTAATGATGTTAGTTGCGTATTGTAAATAATACTTGATAATTTGTCGATAAAAGTGAAGATAATGGTTTGTTTTTTAAACTTATTGTGGTTTGGTAAATAAGAATCTCTGCCAGGCATCTGGTAGCTTTGAAAAACAAAGTCTCGATAACTGCCGGCTGACATAAAGATTTGTGCATTTGAAAGTGTTATTTGAAGGCAATTTTTAGGATGAAACGCTAAAACGAAACTGATGAAACTGAAATTGCTTGATTCATGCTGGTAAAACAGCTAATTACAGTTGTAGCTTATATGTTGGACCATAAGTTTGCTGCAAGTTAAATTTTTGCTACAAATTTTGCTGCATTATATTTCAACGGTTATATTTGAGATGGTACTTACAGGCCATCGAGCACATTGATCAAATGAATAAGTCCTTTTGCGAGACCATTTTCACCAGTCATTCTCAATCTTAAACTTTTGTGCAACTTTTCAACCTGCTGATTTAACACAAGCATTGCTTCATGTTCTGGTCTTCTAGTATTTTTTACCATCGGGTGTCTCTGGAAGATTTTCAAAGCAACTTCACTCCAGCTATCCATGAATCTATTCATTTTGACCAGGTCATCTTCACTTGATAATAAAACATCCCCTGAAAACCTTTCTACTTCCGAATTGAAAACTTCTTCCCACCGTTTCATGTCTTCGTGCAGCTTGGTGACGACATCTTTCTCCGGAGGATGTACTGTCCCCTCGTCTGGGGTAACAACCCTAGCAAACTGCCTTCCCCAATATGCCACTTGTTTACTCACATAATTCAGTTTTCGGTATGTCTCCTGTTCACACTTGATCAACTTGCTATCAAAACTTTCCGCTATCTCCTGCCAGCTCTGAACGAATTTAGTCAACTCCTGCAGGTGAGCTGAGTCAATGTCGCTTAGTAATATTGCAAAATGGCCTGAAAGCTTGTACCAGGCCTTTTCATGTAAATGAAGTCGCTTTGCCGTCTTTAAGCTGTGCTTTTGGGCAACTTTGAGAGATAATGTGTAAGAAGCACCAGCCCACAAATCACGTTCACCTATCAGTTTGGCTAGAATTAGAAACAAAATACTACATCATCATTACTGCATATAAAAAGATTTTAAAATCTAATAACCAATAAAAAGCTATATAAAAGTTACTTTACGTTGACTATAAGCCATCTGAAACATGTTAGCAAGTGACACATTTTCTTTGAATCTACTAACATAGCCATTCATGAAATTAAAATAAATTTAAGAAGTTTTCTTAAGCCAAGGACGGTTACAACCAATTCATCAATTTAGGTTCTCACCAGCATACAAGCAAAAACAGACTTGGTCGAAAAACAGATATCAACGTAAGATAAAGAATAAGAAGAAAACGTCTAGAATGCTAGGCAATTGTGTTTTGTCGCAGGCAACAATAAGATGGTATGCGTCTATAATCCAGATCTGCATACAGAACTTGGACGTTGGCTAATTACAAAGCCGGACTAAGTTCCGATCGCATTGCAATCAACGTTGCTACTAAATAACACCATTTCACAACGGTCTAAAGCCGTAAGTGGGTTATGTTTGAAATAAAACCATACATATTTGAAACTCCAGCCTTTTTCTCTGCAGTTCATAAAGCTCGTGATACTCTGCTAATAGACTTGCGTTCTTCTCCGATTCTTTTAAAGCAGCGTTCAGCTCATTTTGTGTTTCTACCGCCTGCTTTGTGACTTCCCTATCGTGCTCCTGTACAACGTCAAGCTCTCTGTGGAACAATAATAGATTAAACAATTTTATTGCAACGTAATAGGGTTTTTTACAGCAGCAAGTTGAGATACACGTTTGTCGTTAGCATCAATACAGCATCAAGAAAAAAACAACTTTAATCTAGCGAGTTAGCAAAAATGTTGCATTGATAGGGATTGGAATGTATATGCTTAATCCCATATAAAGCTAAAGAATTCAATCAAAATACTCTGAATTCATAATCAATAAACAAAGCTGGAGATTTAAATTGGAAAACACATATGAGATTGGCACCCCATTTACCCTGGGTACCAGAGCCGCAAAAATTAAAATTAAAAAATAATGAGAGCTGCGGAGGCGAAGGAGAGAGAAGAGAGAAGAAGAAAAGCGGTTTTCTTCTTCTCTCTTCTCTCTCCTTTGCCTCCGCAGCTCTCATTATTTTTTAATTTTAATTTTTGCGGCTCTGGTACCCAGGGTACACCCCATTATGAACTCAGGTCCACCTACAACTAATTTTTTTTAAGTCCTGGGAGCCCTTGAGATTGGTCTTAAATTGCTTTCGTTAACCGGAGGCCCTTACATACTTCAAAACATCTCAAGCCAGTTTAAATCTTCATACATAGGTCAATTTGTGAAGAATTAGTTTTTTTGCTCACATATTGAATTTAGTACTTCCAAACACACCTTCCGGGCGTATGCATTTTAGAGTACCCATGAGCACAGGCCATTGCCAAAAGTGAAAGTGCGAACCGTTTCAATCAGATCTCTATGGCGAATCATCAGGTCCCCCTGCAAAAATGATCTAACTAAACAAGAGATTCGGAAATGGGAAAAGCTGAAAGTAACGAATCTTACCGTGTCAGCAACGTTATTGAAGTTTTAAATCTTGTCAGTTCTTCGGTAAGTCGCCGATCCAGTGCTCTTTGTGCAAGGACCTCTTCGTGCAAGCTTGGAATTAAAAATACAAGGCTCACAGACTTATTAGAAATTTAATTCTTATATTTGAAAATTTAACTCTCATTACAACTCCTGTTTCTAGAGATATCCCGAAAAATACACAATAAGCTTTAAAAACAAAAAAGAACTGTTTCAAAAGAGAATAAAAATGTCAACTCTTGAGGGACTGTCTACAAATGCTATGTTGATATATTTTCATAAATTGATTTCTTCATGACAGTGAAATATTTGGCAACCTTAATTTCCGTTAGACCGACCAGAAATCAAAGTTAAAGTTGGCAGGAATGCTGGCAACTTTCTCTAATATTTTTTTTCTCTTTTGACCCGTATTTCCTCTAAAAAACACTCGATGGTTACAAGGGGGGGGGGGCTTTTTTCGAAGAAGGCGCTTTTTGAACGGGTGGGTGCTTTTAGAGAATATACGGTAATCAATAAACAAATATCTCAAATCAACCAATTCACCGATCAATTAATCTCTTTACTCCAAACAACGAATCAGACTGTTTTTCAAATAAAATCTAGCGCATAGGCTTTACCAACACCCCTCTCCTGACACGGTCTTGTATGAAAAACAACAGATATCTCTACCTTTTGACATGACGAGGCACCTTGTCCAGGAGACTGGCATATCGTTTTCGAAGATCAGCGAGCAGCTCCCCTCTTTCAACACATTCAATACTAACTTGCCGAATCACCTCATTAAAAACCAAGTTGTAAATATTCTGTTCTTGTTTGACCAGGTCTAACAGAGAATGAATCTGTTGAAACAGAAACACAAAACTGTGACATGTCATCCAACCACTGCCGTTATAAAACGAGAGTAAAACATAAACTTGTGATGTTTTGTAACATCAAAAATAGATGTGATAAAACTTTATTATATATGCTAATCAATTTTTAAAAAAACCTCCTTTTAAAGAAATTTTAATTTTATCAGACAAAAGGTAGCAATACTTTACCTGTGTAGGCTGATCTTTATCTTTCTTAATTTCTTCCACACCAACACGTTGAAGCAACTCGTTCATTGTTTTCTAACAAAGTATTAAAGTTTGTGAAGTTTAGTTAAAATACTAAGGTAAAGTGCATTAATGATCAATCAAGTATGGGGTGCAATTGTTCTTGTTTGATCATGCTAAACGATACAGATATTCTTGTCAGCAATTTGCAAACAACTTGAATAAATTTGAAATATTTTATTTTGTAAAATATACATGTAAACGATAAACATTTGATTAAACAATTAAATAACTAACTTTGAGCAAAACAGCCTCTTGTCTTCCTGAGGGCTTCCTGGGAAAGATATAAAGCCGCAATTTAATCGTTTGGAAAAGTAAATTGTTAGAGATTGAAGAAAATGATTATTTTAAACTATTACAACGTTTCAATATCTCATAAGAAATCTGATAATGTTTTAATGGTTTACCAAATAAAAATTTTTCTAAAATTGCTATGGTGATTGATTCCAATAATTCAGAATAATTCTTACATTTTAAAAACCATCCTGTAAGGGAGAGAGCCAGGGGTGTAGTGTTTCTAAAAATAACAAGGGGGAATCTTGCGCAAATTGCTGCGAAAAGCAATAGCAAAAGTAGAAGTTGGCTACATTCTGGCATTAACAAGGAGGGCTCAGCCCCCCCCCCCCTAGCACTAGAACCCTGGAGAGAACTCATGGAAATTGAAATAAAGCTCTAGCAGCATATTTTGACAAGAAGAGGAAAAGAATAAAACAACAGCAAAGATTTAAATCGACAAAAATAGAGAACTGATAATAGCATTAATAACTAAAGATAAAACCAGAGACATTTATCGCAGTTCTTGAAGCGAATATCATTAGATTAACAGTGAACGCCAGCATGGAATTTTACCATATCAGTACAATTGTACATTATCAATATTTAAATCATTCTAAATATGGAATAAATTCTAAAAGGTTTATTCAAAGAAACATTTGGCTTACATAGAAGGAAACAGTGTAAGATGTTTCTCGTGATTATCCATTGTAGTTGTAAATTTCCTGAAAATAATACATTATATGAAAATAATAGTAACTTGATAATGATATGAAAAATGGTAGGTAATTGTTTGTGAAACAAGTAAGTAGGACTTCCCACTATTCTGATAACATTCGGAACATTTCAATTCAATAATCTTACTGTTTTGCTATATTACTGAAAAATAAATGCATTGATAAGACAAACAACTACTTTTTTAATGATAAGATAAGATAAACATGTAAAATAAAATTTGATTATTGAAAATCAGTCACTAAATTTTGGATTTGTCTGTCTGGGACAAACGTCCCGTCGAGATTGGAGGCTTAATTGAAACACGAGAGGCTTATTTGAGAGGGGAAATAAGAGAGATGAAGATTAAATGCTTTTTTGGTAAATCAATTTTTAGAACTTTTTGATTTCAACTATACAATGTGGAAGCAAAACATGGATAACCTTCAAATAAGCCAAATGAATAAATCATATGGCAAGTAGAAGATGAGAATTTTACCAAAAATTAATGTTAGTTTACCTTGGTTTTGTGATACTGAACAAAGACCAAATTGCAATAACTTTTCAGGAAATAAGCCTATGTAGTAACATCTAAGACACGTTTAGAGGTAATCAACTGTTGTTCTTCAAGAGACGGCCTATGTTTTAACGTTTATGCAGATACTCTGATTCCAATTTAAACTTTCTGAGAAAGTATATCTAAATGACACCAATGAATAAACATCGTTGAAAAAGACAAACCCTTCATGAATTTCTAGGCCCATTACGCCAGGATTCTTAACAATATGGAATTCGGTTGGCACTAATGTCTCCGGAATAAGAGATCCATCCTGCAGTGAAAAGTAGAGCCAGTTTAATTAACCAGTAGAGTGCAGTGTAAAATAAAAACGACACAAGCGTTATCAAAATAAGACAAGAGTGTCTTTTATAAGATAAGAATGTCTTAGAATTCACCATTTAGAATGGCGGAAAATGCAAATCAGAGATATTTGGATTCTAACTCGATGTTGGCTAGCATTCTTTGATAAAAAGTATTCCATTAAAAGTCTTTGACCACATTGAGATGACAATAGTACAGTCATAAAAAGAGCAAATATGTGACAAGTATTGCCAGTTTTTGGTATTTATAAACATTTTAAAATCCTAAAAAAACATGAACCTTGTAACATATTAACTGAAGAATTTACCTCATGCCTTCTTGGGGACGAAACCCTACCCCCACCCCCTCTCTCCTTGTTTCTACAGCCGGAAACTCCGGCAAGGAAAAAAATCAAACAAAAGCCTTCATAGAAGAAAAAAAATCTTTAAAAATTCCCATGAATTACTGAGAGAACACTTAATATTATGTTTTCTTTTCACCAAAATGTGTCAGCGATCATATTATTTAAATTGTGTACCAAGCTCGCTGGAACCGGGTTACATTCGCACATAGATCTTATGATCCTATGTCATAAGTATTTTCAAAACAAGAAACAAGACATTACTACTGCAGATGCCCTCACACATGATGGACAACTTGTTACTGTATCCATGGACAATAAAAATATGTATCTTTTCTTTACAGGATTTTAAAGCTTGGTGAGCCAGTAGATTGACTGTAAAACAGAAAGCGGGACTTGGTCAGAAAATTGAAAAAAACGCCTTTTCTCTGCTTATGTCATCTTATACATATATATATGCCCAGCTTTTTGCAAGCATTCCTTGATGTTACCATTTCCACTGCAGACGGAAAGGGTCTCGAACTCCAGCTGGGAGCCAAAGTATCCAAATCGTTGACAACTTGGGTCGCTTTACTTGGCATAAAAGCTATTTCCACAAAAATATTTGATAGCAAAACCCTCAACAACATTAAATGTCATTATTCAAATCATGAATTCAAGAAAATATATGGATAATAGCCGGTGTATTTGGTCGCCCTCATGAAAGAATTTCAGATTACTTTTGATGTAAATCAATTTTATAATTGTACCCAAATAAGGATAAGTTCAAAGTGTCCATTATTTAGGGCAAAAATTTCAGCGCCGTGCACTCATACTCACTAGCTGAACAAACATGTTCCGGAGGTCAATTTATTGTCTTCTAATTAAGGCCAAATCTCATCAACAAACCTTTTCAATGTAACCAATCGATTTAAAGTTAGTCTTTTTTCCATTTCAGCCCTAACATTGACATAAATGATTTGCGCTATAGAGCGCAAACGATTCTTACAGATATTAGTGCCCCCCTTAGATCTATAGGCCCGGTGACAGCTCTTTGTGTCCAGCCCTTTTTGGTGTCCCTGTAGGGAATCAGAGACAATGATTAAGGACAATGATTGGGTACTGGCAGCACGGATTTAAGATGATCATACAGTGCAAAAAGGAATTGGGAATGCTTTTCTGGATTTGAAACAAAATCAATCAAAACATTACCTTTGATGCAACTTGAGTGGCTTCCCTGTCCGATTCCTGTTTCGATGGCTCATCTTTGTTTGTTACTGGAGTAGAAAAAGTACCTTCGTTCTTCACTTTTTGTTTGTCTGGGCTTCCTTTTGGTTTGGTGTTTGCTGTATTCTTTTTGTCAGGCAGAGCATCATAAAGAAATGATATGTCCCTATGGAAAAATACAGCAGTTCACACGGGTACCGTCCTAAAAATTTAGGAAGTGGCCTGTAGGAAATTTCTAGAAGCCTAGGACCACACCCATAACCGCGCCCTTTATAATTGCATTTGTGTTAAAAGTTCGCTATTCATGGACACAAAAAGATTGATAGGAAATTGCTCATTTACAGTAAACCTTAATGACACAGGATTAGTGCACATTTTAAAGTATAGTGAGGGGTGGGGGGGGGGTGGGTCCCCGTTTTAGTTGGACTCAATTTAGAAGGCTGATATTGGCCTTTCATTAAGGCGAATTTCACCTAAAAGAATTTCTACGATCCTAAATAGAAATCATTTCAACTGAATTACATCGAACTTTAAAGCAATAATAACTAGCATGCTACCTTTGATAAAAGTGAATATTTAATCCAATCCTCAAGTATGTGATATTTTTTCTTCTTTCATTTAAAGTTGGTACACTTTCCAGCTATGCATACTAAGCTTATTTAAACCAAATAGTTTAAATTACCAACGCTAAATATAATGTAAATAAAATATAACCGATATTGCAAAAGTATTTCTTGCAAAGATTACAAGTACAATTGAACGATGTAAATTCTGAGATTTTTTCTTCAATATTTGTAAAGTAGGGGAGTACTTTTTTTCGTTTGAAATTGAGTTCCATATTTGCCTACATCTGCATGGTACAGTATTAAATCCATATATTTTGTAATGTGGCTCCGCTGTTTTAAATTGGAAGTTTCTCAAGTAATATGAGCATTCATTAATGGAAAATATTTCATCGATAAAAGGTGGATTCAAACCGTTATAAGTTTTATAAATTTCTATCGTGAGATATTGTGAATTTTTCTTATGTAGGAACATGGTTATATTTAGGATTTTTCTAAAAGAACCAGAACAGCATTATTTGAACAGCTGTGTTTAAGCCTATTGAATTTAGTTATGCCTGTCATCAATTACTAAATAATTAATTTTCGTTTAAAATAAATTATTGAAATTAGTATTATGTTTTTAGACCGTTTCAATATGCAATTATGTACTTGTGACCGTTTCTTAACCAAGAATTTTAGCTAATATTATTTTAGTTGTATCTTGTAATTAGACCATACTTTTGCAAAGGATATTTAATTGCACCAGTGGTAGCATCTTATGAAAAATGTTTTCGAGGTAGCATAATTTTTAAAAAACAGGTAAGATCCTGTTTGCTTTTGTAGTTTTTGTACAAGCCCATTATTCTTTTAGAATTGAAATACTTGTTTTATATGTGCTTCAATATGTTGCATTCGCATGATATTCAACACAAAAGCCTTATCCCAGCTAACAATTATTAGATGAAGCAGCTACTGGTTTGATTGGTGTCTGCATAAAGGTGGCTTTTTTGACTGGATTGTGACCATCAACGCTTCCTCTGTATTTGGCTGAAGCATCATGTTAGAAAATTGCATTTCTAAAGAAACTGTGCAAAAAAGAAGCTATATAGATATTGGAAGGAAACAAAGCCTTTCAAATCAAACATCCAAGGCACATTAAATTCCAAGATAGTTTGAATGAAAATTACCTTCCAGCTCCACATGTACAAGGTGGCTGATCTGTCAAATGCTTGAATTTTTCCCTTGTTTTTGCATGGTTCCAGAGATTATCAGGCGGCCTTTTTGGATAAACTTTTGGAAACCCTCTACCTCTTTTTAGGCGACCATTGCCCTGTGGCCCAAGGTCTTCAATAGCATCATACTGACTAGTAAGGTTTGCAAGAATTTCAGCTGGCAGAAAATCATTATTATGCTTAGCACAGCTAGAGCTTAATGGATGCTGTATTGCTGCCAGGCTTTGTCTTTTCATGAGGCTGGCTTTAAGGTCATTATCTAATGGTGCTGGCAAAGGTTGGCTCTCTGATATGTCATGATCCTTTAACTGTACAAGGCTCTCTGCTTCCATACTTTCAACAAATTCTGAAATGAAATTGTACAACTTGATATTTATCCTTGAATTAAAATGCTTACAAATGTAACAATAGAACTCTGTTAACTATGTAATAGAAATGTATTAGCTGTGACAGAATGCCAATTATGTCACAGAATAGCAATATCTTAACAGCAAAGAAATTTGAGAAGGATCTACAGTCCCTTGTTGAATGGTCCAAAGCCACACAAATGCCACACTTTAAAAGTTTACAAAACGAAAAATCCCACTCAATTTCAATATGCAATTATTAATGCACAAGCTACAGAAGTTGACCATCACCCTTACTCAGAGGCTGGACTGGAACAAAATACACAACAACCTCTAAAATTAACTGACACTGCTAATAAAGCAAGTAGCATTAGCTAGAAAAAGTTCTGAGTCAATAGCCCTCGGCAGCTAGTGTCTCCAACAGGGAATGAAAACCCATAGTTGCAGGAAATTACTTGGTGCAGTTGCAGAAAATTTTTCATGAGTACAGTTTTCCAGGAATTTTTTTAATTGCCTGGGTGCTTCCTTTGTTTGCTTTTAGTACAGTACTCTCCTTGCTTTCAACACCATATGCTAATTCTATCTTTGGAAATGATTTAATTCATCAAGGTCACAAAATATTCATGTTGATTTCAAATGAAGAATGATGTGATGAATTTTTTACCTTAAAAGCACATTAGAATGAAAAACAATTATAATTGCAATCCCATTATCACCCTACGGCATGATACCAACAATGTGAGTTAATCCCATTTCCAGGGGCACAGATACCCATTCACAGCTTCTGATCAATACAAATAATGCTTCTTTTCAAGAACTATTGCTTGCTGGAGCAGACTCCCAGATAATTTTACATTGGAAAAATAAACATGGTTCAGTTCAAAGCCAAGGCTGCAAACTATGTGTTTTGTATATATTGCATCTCCAAATCCTCTTTTTTCTTATATGTAAAAGTTAAACTAGCTTTATGTAAAGATTAAACCTTACCTTAAAACTGGAGAGATTCACATATTTTAGTTTGATATGACAAATTATATAATCTGTCAAAGCAGGTAAGATTTCATTGCTACTCTTAAGTTACTTGTTTGTTTTGTGCTGAGATTGTTCCCAACCTCACATTTTCCCATTGCCAAGACTGGAAAATTTGTCATGCGCCTGCAATAAATTACCAGCACACTCAATTTCCCATCCCAATAGCATATTCAGGGGTGTAGCTTGACCTTCCAGACTAGCAGGTGGAGGATCATGAGTAGTAAAATTTACTGACAAAGACAGAGAAATAATATAATTTTAGGTGTTACTTCACCTACCGATAGACAATTTTACCAAAAAACCATGGAATTTTTGCACCATCTAAAAATTTACTGACAAACTCGTGTAGAATTTGGGCATGACACACCCCCTCCCAGCTAGCTACATCCATGAGCCTTACTAGCTGCACAAAGTCACTAAAAATACAAATTTTACATTATTATCACTAAAATTTTCTAAATGGGAGTGCTTGCAGTTGCACAGACGCAAATTTTCAAAATGAACAATTTCCATTTGGTGTAGACTTAGACATAAAACTTACCACTGACAAAATCCTTCAGGCTCTTTGGAAATATATTTCAAAAGATCAGATAATTAGTTTTAAAAAGTGTTTTGAAAAAGCTATGATACTTTTTAGTTGTCTCCTTGGAGGGCCTTATGTAAATATTAGCACACATGTATAAAAAAATCAAAAAGAAAATAGGTGATTAAACACTTGCAAACGCCTTTAAAACATCCTTGCATGCCAATGTTTCAGTAAATTTGTTTATCTGCTGATTTTGCGCATGCAAGATTGTCGATTTTGCAAGAGTCAAAACAAGGGGAAAATTTACAGCTTTGACAAAGGGCAATATTTTAGCCGAAAATTGTATTCAAAATGTATCAAATTTGCTCTCAAGTATTTTTGTTTAAAGATATTTGCAAATTGAGATTTACAGTTTTCTTTTTGAGAATTAATGCGAAAAAAGTACCAAACTAAAACTGCTGTTTTAATGTACCCAATTAGGGCGAAACTTAGACCAAGTCAGCAAGCTTTACTTCACTCCTCTCTGTGGGAAAACAAATTGAAAACTGAGCGATTTATGCAAAGATCCTTATTCCTCAGGCATGATATGTGCCTAAAATTGCTAGGTTAGCAGCTAAAATATGCTCGTCCCTTTAAAAGATAATTATGATAAAAAGAGTACCGAAAATATCCTACGCAAAATGGCAGACACATACTTCTTCATTTCAGTTGAGTCATTTTCTTGTCCAATTATTCGTTCATCAATTCAGTAATTGGATGCAAAATGTTTTCTCAATTTTGATAAATGGCGTATACACATGATTTTGCACTTTTTTGGTCGCAGCTTAACCCCAATCTCCCATTTTTTCGTAATAATTGAAGCGATGTAAATATCACGTTTCCAGGTACATACTCAATCAGGGCGACGTGACCCTATCACTGACACTACAAAATGATTTCATTGAAAAACACATTCTAAGAATTTTTGTTACTTGTTTAGCTGACTAAACCAAGGCAGAATCCTTTAATTATAACAGAATATTGATTCGATGGGCATTTACTATTGCCGATAATATTGATGAACAAATTAATAAAAGGGGTTTTTATAGGCCGATTCCCATCAAAACACTTTCTTTACTTTATAAAATAACTTGAGCGAAACTGAATTAATATTTACTACACAAATCTTCAGATATGACTTCTTGAAAAGTTAATAAATAACACTTACTTTCTTGTGTAACACTTATTTTCATCTGCACAAATTAATTTCTACTTTGATCTTTGACCAGATTGATAACTGTGCGGCGGCGTCCATTTTGCAATGTTGTTGCTTAGAAACCAATGATATATCACGTTCATTTGAAACGAGGCGAAGGTTCAGTACGAGGCAAGTCGAAGGGAAACTAACTTATTTTAAAATACAGTAGGTATCAGTATTGAAATATAAATTGGAGGACAAGAAATATTGATAACAGTAAGAAAAGAAATATATCTAGATTGATATCAAAGCAGTTTTCAGTTCAACTGGTAGATCGAGCAATTTTGTAAAAAGGATTTCGTTTTAAATGCGATATAATTTTCTATACTTCTTTCGGCAAGAAATTCCAGAACTTGATTCTGTCGAAAGCAAAAAATGAAAAGGCATAATGAAAGAGCTGTTTCGTATTGCACTCATGTAAAAGTAATAATACGAATGTTTATGCAGAATAACCTATCAACGTAATAATGATGTTGTTATCTTTAAAGTCCTTTCATAAAAGTAAAAGGAAAAGAACGCACACATTGAACTTACACTACTAAGAAAAATGCGTATATAAATAGTTTTTTCTCGAGAAATGTTCTTTTAAAAACATAGCAAAGCAACCCTTGATTCTATCTGCCTAGCCTGGAGAGGTAATTCATTAAAAATCTCAAAATTAAGCACTTCAAAACTCTAAATACGGGTCACTGTGCAGTATAGTTTGCAAAATAAATAAACCTTATAGTTGTAGGCAATGTAATTTTCGAGTGTTTTGATGAAAATGATTAATTCCCAGCTAAGAATTCTACAAAAACATGGGACTAAATAAAGATGATGTTTTTTAAATAAATAACGACGTTTCGAGCATAGCCCGTTATCAAGTCAATTAAAAATTACAAACCTGCAAGACCCCTAATCGGTTGAAATTGTTATCTTTTGTTTATGACTATTTTAATAAATAAGATCGCTCCTTCTTATTGTCTGTCTTTCTTTGCGTAAGTGCAACCAGTTCACTAAATTGTTCACGAAAAACTAGCTAGAACATCTTTAACACATCAAAACACCTTTCAATGTGGCCTCAAATTCTTTCTCTACTTCTTGACCAAATGGCGGGAAAAATATTTCTGTTCACTACTTGCTTGCAGTCTTTGTCGAAAATTTTAATCCTTTTTCTTTGAAAGTAAACAATATGAAAAAATGTTAATAAATAAATAATAAATAGATGAAAAGGAAGGTAGATAGAAAGTTGGATGGATATAGATAAATATAAAATAAAAAGAAAAGTATGTCTTTGACAGAACATAGAGTTCTGTTAGACAGAACATAGTCAATAAAGAGAGAGCGCTCCGTCAGATTCTGTATAATGCGATGAGAATTATACCTCAAGATGACGAGATCTTTGTGATCAACTTTCCGTTGTTTGCTAATGTTAACCTCTTTAGGCGGATCATTTTCATAAGACGCGGTTTCCGACATAGAGTCTCAAGTAACTAAGTACAAGCTCATATGTACAGGCTCAATTGCTAAGTACATGCAAGACAGTATTTACAAATAAAGGCCAGACGGCAACTCAGGCCAAAATACTCAAGAAAAGGCCCAAAAAACCTCAAAAATACATTGCGCAGGCGCTGATTATAACTCTGCGCATGCGCCTTTTAAATAATTTCTTAAATCAAGTGAGAAACTTACTTCTTCAAAAAAATCCTTCGCTGATAGTTAGGATCTACTTTTTGTGTGATCTATAGGTGATAATATTTGACGTTTGGGCAATACGATGTAGTAAACTACTAATTACTCCATTAATGTAGTTATTACTCTTTCAATTTAGAATTTCTGTTGAAAAGGCCAAATTTATGAAGTAGGCCAAAACAAATTTTCCGGGCAATTAAACTACAAAAATAGCACGGCTTTTGCAATGTACGAAGAATGTGGAGGAATGGTACTTCGATATTATGAATTGGCGATGTGGACAAAACTGATGATGATGATGATTGATGATGATTGATGATGATTATGATTATGATGATGATTGATGATTATGATTATGATGATGATGATTGATGATGATGATTATGATGACGACGATGACAATGATGACGACAACGAAGATTCCAAATGTATTAAAAGTCTGAACTTTTCTAGATGCGCTTCCAGTCTGTTTCCCAGACAACTAAGAACCTTTATGCTCTATGAGATTACGATTCACAGACTTAAAATACCTAAAAAACGGTGGCACGAGCTATGACTCGCCAAAATTACAGAACTCATTTATTGGGGCTCTTTGAGTGGAACCTAACTGGGAATCTGTTTTTTTATTTGACGAAGGACATTTTTTGCTTGATAACATAACACGAATAATTATTCTTATTCGGTTGCTTTTTCAAAATGCGTTTCGCAGATTTACACTTTCTTGATAAACAGCGGGGAATGCTATGACGCAGTAAGTTTACCAAACCCAGATCTTTGAATTCCACTATCAACCTTTGCAAGAAGGAGAAATCGATGCGGGCCTAACGATCCCTAACGACCCGCGCTGACAAAACGGTTCCAGCATAATGATCTCGCGGCAGTGCAATTACTTGATTACGAAGGGGAATCTTTCGTACGTAATTGTGAGCAGCAAAACTTTTAATTTCGTAAACTTCCTAGTTGCGAGTGCAAAGATTTCTTCAACTCAACTATTTGATGAAGAAATGTAGTCACAGATCCCAAGATTATTAATTGGTCATTTTCGTAACTGTTGGTCTGACCTCAGACTTTTAACAAATTTCCATTGTTTCTATGTTTTTCCTACACCAAACTACCTTATCCAACGGGGTCTGAAGAATTTCGAATGAATTTTGGATCAACCCCAGAGAAAATTGAAAAGTCCCTGCAAGCATTTTGTGACAATTTCGCAAAGCCTGGAAATCTTCGAATAACTTTCACCGACTTTGCAAAACTTGCGAAAAACTAAACAGATTTGAAACACTTACAATATATTTTCCACGACTCATGCATGAAAGTTGATTCTTGCAGAAACTCGTGAAATCGCATATTGCCGCACTTTCTTTTGTATCCTACATAGCAAATTGCAAATTATACGTCTAATTACGTTGACGCTTGACAGGATGAAAGCACCATTCTCGATTACGAGAAGTTTCTGATCTATTCTGGCTACCGTTCAACATGCACGTGCAGAACCAATTTTAACTGCACAACGTCACGTGCAAATCTAAAGGTGATTGGTCGAATCTAAGAGGATGACCACAAAGGGGATCTCAGGCTAGCAGCCGAACCCAATTTAATAGCACGATTATAGACCTAAGTGTCGATTAGCGAACCTCAATTGCCCACTTAATCGGGAAACTCACGATTCTCGATTGTTCGTTTGGGAAAATTGGGAAAATCCTTTGATTTTGGAATTCTATGCCTGCATTGTTTCGATTGTCTCCCGCCTTTGAATTCGGCTTCTATGTTTCCATTGTTGAACTCATCAAAATGCCGATCCATTGTTACACAATTGGCAACAATTCTACATATATATATATATATATATATATATATGGATGCCCATCGAGCCGAGCAAAATCCCCCCTTCATGTACTCATTCTTCGTACATAAAAATAGCACGGCTTTTGCAATGTACGAAGAATGTGGAGGAATGGTACTTCGATATTATGAATTGGCGATGTGGACAAAACTGATGATGATGATGATTGATGATGATGAAGATGATTGATGATGATTGATGATTATGATTATGATTATGATGATGATTGATGATGATGATAATGATGATGATTGATGATGATGATGATTGATGATGATGATGATGATTGATGATGATTGATGATGATTGATGATGATTGATGATTATGATTGATGATGATGATGATGATTGATGATGATGATTATGATGACGACGATGACAATGATGACGCCAAAGAAGATTCCAAATGTCTTAAAAGTCTGAACTTTTCTAGATGCGCTTCCAGTCTGTTTCCCAGACAACTAAGAGCCTTTATGTTTCGTGAGAATGCGATTCACAGACTTGGAATACCTAAAAAACGGCGGCACAAGCCATGACTCAGCAAGTTTACAGAACTCATTTATTGGGGCTCTGTGATTGGAACCTAACTGGGATTTTGTTTTTTTTATTTGACGAAGGACATCTTTCGCTTAACAACATAACACGAATAATTCGGTTGATTTTTCAAAATACGTTTCCCATATTTAAAGTTTCTTTATAAACGGCGGGGCGGGGACGTCTATGACGCAGCAAGTTTCCAGATCTTTGTACTATCAACCTTTGCAGAAGGAGAAATCGATGCGTGCCTAACGATTCCTAACGACCCGCGCTAACAAAAAAGGGTTCCAGCATAATAATCTCACTGCAGTGCAATTGGTTACGAAGGGGAATCTTTTGTACGTAATTGTTAGCAGCCAAACTTTTTATTTCGTAAACTTCCTAGTTGCGAGTGCAAAGATTTCTTCAACTCGGCAATTCAACTATTTCATTAAGAAATGTAGTCACCGATCCCAAGATTAATTAATTGCTCATTCTCGTAACTGTTGGTCTGACTTCAGACTTTAAACAAATTTCCATTGTTTCTATGTTTTTCCTACACCAAACCACCTTATCCAACGGGGTCTGAAGAATTTCGAATGATTTTTGGATCAACCCCCCACCAACCCTAGAGAAAACTGAAAAGTACCTGCAAGCATTTGGCGACAATTTTGCATAGCCTGGAAACCTTCGAATAACTTTCGCCAACCTTGCAAAACATGCGAAAAACTAAACAGATTTGTAACACTTGCAATATATTCGAATTTCCCGCCCTTGCAAGGAAGTTAATTCTTGCAGAAACTTGTGAAAAGTGAAATCGCATATTCCCGCACTTTCTTTTGTATCCTACATAGCAAATTGCAAATACGTCTTATTATGTTGACGCTTGACAGGATTAAACCACCATTCTCAATTGCGAGAAGGTTCTGATCTATTCTGGCCACCGTTCAACATGCATGTGCAGAACCAATTTTAACTGCACAACGTCACGAGCAAAACTAAAGGTGATTGGTCGAATCTAAGAGGATGACCACAAAGGGGATCTCAGGCTAGCAGCCGAACCCAATTTAATAGCACGATTATAGACCTAAGTGTCGATTAGCCAACCTCAATTGCCTACTTAATCGGGAAACTCAAGATTCTCGATTGTTCGTTTGGGAAAATTGGGAAAATCCTTTGATTTTGGCATTCTATGCCTGCATTGTTTCGATTGTCTCAGGCCTTTGAATTCGGCTTCTATGTGTCCATTGTTGAACTCATCAAAATGCCGATCCATTGTTACACAATTGGCAACAATTCTACATATATATATATATATATATATGGATGCCCATCGAGCTGAGCAAAATCCCCCCTTCATGTACTCATTCTTCGTACATAAAAAAGGCCAAAATTGGAAAATTTGGCTTGAAAAAAAGCCCAATCTGGCAACCATGCTTTGCCACCGTTCACAGAGTCCTCGTATTGAGCTTCACGATATCAATCTTGCTATCAACCTTACGTAGTTTGCCAACAAATGCAAGCTTGCCAACATAAGCATTTCTGAGTTTTCCAAAGGAAATTGCAAAAATCAAATTCATGTCCCATTTTTTAGTTTTGAGATAAAGTTTTGGTGGCACAATACTTATTAATCGTTTGGAAAATAGCAAACATTTTGAAGCCTACTCGTGTTTGTAACTCTCCAGATTATAAAACGTCAAACATAAAAATCTCTAAGCTAGAATATATATATACCCAGTTGTGGATCTTTGTGTTTGTATTTTTGTATTTGTTGCTACCTAGTATCCGAAGGTAGTTTTTAGGACACTGGTGAGCTAGGCTTATCGAGCAGTGTCCTGGTCCTTCCTCTCGATGTGACTCCGAAGGTAGTTTTTAGGACACTGGTGAGCTAGGCTTATCGAGCAGTGTCCTGGTCCTTCCTCTCGATGTGGCCACACCTCATGATTCCTACGCCTGGAATTACAGAGAGCTGGCGACTCTCCCCACTCTGGGTGAAAGTTTGGTCATTTCAGGGACTCGAACCACGGACTCTTGGGTCTGTAGTCAGCGCTTCTAACAACTGAGCCATCCTCGCACTTAGGAACAAAATAGAGCAATGAGAAATTTTGAGATAAAGCTTAAAGCCCCGGCCAAACCAGCGCAACATTTTGTCCAACAAATCCCAACAATGTTGGGTATAAATGTTGGGCCGGTTTGGCCACCCATGTTGGACGATTTTGGACGAAGTTTGACTATGATAAAAAATGTTGGATGATGTTGGGATGGTTTGGCCACCATGTCCAACAAAATCACATTCACGCAAGCGCGGTAAGGAAAGGCTGCCACAATTTATTTGTAATGTTCTGGTTAGAAAGCTGTGAATGCGACTTACAAAAGATAGAAAGGAAAACTTGATTTATGAACCGCGGCAGCTTCTGTCAAACAAAGAAGACGACGAAAGAATGTGCTTTTGTTTGATTATGTTTTTACCCTTTCGTGTCTTCTCTTTATCTATTTTCTACTCTTGTATCGCTTAACCATGATTTTGCTCTTCATCGCTATGAACAAAACTTCAAATACATCCTTATCGTTTTGATTGTAATCAAGTCCCACCGCCATGCTCAATAAGTGAATTAGGTTAGGCCCCGTGGATGGTTGATGATAAATCGAATGTGGAATGAAATGTTGCGTTGGTTTGGCCACCCCTGCATCCAACAATGTCTAACAAAGCCCAAAAGTCGCCAAAAATGTTGGGATTTGTTGGACGAAATGTTGCACTGGTTTGGCCGGGGCTCAAAGCCATTATATGCAGAGTTCAGGTCCAAGTCTACAGTCAATATGTTGTCGGAGATAAAGAAACCGTGGTAAAGAAAGTCGGGGGAAAATTTGGTCATTTGCGGAAGCTTAGTAACTTTTCTCCGAATTTTGTCCCTGATAAGATAAACAGTATTCCAATAAACCTTTCAAGTTACATGAATACTTTAATCATCGAGATCTGCAAGAATTCACAATAGAAATACAAAGAGGCTTGAGTTTCACATTTTAATAAAAAAGTAAGATAGTGGTTTACACAAATAAAAATCTACCACTTCGTAAAAGCAAACTTTAAGCCACTTTATTCAGAACTGTAAGAAAAGTAAATTTGAGTCCTCTGCTCAAATGCTATAACTTTTGAAGCGACATTGGTCCAAAAAACATCTACTCTTTAATTCATGGGTTTGTATTAGGTTTGAAAAGGAAGTAAAAAGGGGGTTAGGCCTTCGTAGAGGAAGGGATGATAATTTAAGAGGGCTCCGCTGGCTACTTTAAGATAAAATCGCAATGTTAACAGGTATGTTCTTAAACTAGTAAGTGGGTTTTCAAATAATGTCAATGAGACTTAATTCCAAATTTACACTCGAATACTTGACAAAATGGATTGACGATTAAATGATAGTTTGAAACACGAGCAAATGAAGGGGCTCGAAAAGCCTTAACTGTAGAACCCAGGTCCCGAAGAGCACAGTTAAAAGCTTAAAAAGCTCGAACTGTGGCACTGAGGTCCAAAAAATACCTTGCCTGAACGCGTATGCCTGTACACGACTGTGCGTTTGCATTGTAAACGCGTATGCTTGTACACCAACTTTGAAATGCAAAGAAGACAGAAAATGTCACTATACGAAATAAAACCATATTCTTCAATATGATATCTAATAAAAACATCCACAGGCTGGCAACTTAGAGTTTAAATAAAGGATCAAACACAAAAGACATTCTGCTCGACTATTGTCGAAGATGATAATAAAAGGAACCCTTAAACAAGGGAACTCGGCTGAAGGAAGTGACACATGCAAGCTTAATCCAGCAATAAAAAAACTTAAAATTTTCTCGCCTTCAAAGAGGCAAGTCAAAAGTTTTATATGTACGTATATCTTCAGTGCATGTGAATTCCTTGCCATTCATCCCTGTATGTAAACCTTCCATTCATTTAGGCCGGTATCAAAATACTCGACTGTATTGAGGAATTCGGTGCCGCTGTAGCCGCCAAAGCCCCCAATGACGTACAGAACAGAATCCAGAACAATCATGGAGGCATTATTACGACTGCTTGTCATGCAAGGCAGATGTGACCAGTTATCCGATGCATCATCATAAACTCTACCGTATTCAATGCTGTTTTACCATCAGACCCCCCAGCTACAATGATTTTCCCATCATACACTGCGCTTGCAGCTCCCCTTCGAGGTCCACTCAAGCTAGAAACAAAGTCCCAGTCTCCAGTCTTCGGGTCATATACTTCGACAGTGTTATGGCAGCGCCAGCCATTACTACCGCCAATGGCATACATTTTACCTTTAAAGGCAACAACACAAACGTTCTCTCGCGGCGTACTCATTGGTGGCAAACGTGTCCATGTTTCTGACTCGATATTATAGCGCTCCGCTTTTCGCAGACTCTGCGATTCGGATACACCGCCAGCTACGTAGATATCATTATCAAGTTTATCCATTCCAAAAGAGGCCCTTTCGTCGATCATCTCATTTCCGGGTTCCCATTTTTTGCTAACTGGGTCGTATACTTCTATGGACGACAAATCCCTGTGTCCATCGGATCCACCGACGACAAATATTCGGCCGCCACTGGTCACAGATTGCAATCTGGCACGTTTCACGCCGAGAGAGGGGAGGTCAGCCCATTCATTTACTTCGGGGTCATATGCCTCACATGATTCGAGGCAGCATCCTCGATTGTAACCACCAATAACAAATAACTTTCTGTCGTGAGTTGCTATTCCAGCACTGCATCTCCCTTCATACAACAATACAGAATACATTAGATATCTGAAGTTTCTGTGTAAGATAGCCATTTCATTATTATGTTATAAAAAACGCTATAATAATAACAATATGTGTCGTTCTATAAGATAAAAACAGAAACAATAGAATATTGCCTGTATCCCAGTTTTGGTGCTAGGGGAGGGCTAGGGGGGCTACAGCCCCTCCGTCAGAAGCTTCTAGCCCCCCCCCATCGGAGGAAATTTTAGGTTATTGTCGGAGCAAATTTGACAAAATAACGTACGAAAACTGCTTATTTGAGTCATTTTAGCCACCCCCTGTCGGAAGCTCCAACCCCTCTGTCGGAAGATTTCTGGCGCCACCTCTGCTGTATTCAATGCTTAAAAGAGGGATTTTCAATGGGGATTTCTCTAAAATTTCAACCTTCATAAACCTCTTTGATCGAAAAATCTTCTAAGCTGCTCAAAGTCACGTGAAAAATATTATTCGCTTTAGATATTATAAAGAAGAATTGAAATGTCTAGACTGGATAAGAAGATAACCAATCAGACAAGTCACTGATATATTATCCTAATAATGTATATTTTCTTTGATAAACTGTGCAGGAGCATTTTTAATGGGTGTATATATAGCTAAACTGTTGACGGAGCATGGATGAAAATTCCTAATGCATTTTTTAGACAAATAAAGAGCTCAACATTTGTCTCAACAAAAGCTCTAAAAATCAAATCCGTATCAATGCGATTACATAGAAACAGCGCTGCTTAAGTCTAAAAGTCTTTCAAATTACTTATGCCGTTTAAAAATTACTAAAGGCCTTTGCTACAAATAAATATGACAACAAAAATCATATGGGCCAATATTCTAATAAATACTGATCGTGGATTTCATGCTTTACTTTCTACGAGCATGTGTTAGGATGTTTAGCTTGCATTGGTCTTCTCGGGGGGTTGCTTGAGAGTTTGAAACGAGAAAATTTCTTACACCGGTGCAGGGTAAATTTTAAATAACCAATTTGTGTAGTTATAAATCGTAATTGTGCAGAGATAAAATCAAATATTGTGCAGTGATAAAACTAAAAATAGAGACTCGGTAGTGCAAAAGTAAAATTGCAGAAACGACCATTAGAAACATATAGCTTATAAAAGAGCATTACAATAATAAAAACGAGAACAAAACAGGAACAATGATGATAATCTATCAATTCTCTTAAAAATTGTATCGAGTCCAGTATCTAGAAGCTATCTAGTTTGTTTTGTATTTCATCTTCTCCTTTGAAATCTTCGTTTCGCCCACATTTCCTGTCAAATTTTTTTGCAAAGCTTGAGTGAGAGGTGATGTAATTTGATAATTTCACATAGTTAGATAGAGGTGGTCTTAAAAATTTTCAAAAGGCAACACCCGAATTTTTAAACATTTTGAAAGTGCAGCAAGAAAAACTCCATAAAATAAACCCTGCACCAGTGATATTGTGTGTAGCAATGCCAAACACCTTACTAATAAGGCTAGCATAATTGCTGGTTGTTTCAAATGTTTTACTGACTCTTACTACACTAGCCAGATTGCATTTCACATTCAGGGAGCATATGTACAACGGATACGTTTGAAAGTGTTGTGTTTAATTGGAAGTCGGAAAATCGAACTTAAGCACTTTTATCTTTCATTTAGGACTAGCTTCCATCATATATAGATCTATAGCTTTGGTTTTTTTGTGCTGATACAAAGTCATATTGCTTTGATCCATTCCGATACATTCAGGATTGTCACAGGTGACCTATTCAGAAGGACCCTCAAAGCAAACAAAGATACGCTGGTGGCTACATTGAAAATGTTTAACTCTCACACGAGTAATTTGATAGCTACAACCAACAGAACAAGAACCGTTTCACCCTTAAAAGGCATCACTTCTAGTATTGCTTTTTAAAGTACCAGTTTGTTTTTAATGCCGTGAATGGCAATTCATCCAATGCCTATTAAGAAAAGGCTTCCCATGAAAAAGCGCTGAACAGGAAACACTGCACGGGCTTTGCTATTGTTGGCAAAGCAACGTGAAAACTACAGCTGCCCAGCCTGTGGTTGAAACCGAAGACGTGAAAGTTTCGAAACTTAACCTCTTATCATGTTACGTTTCAAGACGTCATTCCTTTATCAAGACCATCACAGATATATATGTATATATACAAGCGCTAACAATGAACTGACATGATTTTTGTAAAATTGTATATTTAAGGTAAAGAGGAGCTTCTACTTCAAGGGCTAGAAAGTGCTTGAAAAGACGTAAATATTTACATTTTCAAGATTAGGCTCAGTGTGAAATACTGTGTTTCTTTCAATGCTAAATAACCAAAATTACACAAAGGATATAAAAACCTATTCCTGCTGTAATTCTTAACAACACATTTAACCACCGAAGAAAATTTGCAAGAGCTTTTATGCTTCACTCAGAGCAAATATATTTTGTCTTAAAAAGAAATAAAGGACATAAAAAAAATCAGATTTTTCCTTATGTTAATCAATGACAACACAACAATCTGCGTAAAAAGATCCAATGCACAACAAAAAAGACCTAGCTATTTCATCCTCTCTATTCATTAAATTAATTTGAATGAATGTTGGAAGACGAAATGCTCTGAGGACACAGTAGCCAAAATTACTTTCTTAAACCCTTAAAACAAATTTTAAAAATGGGGCATAAAATGGGGCATTAAAGATCCATCAACTGGCAGCCACGATTTATCATCATAACATCATAAACAAAGACCTAAAAATTTTAGACACTCTCTCTCACCTGTTGTCATAGGAGCAAGCATAGTAACTGAATTATTGAGAATGTTGTCTTCACATCCTGAAGAGTCACTTGAAACTGTTGAAGCATTTGATGAGCATTGCTTTGATTTATAATGAAGCGCAATAACTACGATCTTATCAGCAACAACACACAATCCAATTGCATTTTGGTCTGACGTTTGCATGTCAGCAATCAGCTTATATTCTGTCCCTTGCAAAGACATCTTTCTCTTTGGCAAATTACTTGATATCTCATAAATCTGCAAAAGGATGAATTCATGAAGTGCATGTACCACTAAATTAGTTATTGAAAAGTCCACACCAGGCCAAATATTGTAAATTTTGCAAGGGAAAATGTAAAAATTTACTTTCCCAAGAAACTTGAGGCTTATTTAAATGGCCTTGTTTGGTGAGGAAAATCATGTTGAACAATTTTTGTACACAATTAGTTATAAATGTTAGTTTAAATCAGGGAGTGTTGGGCATAGGGTGAATATTGGTTGCCTAAATCACATGCCTATTGCCTGTATGTCAATAGGGCCTTAGTTCCTCATACCTCCATAAGTCAGAGTGAGTCAGGGTATGATGCATAGTTTTCTAAGCCTATCAGCATAGTTTGTAGCTTTAAGTATGGTAATTGTTTTGTATTGAATGAGAATTCACTGTATACCCAACATTGTCTTGTTTCTAACATATATCTGATTTAGATTGGAACTCTGCTTTTTGACAGCAAAAATATTAGGAAACTAGAACATTTTTGTCAATGCTTAATTTTATCTTACTTTAACTTTAACTGTGTTTTCTTATTTTATCCTCTTGAAAAAGTTATCTAAGGTTTTGTTGACATAGAGTACTTTTCATAAATGTCTATATTAACCCTGTGCCCTTGAGATCAAAATCGTCAAAGGTAACATAAGATAAGAAAAAGAATGGTGGAATGATTCATTCATTTGTACCTCTGATTTGCCTCTTGATGTCTGTCGCCTGAACTTCTTTATATCTTCATTACTGTTGAAATCAAGCTGTTCCTCGATATCCTCTAGTGCACAGTCTTTCAGCAAATGATTTGACTGTAGATACAGCATATTATTTTCCTCTAAAAGGCTGTTGAGTTTTTCACCATGTTCCTTAAAATACAAAAGCATACTTTGACTTTCAGGTAAAAACAGCAGCTTGGGCTACACTGCCCTTTCATTGATAGCCATACTTGAAACAATGAAGACAATACAACAGAAATAACACACATAATGAATTCTTTATATATTTTGATAAAAAATATTGTTAACTTCCAGCTAGTCTTTTCTTTGCAAATGCTTTCATGATCCAACACCAACACTTCAGTCCAACTGATCAGCTAAATTAGTAGACAGAAACTCACCCTCCTTGCATGCTTTATTATAATAAAGCTATATCATCTTTCATTCCAAAGAACATGGTTATAGATTTTAACCAAAGGTGCGTCATTTTCTAATAGAAAAATGACTGGTGCCCTGTTGATTAAAATGTTGAAAGATTTTAAAGAAACCAGGAACAATGATTGACAAACATCAAAGAACTGAGGTGCCTATTGCAAGTACAGCATGATTTACTCAGCTACAAAATGTAATAGAAATAATTGGTTTCATTCTAACTATTGGAAACAAATGAACATGAGTAGCAGCAAGCAGAAAGAGACAGTAATAGGCACATTTCGCTGAAAATTTGGAATAATTTGAAAAAAATTCAACTAGACAGCTGCGTGATTTTTCATTTGTATAGCACCTTAGTTTCTCTTCAAGTGCAATATTTCATCACAATCTAAATGCAATATCATCAGCCACCTGGTACAAAAAGCCTCCAGCAGTGGTGGCGCTAGGTTTCCTCCGACAAAGGGGCTAGCACTTCCGACGGAGGGGCTAATTTTTTTAGAGAACGATAGGGCTAGGGGGCGACAAGGAATTGTAAGGGTACTGGAGACCGAAGGCGAGCGTTGCGAGCCGAAAATTCGGGGGTCCGGGGGTACTCCCCCGGGAAAATTTTGGTGGCTACACCCATTAGATTGGCTAAAAATGCTATCAAAATGGTGTAATCGTGTTTTTTACTACGTTTTTTGACATATTTATTGACATAGTCCTTCCCATTGCAGCCAAATCTTTGTGCTTGGACTTCGTGTGGCGGGCAGCGTAATCATTGTTAAATACGTCATTACATATACTACATCTAACACTGAAACGGGTAACATTTGTTGCCATATCGCTATCGCACAAAAATATTCCGATGTTGTAGGTTGGTTATAGCAAGCAAGATTTGGACGAACTGCACTATCCATAACATAAGATCAAATTTAACAGCATGCGGAAAACACCTGGTACTGAACATCTAAACAACCAATTCAAACTTCTTATAACAGATTATTATTTACCATGAAATTGATGTGTCGATGAGTTGTTTTGGGATGAGCTTCCTGAATTCTGATAACAGTCCTTTTAGAAATTTCTATTTCCGCCAAAACTTAAAAAATTCGCTCCGACAAAAAAAATTCAAGCATAATTTATCTTCCGACGGAGGGGCTAGCCTCCTCCGACGGGGGGGCTGTAGCCCCCCCTGCCCCCCCTCTGGCGCCACCACTGGCCTCCAGTACCATTTAACACCATCAAATGATGGCCCTGCTAACACAATAAACTCACAAAGATGCAAACAATCTCAAGAGAAACAGCATGATAAAGAAGTACAACTGCAATTCTATGGGTATTCAAAGAATGATTTTAATTCTTAAATTTAGGCCCTGTCCATAGATTGAGAGTTTTTTTGCTTAACACATATCCAACCTGATACAAAGACAATGACTGCTTATACCATATTTTATTTGTTCAAACAGTGATGATACACTTTTCACTACCCCCAAAATATCAAGTATATCTGAGTACTAAAATTTGCATTGCAATTAACACTGTAGTGTTTTTTGAAACAGAGTTTCTGGAGTGAGAAGGTAATCAGGTAAACAGAGAGCCATTTCAGAGTATTTTAAGAATCTTTTTGAGTCCCATAGCAATAATTTCTCAAAACCTATTGCTATATTTTATTAGACAAAGAGACCATTACAGAAAACATCTAAATGAACACAACCAGTTACATGAGCAACAAATTGGCTGAGCCATCCCCACACGAGCAAATTTCATTTCCCTATCAAATCAATGTCATTTTGTCTTTTATCTAAAATGCATAAATTCCATGAATACTTTGATTGAGACGGTTTCTCTCCGTGGTGGCTCCAGCCACAGATAAAACAAGAAACTTTGACCATGCACTCTTTACAGTCAAAAAACATAACCTTTTACCAACAGGAAATGCTGATATTACAATTAAGGAACACCATGACTAACTTTGACTATGTAAAAGTGAATCAAAATCATTGAATTACATCATAAAAAGCATGTGACCAAAATATTACCCCTACTCTAACATTTGGATAAAATTAATTACCCCTCCACCAACATTTTCTGCCAGTAAATTTCGATAAAATACAAAACTGATCCTGCCAAGAACCCCAGTCCTCAATGTGTTGCCATCAACTTCTCCAGTGACATTTTTCTATTTCTCTACTTTTAAACTGTTTCTGCTTTTCCCTTGTTGAGTGTAATAATTTGTAATCTAACAGTTATTCTGTTAGATTTTTAGCTTTGGTCCCACTAGACTCTAAATGGACAATTCTGTCAGGTCTTAAAAGGAGTACTCATGTGTTCACATGGTGTTCATCACAATCCATGTGCTACAATTTCTCAACTTCATTCCCAATCAATTCCCTAATACAATATATATATACATCTACCATTGCATTATTTGACATATAAATGTAATTTAGACTAATATAAAACGGATCTAATTTCATCCACGTCAAATATAGCTTAAAGACATCAAACATATCAATAGTCATTGGCAACAAAAACTCTGTTATTGAAATATCATAAATATTTCAAATTGCTCTATTCCAACTCAGCAGTAACAAATCCACAGATACTGGGCCAAAATCTGACCTTTGATTGCTGATAAGGCTTTACCCGACAGTTCTACCATAACAATGCTTCTGTGATGGTTTGCAAATGGAGATTCTTATATTTGAAAAATCCGTTTCAAAGATAATGTGAAAGTTTGGAAGAAAAAAAACCTAAAAAATAAGAAAGGTACTTGCAGGCATTTGTCCAGCATTATTAGCAAGAAAATCATGGCATTTATCTTACCTGTTGTCTTTTTTGGACCCAAGCAATAACTCTTTCAAAGATAGCCGAGATGTTCTCAAGTTCATGATTTGAGCAAGACTGGCTGGCGATTAGGGTTACTTGCAACCTTGGCAACAATAAGAACCCCTTACTTTGATACAAATAATTGACATTTTCTTTCAGGTACGAGTCAATCTTTTCGCATAAACTATAATGACCATTGAGAGCAGCAAATGAACGGAGCTCAAACGCATCGCCAGTCAGAAAGTTTTCTTCAAGATACAACCTACAGGCCTGCGCTAATTCCGGGATATCAAATTTCTGACTAGCAACAAGGACTTGCTTCACTTTAACGTACGGAACTGTGACATGTCCCAAGTAAATGAAACTTATGATGTATTCCAAGTCTTCGCTGTCGATATCCAGGTATTGAACTTGATTGGTCTCGCTCAGTTCAAACTGATTTCTGAAATATTGAGAGGCTGCGGCAAGAATGACCCGATGCACTTTGATTGTCTTCTCCTGGGCAACGACCTCTCCATCACAAAATAAGCCTGCTCTCCTGGCGGAATCTAGTTCTTCGAGAAATTGACTTGGAGGTCGATTTGATTTGTACACAAGATCGTTTGAGGACTTCATCGTGAAGGCTGCTAAATACTTAAGTTACAAAGCGTGATAATTCTGACGTTGGATTTTTCATAAACAAACACCATCAGAAACAAGCCAGCCAGCAACACAACCAATTGGGCGTTAAACGGCACTGGAAAGAAATTATATGATCAATTTCTGCCAAAATAAATTTCACTTAAGATGTACTTATGAATATATTTCCAGTCAAATCAACAGTCATTATCATGTTATTTCGGTAACTGACACCCTTCTGACCATTCCATCCATGCCGTGTTCACGTGGTGCTTCTTTTATCTTCACCCCCGATACTCCTTGAAAAATATACGTTCAGAAAGCAAAGTGAATAATATAATGATATGCCTCTTCCTTTATGAGGTTTCCTAATGAAAAAAATAAATGATCGAAGACGCTAACATGCATGAAAGTCTCAATTAGTTACCTTACTACACGACAGGTTCGTCCATCACCTTTTCAAATTGCAATCTGCGAAAATGCGCGAAAGCTTCAGAAGATTCATTTACGCGGGCTTTGGGGACCTGGGGATGACTCCTTTGTTCTATTGTGACCTGTGACCGTCTACTGATAGCGTGTGCATGTCCTTTTGAACTACGAGAAAGGGTGCACGATTTCTCAATTTGTCCGTTCAAGGCTGCTTTGCCATCAACAACAATCTTCCTTGAAAAGAGTCCTTCTTCGTTTAGATTGGCAAAAAAAATATTTCTTATTTAGATTGACCTAAAAGTATCTGTCCTTTTCTCTGCCACAAAGATTCGGGGCAAAAAAGTAATATTTGTGAACCCTAGCCTATTATAGGTTTGCGGCTTCATGGCCTGGACCCTATTTTTTTCGCGCAGCCTGCGGATTTGAACATGGTTTTTTCTACGGATTGCGGCTTCAGCAAAAGGTGCGTCTTGTGTCCCTCAGTGTAAATTCGCGACGGTTTACGGCTTCTCTGATGCGGTTGCGGCTTCCAGCTGAAGAAACGGCCTGCGGCATGGGTCTTCAATTTACTCCAAAGAGTATTGGAAAGGGCTCTATGTCCTGTATAATACTACAGAATAGGAATCTGTGATAATACCTCGCTGTCTCGCTTCACGATCTTGTACAATTAAGCCTGTTCTATTGAGTTTAAGATTTTGATAAGAAGGGCAACTTTGATAAGATAAGGAGCGCGACATCTATGAATCCAGAGCTTCTTCATTAACTTGTGAATTTAGTGTCTCAAAATATTGTTTTATGCCAAACCCCTCTTTGATATTAATGCTTCTAGGGCATTCTATTATCTCCGAAACAGGAGTGCAGACTATAGGAGGGCTAGGTGTGTTCTTGCATCTATTGATGTTGTTATTTCACCGCCTTCTAAGGCATATGTCTTGCAAAGCGTGTTTTTCCAATGGAATAGGTCAAGGCACTGTTAAGCTTCTTCACAGCATTGCTGAGGACCTTGCCCAGAATGACCTAGCAATCAGAACCACAGTTAAATTGTTGCCTAAAGGCGTCAAATGAAAATCTTTGGAAAAGACGGAACAGTAATGACCTATATTAGCAATAAATAGATTTGAGCAATAAAATAACATGAAATCATCTACACCCATGTACATGTTTATGAAACTTGACAAAATTATGAGTTTCTTGACTTTTTACTGCATCTCTGTTAAAAAAGTTTTTACCAAGTTTCTTAGCACAAAATCCTGACTTTTTCTCACTTCATTACCCCAGTCACTATATAAAGTTTAATGAATCAATTTTAGTCAACATGTAAAGAAAACACTAAATTTGTTCCAACAGCCCAAGATATCTTGCAAGTCTGATTTTAGTCAACATGTAAAGAAAACACTAAATTTGTTCCAACAGCCCAAGATATCTTGCAAGTCTGAACAATTTACAAAAATTTACGAATGTTGTTGTTTGCAAAAAAAGAAGAGAACCTCTGAAAAGAAATGAACTGCTTGAAAGTTATAATTTGAAAAATCAAATATAACACTTAAAGCTTGGCATCAAATGATCCTTAAATTTTTTTGACTCGAACAAGATATTTCATCAACGTTTCTAATTTTTTCGAAGTTTATAGCCAAATGTTTGTAATAGTTGGCTTCTTAAAAGAGAAATGAAAGATTTGTATTCCTTTGATATTACCACAGTACGTAATGCTTATTGGACAATGTCAAACAAATCGAAAACGAAAAAGCCAATCTGTGCTTCCATTCTTAATTACTTATAGAAACTCCAAGGTTCTCATCTGCTTGATTCAATAATCCTTTTGTGCAATAAATACAACTTATTTCTTCGCGACTGCATGAGTTTCATGTAAACAGCACACACCTATTTGAAAAAAAAACATATCTTTAATTATTTAAGCGCAACGAGAATAAAAATCCCACTGTGGGTGATTGCTTTCAGATTTAAGGATTTGAGGTATCATTGTCAAGGTAGCGAGTAAACGCACGCTAGGGAGCCCAACAGTCTTTAGAATATCCCATAGACGTTTAACCTTTAAAGGGATGGGATATTTCATTTGTAAAATATTATCTGTCTAGCATCATTAATTTGATTGATTTCAATAGATTCCTGTACTAAATTTGATCATCAGGCAATATGTAAATTATATTGTTTAGATATTTTAGTAACGAAGCATAAGCTGTTCATTCAACGAGGTAAATGTTAATGAGTATTCACCTTCTGCAAAGCTAATTTGGCTACCTGCTGCATATTTAGGATGTTGTCTGATAAGCATGGATTAGATAATGGGTTGCTTAGAGGGGTTAGGGGGCTAAAGGGACTGCAGTTATGAAGGAACAGATAGGCAAACTTGATCACATTATTTTGATCACATAAGGAACAAGTTTGAAACTGAAACTACAATTTAGCTGAAACAAAGGTGAAAATAAATCAGCATTGGAATCCTCCTAATCCAATAAAATTAATCGTAGGGTCCCGACCCTACTTGAAAGTGCGTGTGACAAGGCAAGTTGGAGAGTTCTATTTTTGTGTGTATTTAGGAACAAATTACTCAAGTGCTTCTTGAGTAATTTAAGAAAGATACAAAGCTCTTGTAACGTAAACCATTTCACTTTGGTACCATAACTTTGTTTGTACCTCTACCGTAAGTCATCGAATAAGCTCCCACGGCCTTATTTTGTAGGATTTATTTACTTTTTACCTTATTTACCTTATCAAGCAGCAGCCTATAAAAATATCATCAGGGTAAATATTTTCCTAAATACAAGTCAGTATGCTTAAAATGCAGATATATTGGGATAAAACTATTTCTGTTGAAGCAATACCTCAGCCGATGGGGGCTTATTCGAGGGGGGGGGGGGAGCTTCTTCAAAGGTGGAGGCTTATTCGAGGACTTACGGTATTTAGCACTCAGCCGCTTTAATCGACTTCTCTACTCTGCTACTCAAGATGAAAGCTAAGGGTAAACATATTTTGTTATATGTTGCCAAAAAGCGTGCTCTTCACATGATATAACTGTTCTAAACATTGCTAGGGTGCGTTAGTTTCATTAACTTGGCATACAGATTGTTTTCTGAATTAGGGGGCAGGCAAAAAACTGCGGTTGCTAATGATATGCCCTATTAACACGAAAATCTTAAAATCAATGATTCTAGTGAGAGCGAGCTGCAGCTATGCCCATGTTAGGAAGACCAACAGAATAAATGCTTTGAATTAAGATAGATGGTCCTTTCAAGCTAATAGCATAAAGTTTAAGACCTTTGAAAAATAACAGCCGTAACAAAATATTCCAAAACGATCCTAACAAATCCTTGTTCCTAGACACTTAAACCCGATAAACGGCATTACACATTCAAATCAGCCAAACAGATTTCTTGGGTCAAAATCGTTACAAATTGCGAATCCTTCTTTGAAGCTAGATTTTCCGCCTATATTAAATGCCACTCTGGTGATATGTCAAGAGAAGCGTAAGGCTCCAGGACAGTTGTTAATATGAGCTGGGTAATGTTAACATGAGCTGGGTAATGTTAACATGAGCTGGGTTATGTTAACATGAGCTGGGTAATGTTAACATGAGCTGGGTAATGTTAACATGAGCTGGGTAATGTTAACATGAGCTGGGTAATGTTAACATGAGCTGGGTAATGTTAACATGAGCTGGGTAATGTTAACATGAGCTGGGTAATGTTAACATGAGCTGGGTAATGTTAACATGAGCTAGGTAACAAGACCCGTTGCTTTGTATATCTATTCTTGAAAGAAATTCTGTAAATAAGAGATAATATTTTTGCGCGACCTTTTTCATATGTTTTGAAGCAATTTGTTTGCAACCTGTTCGCTATTATGAGGCTTCAAGAGAATATTGTTTATCTACAGCAAACGGCCATAAGTCCACAAACTCAAACAGAAAAAATAGTGTAGCAATTTGTGTGTGATGTTGAAAGGGATTCTGGAAATGGGATTATGCAGGAATTCGGGGACTACAGTGTTACCAATGCGGCAAAGAACAAAATAGTCAATGAAACATGTACATTAAGAAAGGCTAAAAAATTACCGTTCAATGCCAAACTTTCATTAGACAAGAATTTGCTAAAGGTTGAATCCAAATAGATTTGTGTTCATGTTGTACGTGAACAGTTTCATTCACTTGCCTCTTTTGAAAAAGATTTCTTTTTCCATTAGGATATTTTTAAAGAGAAAGATATTCTGGTTAGGAGGTATCAATGCATGGGGAATAAAGGTAACAAAACGCTGTAACCAAACACCAGTCCGATCATTGTTTCGTTGTCGGTCCATACCTGTTTGGATCGGTACCAGTTGTTTGCATTGCACCCAAACGAATACACGATGAAAGGTAATCCCTACTATCAGAGACGAGCCCACGCCACGAAATTGAAAGTGGGGGGGGGGGGGCAAGGCTAATGAAAGTGTGGCAAAGGCTTCTTTCACCCTTGTTGCAGCTTTGAAATTACTTGCTCACAGCGAGCGAAAAGGGGATAATGGACCCCTTTTCCTTTGTGAAACTTAGCAGTAGGATTTATTTCGCTAGGAATCTGCCCCCCCCCTCTACCCTGGGTACCAGAGTCTCAGTGAAAGATATCGTCGAGTACTGCCCACTCTTAACTCTTTCACTGTCTTTCTTTCACTGAGACTCTGGCACTCAGGGTAGAGTTCGGATAACAGACCCATATTGGAACTTACGTTGACTATCGGGCTAGTTTTGGTACGGATCTATCAGTTTAAACAGATTTCGTGGGCAATTTTACAAGTTAAAAATAATTACGGCATGCAGCTGCAACGATCGTCAATGTGAAAAACACAACATCGATCAAAATAAATAAAAAATCAATGAAATGATATTGTTTAAATAATTTCGCATTTAAGTCATTACTTAATTAGTTAAATTCTATAACGTAAATATTTTCGAAATTGATTAGCTTCTCTTATTTTGAATAAAGCTATTCGTGATGTTGCTTTTGAAATAAATTAATATGACACACACAGGGTGAAAATAAAATTGGATGGATCATTTTCTCTGTGGGCTTTTCACCTTATTCATTTATCTTAGCTACTGTTAGATTATTTCATCGTTAGAACATTCTACCACAACGCGATTAAAAAAATCAACAGAGAAACTCGCCTTGAAATGGAAGATTCCTTTACCGATGACAATGGATTGAGTTTCACTTTATCAGCGAAAAAAACTAAAGCGAGGGGTTGAAATTTTCCCAAAGATAATGTGCGAAAATATTGAATCGATTTGCATAAGCTTTCAAAAATTAGTTTCGATATAAAAAATCAACGAAAGTACAAAGCATAGAGTTGCCAAAACAACAAAGCAGTACTCTAAGAACGTCCGTTCGGGATTGTCCAGCTGAAACTTGACGGTTTTTGATTCTTTACTGCGAATCACTTTAGTGACTCTTCCTAATTCGCGGCATTCCTTAGCAGAAAGTGATGTTTCTGTAAAGGTGTCATCTAGAGAACAATCTTCCGCATCTTCAATTCCAGAGTCTGTTTTCTTTTCAACAGGAACATCTTTGCTCCTTCGCTGCAGCTTATTGCTGTTGGAGGACAAAAACAATGCTTTTTTACCCAAACTGCTTGATGATTTCATTAGAAGAGGGGAATTTGGTCTTCGCAAAATGCTTTTGTCAGTTCGGTTGATCTCTCCTCCCTCAGCACCATAAAATATCGAGTCGTCATCATTGCCTGAAAATAAAACGACCGTTTCGTCCTCAACACCAATAATTCTATAGCATCCTTTAATTCTGTCGCGATAATAATACAAGGGGCGATGAGGTTGGCTAAATAAGTGCTCCTCGATTTCGTGATCAAGCCAATGTGGGATTGCCTTAGCGTCTTCCCAAATGTCACTCTCGTTTTCCACGCTTTCACTGACGTTGTCAGCTACAACCGTTGTAGTTATTTCAAAGGCATCAGTGGGACACGTCACGGAAGAACAGTCATCAGAATATCGAGTCGGCGGCAAAACTTCACTGCATCGTAAAGACAATATGTCAGTTTCATTGGTCTTGTAATCCTTAATATCTACTTGATCACCTTCTGTAGTAGCACTGTCATTTTCAATAGCCTCGAGATTCCAGTTAGCGTCTGTGTCAATTTCACTACCATCCCTGTCAATAACGATATAGTCTTGTAGCACTGTCTCAATTCCCAAATACGGTTGCTCCATCTTGGAACAAACAACATCATCTGCGACAAAATCCATCATTTCCAAAGAGGCATTTTCCGCAGGTTTTCGCAAAAAGTCGTATTCATATCTTCTGAGCGCTTCTGCTACTGACAACATATCATAGTAATGTCTTGTAAACTCCCGAAGTAAAACCCTTTTCTCTGAACTTGATCTTGTAACCAGTAAAAATTCATCAAGCAAGGAATCGTGAAATAAATCAATTGGATCAATAACTTCGATGTCATCGTCAGTCATGTCAATTTTTGCAAAGTAATTACGCTGAGAGAATACCCAGTTTGCAACTTTCCTGTACACACTCCGGGATTCGATCTCCTCTGCATTCTCGAACCAGTCAGCATCGAGGGGCTCGCACTGCAGCCGATGTGGTTGTTGAATCACTGACAGCGAGTCACTTGACAGAGAATCGTTAACTCGATGAAAAAGTTTAGGAAATTCTGGCTCGGATGTAGAAACAGCATCAATGGCTCTCCTAATGGCTGGAAAGGGAATACTGGGGGCAACTGCATACCCAAGCTCATCATCTTCTTCATCGCTTGAACTATCTGGTATGTTTGAATTGCTTGTAATGATATCATACTCGTTTAATAACGTCTTTGAGAAACCTAAAAGGCAACGGTATGAAAAAAAGTTAATCCCTCCTCCCTTGATTTATAAGAATTCAAAAAGAAAAATCCTTATAACTTCATCAAACAAATTAAACCTATTCCGAACAGGCTATGCCTCTATCGCTTTTTGGTAGTCATTCATTACTGGGATCACAGATCGCATTTATAGTTATTCAATTACGCTTTGAGTGCAATTGAGATAAAATCTTTGAAAAAACTGGAAAACAAGAAGAATTCAAAGCACGAAAAGAGCGATAAAAAAGGAGGAAATTACAGTTTTTCCTGTGTACCAAACATTTGACAAGTGAGGTGCAAGGATGACAAAACGTTCACCCAGAGTTAGGGGATTCCCTGAACTTGCTATAGGTAAGAAGGGGGTAGCCAACTATAAATCAACTTCGGATGCTAGGTAGAACTGAAACGGTAGCGTGACCACTCTAAATTGTAACTCTAGTCTTGGACAAAAATGGTTGGGAAATTTCATGAAAAGCTGATATTTTCCTTTAAAAAATAACCTGCCTCTCTGATTCAATGTTGAATGCATGATTTCGAAACAAAAATGATTTGATTTGGGGGAAGGGGGAAGGGGGACAAAAATGATTTGAACTACGAATCCCACATTGATTATGGGGGAAGGGGGATTCGAATTTACAGGGGCAACATAAAGTAGCCAATTGCACAAATTGTATTTTGTCTCAACAATTTTTTCTGGGATTGTAGCTCACTAAAACATTAAGCATTTACCACATCCATATTCATTAAGTCACTTAAAGAAGTGTTAAGTGTTAAGAATTGTTATGCATTGACCTGAATTTGGAACAAAGTGGGTGTTTTTAATGGGTGTGGCCATATCAGTAGGTCAAGTCTCAAACTAAGTGTTAAATGTGTGATGCTCTGATTGGGAATTCACAGACATAACATGACAAACAATATTTTTGTTGTTGTAAAGCCCTGGGGGTGATTGGTGAAAATAAGAACCTAATAACAGTATGGGTTTTACTTTAACTAAAAGTGTCTGTTTGTTTGAAATGGTAGTGAAAAAGAGAGAAAATAAAAATTTAACATTAAACATGATCAAACTCTGACAAATGTTTTTGATAAAGTACAACATGCAAAATTAGTTCAACTTTCTTATAACCTTGATGCTGCTAAACTACCAGGACAAAAGTATTGTAACACCCAGATCAAAATGATAAAAAAAATCCAAGTCCTGCAAACATACAACTTTACGCTGAAAACATACATAATCATGCTAAAAAAAAGAAATTATTCAGTCATAAAAAAATAACTGCAGTGGTAAAATCGAAAAAATAACAGGATTCAGAGCCAGTAGTTGTGATAAAGCTTAACTGTTCTTTCGATTCAAAAGATTTCAAACCTTTTTATAGAACATGATAGCAAAATAGTGAGAGTTTAGGAAACCACAAATGAATTCATTAGTTCCAACAATTTAACCCCAAAGTTCTTCAACTCCACTTGAGCAAATTTTTTGGGTACATTAAGGCCCACATGAATTGATAAATTGGCAACTAGCAAAGTGCAAGTTATTGCTGTGAAATGTGTCAAAATAATGCAAAACAGCCTTTTTGGTGGAAGCAAATCAATTTTAGGGAAACAAGGAGGCAGTCTTTTTCATATAAAGTGGGCCATCTTTACACAAAATTACCTGAAAATATGTAAACTCTATGTCCTTCCGTGACCTTTACAAAGATCTAGCCTTAATATAAGCCAATATTTGTTGTTGTCAATGAAAATGATCTGATTTGTAATCCACCTGATTCCTAAGGTCCAAACAAGAACTGACTTTAAAGTTTATCTAGACTGCAGGAGAGTCCCAGTGCATTTCATCAAAAAAATTGTGCATCAATTCCAAAGCAATTTTTTGCAGTTATGAGACCCAAGAGCAACTGTCACTTGATCGTAAACTCTCTGGTTTTCAAGTAGATTGATGTACACTTAGTGAGCAAAAGTATTGCACAGGCTGAAACAGAAATGGCAGCACTGCAGCAAAATATTTTACTGAACAAAAATACAAGTGGCCATAGCAAGTGTCATAGAAGTTTTAAGATTAACCTGAAAATTGTAAATGCAATAATATTCTTAATTTCTGCCTATTTCTAAACAATATCAACATAATATGCAAAATCACGAAAAATGAGTCATGATGATTGAAGTACCTCTCAAACATGTGCAATAAAAAAGTTCATCTTTGCACCATTTTGCAATATCTTATTACAATGAACTCGGGGGTACTTACTTGACGCTTGGGTGTCTAGAACTGATGATTTTCCTCATTATTAAATTAAAAGTGTTACCAACAGTATAAAGATTGGTTTGATTGGTTTTTAACTATAAAAGGACCCCTAATGGCTTCACCAAGGTTTCAATATTGATCGCTTGTTGTTTACAACGTGGTCGCCATTACACATTTGTCAAACCTGCACATTACTTTTGCTCACTAAGTGTAAAATTTACTTTGGGAAGATAAGTTCTTGATGGCTCCTTGAGTATCATGAATGAGATTTTGAGGCAAGAGATAGACACAATATGACTTGCCAAATATTAATATCGTAAGTTTCATTCCTGAAACCAGTACAAAGGACGCCAGTGCCAGGGGGGAGCATGGTAGTGACCCCCAATGCCCTTGCAAAATCTGGCACTTTTCTTCATTTTACTATTGTTTTATCCTTTTACTTTGCATTTTTGCCCGGTTGCCCTCCTTGTGTGCAGGCTTTCCTGGCCTTCAATGACTTATTGCAAAGAAACTGTGAGATATTTTGGCAAAAAGCTGTGCAGAACATCATCTTGCAGTATTAAAAAGTCCAAATCATTGGCAGCTTTTAAAAAAGAATTAAGACCCCACAAACTTGAGTGTAAATGTATCTCTTTCTAGATCAGGTTTTATCGAATATGCAGTCTTTACAATTTTTTGCAATACTTTTCTTGCATTTTGTAAATTTTCTCTACATTGCAGATATTTGGTATTAGCTTCTGCGTAGCAATTAGATTTATGCGCCATTCTTAAACAAATGATTTATTACTACCATAACCAGTCTGCAGAGTGTGGCAGTTCTCAACAAGATCTTATGTGTGCAAGAGCAAATATAAATGTGTGCATGTGTGTGCAAGAGTGCTGAAAAAGTGTGCAATGTGTGCACACTGTTCAGTTTTGATCCAATGTGTGCAGCAAGCTTCTAATGGGCAAAGTATTTGTCAATTTGTCTCACAATGTGTGCAAAGCAATTATTTCCTGCAAAAGCGCTTCCAAGCATTCCACAAAATGTTGACTTCAGATTAAAATTCAGCATGGGGTCAATCATATATTTTGTATGATTAAATATCAATTATTTTGACCCCCTCCCTTGTACTTAGCCAAACTTCTAGGTGGAGGTGTGGGGTTGAAATGTAACCCCCTAAATATTCACTAAGTCAGTTGATTTTAACAACATCCAGTCCACAAAATGATCTCTACAGAGTAAATTCTTGACCTTATAACCATGATTGCGCACAAGTCAGATACTGTTGTTTCCAAAATAATCTTACTTTCTTTGATTCAGACCTTTTTATGCCCCTTGTTAGTAATGGGCAAGGCCTCTTCATACCATCCCGCACTTAGGAAATTGAGAATAAATCTAAGACTGTAGTTTCTCAGAGAATTAGAATATGCTAGTCAGTAGATTTTAATTCTGGGCACCAATGGCTTTAGGGCAAGCATAGCTCATTTCAAAATATTAAATCAAAATACTGAGATATGAGATGACTCCAGGGCCATTCTGGGGTAATCTATAGGGTGTGGTCCTTAAAGATTTTCCTGGGGGAGTTCCCCCAGACTCCCCTTCTTCTAACCTCACAAAGCTTCAAGATTTCATTGAGCAACCCTAAAAAGGCTGTGCCTCGTATTTCATTAAATGCAATTGCATGCCAGGGCTTTTCAAATGAGGAGGAGAGTATCTTCTAGAGAAACTCAATCTTCTCACAAAATGCACATAGCAAAAGTGGTACATGTTCTCTAATTTAATTATAGACAGCAACTTTTTCAACTTGTGACAATCAGATGGTTCTGATGCTAACCAACACAAGTTAAAGTTGTTTTATGAATACTAAAATCCCAATTCATCAGCATCTCAAAATTTCAAGGAAAACGTTGTTTACAACATTTCAAAATAGGGTGATCCTTTAAAATTTTCCAGTACCCAGAAAAAATTGTGTGCAGCCCTATGTTTTTATGTGCATTAGACAAGTCTCTGAAAAAATTTTGTGTGCACATGCCACATTCTGCAGACTGGTGATTTATTACTACCATAATGTTACTTTTCATTTAATTGTTTACCTTTATGTGAAATCCAGTGATGGATCGTTCCCTGGGTGTTTTTTTAAGTTAAGGATGTTCATTTTTAAAGAAAACTCTTGCTTTAACAGAGACAAAATTGCAAATAAATTTCAAATCATTACCTGCCCTTGATGTCAGGTCGCGAAGTCGTATGGGCGGAGAAATATCTTTTATTTTCTCCAGTGCTGCTCCAATATATGTATATGCTTGATCTATCATTTTCGCTTTGTAGGTAATGATACAATAAGGATTTGACTGCCGTGGTGGATAGATGACTTAGAATTTCTACCGTATCTGTTCTTCAACACTCGCCATCTGCTCTTCGACTTAGGCCACAAGTTTCATCCACAACATTGCCTTGATAATTCCATCCTGACAGCTAATTCATATTATAATTGTCCTTCCTACCCATTTCTTCTCTAGAGAGCTACATAATGCTAACATCGCCTATCGATCACAAGTTTTTAGTCATGTAGTCTACGAAAAAAACATAGAGCACAACACGCACAACACTACAACACAGTGTGATTTCGTAACGAGGCTCTGACGACCAGGGTTGCCACCACTGATATCATGTCATTGGTTGCCCCTGTCAGATATACCTACAGCGCACGCGTTTTCTCCCTACTTTCCCCCTACGCTTTTTCCTCAATTATCCCTACAAATCCTTACAATTTCGGAATTATACCCACAAAAACAACCCACATACTGACAAAAAACTCAATTTTTGCAACCTGTCTATTTTAATAAAGCTGTTGTAGCTTTAAAATGATATGATGTAACCATATGATGTAAGTCTCAAACGAGTACATGCTCAAAATAACAAAGCCATGGATAACGAGTACATGCTCGAAACGTCGTGTTTTTAACAATCAAACTATTATATTTTCATTCTGGTACTAAATTTATTTGCTAACTGTATTATCGTTATAAAGTTTACATCACTGGCATAGATATAAGCAGGCTGATAGAATCCGACGTGAACATATCATTGGATTGTAAAGAAGTTTCTCGACGAATTACCCCGAATTATTCAGTTGTTGTTTAGTAATACAACTCTAGACGTAAGAACAGTGGCGGCTCTTGCTAATGGACATCTGGGGCAATGCCCCCTCAAAAAGATTCAAAGGAAATCTATGATATTCATATTTAATTTTAAAGATAGTCTTACTGTGGTTAATTATGTTAGTTTGTATCTCTTCTAGAAAAAGCTCCTTGCTATTCCGTCTCGTCCTTAGCCTCGCTTCTGGCCCGCTAGTGCCTTGAGCGATGATGTCATTTTACGGGCAAAGTTTTTTTTGCCCCTAGCCGACATGCGCACAAGCTAATTTTCGACCTCGAGCATTGCGAAACGCGGCCTGTGATTGGCTTATTTGGAGGAATTCGGGGCCAAGAAAAATTTTGCCCATAAAATGACATCATCGCTAAACAACAACCACATCTATATATGCTTCTTCTTCTGCGCTCCATGACGATCAACATCGAACCATGGATACAGTGAATAATTTGCAAACTCGACCTTTCTATCGATTATCGCAATATTGATGGTCTGCCCTCCCAACTGTGAAAGTCACGAGCCGCCACTGCGTAAGAATAAATAACCCCGAGACAGAGCCCCTCAGTAGCAATATGGACTCTCCACAAGGTGATGCACTCAGTGGTGCACTGTTTATCATTTATTCTGGAAGCTATATATGCTGACAGTGCTGATTTCCTTACAAATAGTGAAGTTGAGAAGAATACCACAACAAAAAAGATTGGCGAAATTCTATTAAGAGATAATTTGAAAGTAAACGATAGCAAAAGATGTGAATAAAAATTTTGATTCAGACTAGCAAAAGAAAAAGCAAAATTAAAATTGTACCTAAAAATGAAAATAAAAAGCATACATGATACCAATTCATTTACAGCTGAAAACTGCTAAGGTTTTTAATGGCTTACAATGGCGATTTTCAAGTGGTTTCCAATTATATATATTTTTTCATGACTAGTGTTCAGAGTGTAACAAAATGAAACCAAAAAGGAAGAGAACGCAAAATCCGTTGAAAGAACAAGGTAAGCGTCGTAAGATGATACCATTTAAGATAGCCAAATATCAAATCGATCATGATCTCTGGCTTTAAACTCTTTCTTTGGTAGTTTTTCCCAAGCATCAAGCTGTGCATCTGCAATAACTGCGAGAGGTGGAAGCCTATTAGGTACCGTCACATGGCATGGAGCTGAAACGTCTTTATTCAAATCCTTCTGATTTTTAAGCTTCTTAACCTGCAATCTCGCTTCCTTTTCTTGCTCTAAAGACCGAATCATCAAATCACTATCTAATTTCGATCGACTCAGTGAAACTTCAGATTGCAGCAGCAAATTACGATGCTCAGTGTATCGTTTTATGATTTCTTTCTGTCTATGCATATCTTTGCGTATGTTACATGTATTATCGACCTTGACTTGGATGACTTTTTCTTTAGCTGCAGCGGATGCATGGCTGACAAGAGCTTTCGAAATAGCATTGTTCTGGCAAACAAATTCGACTGCGAAGGCGCGATCCTTTCTCCGTTGTTTTCCTCGCTTCAATCGCTCGTTTCTTTCAGCAGACACAAGTTCCTGTCTCTCTTCAACTTCAGCTTTATAATCGTCCATAACTTGACCTAATTCAGCAGCTGCATGATTTTTTTCCGAATGAATTCTTCTAATTGAAGAGTATTTATTGTGGTTCATCACCCGAGATCTTAGCTCACGTTTTTCTTTCATCGATCGAACGTGAGACATCTTTGCTAGCAGTGACTTTGTACGATCACGGTCTTTATAGGCTTGATCCACTGCACGAAAACAAGAAAGAGCAATTGTACCATGAGTTCTTATATAAAGCTTCTGGTCATTTGTTATTGGATAATGTCTCTCAATAACCGGGGGTGCTCTTCTATGCATCGAGTTTTCAAATGCCTTGACTGAGTTACGAATATCTCGAGCACCGTAAACGATATCCCGTGTCAGCTCTTCCAATAAATCGCCAGATACCCTCGGTGCACGGATACCAGATAACCGAAAAGGAACCATCCCGTCTTCATCTTTTATTTCCTCATTCTTACCATTGCCACATTTAAAAGTCGCTTGCTTTATTAAATTCTGTTTCTCTTTTTGTCTTATCTCCCGGTCGAGTTGTATTAAATTATTAGAAGTGAAGTTCCCAACTAAATCAACGCTAATGGGTTTCTGTTGTGATGCTTTCCCTGAATCTTTTTTGGTTGAACGGGATGTTGGTTTTTTTCTTGACTCGGAAACACTTTCATCTAATGTCAAAGATTCATCAATTATTTTGCTTGTAGAAGTTTCTAGTTCCTTTAGGTTTATATGGATTTTCAAAGTCGTGTCATCTGCTTTGGAAAGGCAAAATTTTGGGCTAGCCTCTGGTATGTAATTGTTCATCGGCCGCGACAGAAGAGGCAAGACTGTTGCAGAGTGACGACTTCTATGCCTTGAACGCCGGTATTTGATATAAGTATCGTAGTCGATACGTTGAGATGAAAGGCTTGCAAACGACAATCCATCTATATTCACTTGATTCTGTGGCATCTCAAGTCCTTTATACTCACGGTAGAATCTCTGAATAGTAACTGCAGCCCTAGAAGGACAAATGATGCTTCAAATACAAACTGGCGGATGACGGGTAAAAAACTCTTCAAAATGTAAGATTAAAGTGATACATAATGAGTTACCAAAGAGACTATTTACCACTAAATTTGACCCAAATGGAAAACTATTATTCTAATGTTAACGCATTTTGGAGGCCGCTCACACAGCTCTTTTTTGGGCAAATTGAGGCACTAGCGAAGCGAAAACGGAACTAGCGGCGGAACAACAACGGAACGACCACGGAACTAGCACGTAATTGCCCAACCTAAAAGCCTATAAAGCCGTCTGAATCCTTAATTTTGTTTTGTTATGCTAGACTAAGATCTACAGGTTGAGTAACAACAAAAATTTTATTCTAAGTAGGCCTCGATAAGGAGCCGTGGTTCGATTCGTGGATTATTGGGCTAGTTCCTGGGTGGTTGGTTCCGCTAGTTCCTCGTTTTAGCAACGCCGACTGCTAGTTACCTTGACCATGAGGGAAAGATAAACAATAAAAAAACCTATATCTTAAAATTTTGCTGGTAATACATCTCGCCATGCCCTGACAGTAGCCTGAAAGAAAAGCTTTATCGCTACGATTTACAATGCACGAAATGCTGTAACTGCGTGAATGAATTTTCATTTAACGTAACATAAAACGCAAGGAAGGTCAGCAGTGTTTCATTTAAGAAAGAGTAACTGGTAGTCCACAGTAGCTGTGACACTTCAAGGTGATGTAGAGTAATATATCTTATTCTATAAATAACAACTTTATCAAAAAGGGAATCTATAGATAGGCGAAAGTTAAGTAATTGAAGAAAAGAAAATAAGACATAAATGACAGAAAAATTAGCACATTTACCTCATGAATTTGTTTCCTGGGTCAAGCTGACCCACGAAAGATTGTACTTGCTTCATCCACTAGTAATTCCTTATAAATAATCATGGTATACCCTTGAAGAATATCAATTTGTCGATTCAAATATTCTGTTCCGTTTTGCGTAAATCGATTTAGATCCACGATCAAAAAGTTCTTATTACATCTTTCATTTCTCTATATTTTACAAACATGCCACCTCTAGTTATAATAGCTTTTAATTGCGATTTTTGGAAATTTTTTTGGATGAATCACAAATGAAACTATTGTCGTTTTTGAAAACTCTCTAAGTCAGAGAACAGATTCCATTGCTGTTATTCCTGCTACTCAAAATGTTCCTAGATGAACAATTATTTTAAGCCCTGGCTTAAGCAAGCATTGTTTTTATAAACCGAAATCAGCAATTTGTGGAGGTAATCTATGTCAAGAACAAATATAATGTATATTCTTTAAATGATCCTGCAAAATTAGTCCCCTTCAATCTCTGGTGTTGACAATTTTGTTTGACCTTTTTTCAAGATGCATCTTCACAGAAACTGCAAATGAATTGAACTATGATGGGAGCAGTATTTCCTTTGTGTTGAGTTTGGGAGAGCAATTCACAGCTTTCCTCAGTTTCTGAGGGGAGCAAAGAGGCAAGCATGAACAATTACTCACCTCAATTAATCAGCCTTGATATGTGAAATTATGTGATATTCAAATATGAAACAAACCAAAATACCCTGCTTGATACAATGATAATTTGGGTAAGCAGAATAAAAAGATGTAGAAAATGTAAATAAGACTTTTGTCTCACCACAAGCGTTTTTCTTTCTCATATCCACATCTGGATCTTGCAAGATAACCACGAATATGTCTCTGAATAATCAGAACAGGACTATATTTTGCTTGCACCTTGTTGACAAAAGTAAGGTCTTCTTGAAGGGCTTGAAACTCATCCAGAACTGTCCAGTGAGCCTGAGAAATACACAAATCTACTTTATCTGAATGGAATGATACTTTTGGCCAGCAATCTTGGTGGCATATGACAACAAACATTGAAATAAAACATCTCCGTCTATTTTAAAATAAAGGCATGTAATAAATATTCAAGAATAAATAAATCTAACTTCTAAAGATTATGTTTGTGAACATACATAGTACTCGCTTTTTTCTATTGCACACAAAAATTCTTCAGTAGGAATTACCTAGTCTCCATAAATTCAAATTATTTATGTAGTTAATAAATATATCACAAAGAAAACATATTCTTACTTTGCTTTCTCCTGTTTTAGGCTTGATTACAAACTGAGGCTGTAAAGCTTTAAATCTGGTAAGGAAATTGGCATCTTCGATGATCTCCTCATCTGAGATGATAATGTTATCCAAAACTTTTAATGACAAAATTGAATTGGTAGTAAAGTGTCTATAATGCATCTTCAAACTAACTGGAGTATCAAACAATGTTAGCATCCATAATTTTTGTGAAAAACACATCTTTTTAATCTCCTCAAATGATGTTACTCCATTGTTATGGAGGTAAACAATTTGGAGATTTTCCAGCTCAGACCAGAAGACTTCAGCTGGAAGCTCTTGTATCTACAATATAATATAAAAAATTAACATTGACATTGACCATCAATATTAAAATTGCATCAGATGTTTAAATATAAATTGGATTGATTCAAATAATTATGTTAACTAAATTATAAACACAGAATCTTTGCGGGACTGGAGCAAACAAACAAACAGCTTTGTTATTCAGAAAATTGAATGAAACATCAAATGAAAAGAGGCACACTCATTCTTAGCACGAAAGTCCAATTGTACAGCCTAGCGCTAAGAGGTGACATCAGCTACTTCAGAGTGGGAGGGTGATGAGCATGGCCAGTAAGACTGCACCCATTTTGCATTGTTTAAGTGCATTGTTCCAGGTTAATTTACCTTTGGAAATATGATCTCCCCCTATCTAGTGCTTTTTAATCCATTTCCAGAAGAAGTGTGTGGACCATGATTTGACAAAGGTTGAGGGAGGTTTATTACCTGCCCCCATACCCCCCTTGGTGTCACCACTGCTAGGCTAGTGCACACAGGAGATTTGTAGCTAACAACAAATAACTTTTTCCAGTAACAAATGGCAAAAAAAATTGATGATTGATGAGTTGTTTTTTTAATTCATGCTTCTTTTAACTTTACTTTGTTGTTGATTTATATCAATTCTAGCTAGTGATAAATCACTTAATTTCAAGTGTTGGTCTTCAGTGATAAGTAAAAAGGGGTTTTTCTTATTACACAAGGGGGTGTCACTTTTCCCAAAAAAATATAAATGGAGGAGTCTTAATAGACAGACGATAATAGCAATATGGAATAAATGGGGCTTACACTGAATCATAATACTAATCATTACTTTGCAAAGTTATGGCAAAGATACAGTTTAATGGTATTGTGTGTGTTATAAATGGTGTTTAATAGGATTGTATCCATTAGAAAAAATCTTGCACAGATTGAAAAACAAGATAATAACTGACGGGGAGGGAATCCTAATGAGCTTGGGGTTTAGAAAACTTCCAAAAAATAGTAAGCATTCTTTCCCATTGATTCAGCACTAAGTACCTACCAAAGGATGATGATTACAAGTCTTATCAAACCTTTGATTTTCATTGCTAAAACAGCCAGAATAATTTATGGTACAAATTTTAGTGACTGATGGTTGGCTCTAAGGTGGTCTGCAGAGTAATTAATCACAGTCATTTCAAGCACGTTTTCTGCATGCAAACTCCCTTGTATCATTCAAATGTCACGCAAGAAGAAGGTTTACATAAAAGCACCATAAAATTGGTATGCAACATCAAATATTGATGTGCCACAATTATTAAACCTTGCATGTGCACCTAACATTCTCTGTAGATTAGGCTCCAAGGAGCATTTTCCCTTAATAATTCGTCAATAAACAAAGTTGCAAATTACATAACTTGCTCCTGGCACATAATGATGTCATTAATATGACTCAATATCTATCTAAGTTTTACAACCACGACTGTTCAATTCAAGAAACTTCTTTCATTTATGAATGAGGTAGCTTTCCATAATCATTTATGATTGACGTAGAATTAAGGGGTGTAGTCATTAACATTCAATATTGTGGCAGAATAAGCAATTTTTATTTTCGTATGGCCCCTGGTCTCCTGAATACCCCCCGTATGTCGGCAAATTACTCTGGCTTACCCTAGCAGGGCTGAATAGAAAAAAATGTGATCATACGTTTTAAGACGTTTGTTGAATTACAGACATAATACTCACCTGATTTTGATGAGCATCTAGTTTCACAAGACTTTTGCAAGACTGCAGAGCATCTATTCTGGTTATGTAATTCCCACTGACATTGCAAATAGTCAGGTTGAAGCATAAGCTTATAGGTCCCATAGTTCTTAACTTACATAGATTGAAGCTCAGTATCTTTATGTTTTCGAGTTTGGCATTTTCCTTTTTACTTTTTTCGTCCAACGGTATTTCATCTTCACCCTCTTGCCGTCGGATGTCTGTCCTCCAAGATCGGCCTAACAAATCATCGATGGTCAAGGCCTTGAAGTAGCCCGAGCCAACAGCAATTCTTACTGCGTTTTTTTCTAAATGCCTTTCATAATTATCTGCATCTTTCTGTGCGGCAATCAAATCATGCTCAGTTCTCTTGTTTGAACGGTTAACAGTCATTGCTGGAAAATATTCCTACTACTGCACGCCATTGATCATTTCCTTAGCTGCCATTATATTTCATATTTTGTTGTCCATAGCAACATATAATTCCATTTTGCTGTTGCTGTTGCTGTCGTTATCCCTCCGCTCCGCTCAACTCTGTCATTCGCAACTGGTTTACAACATACAAAAGAAAAACACCAGTTTATATCTAAAGATATTACTAGCTGCTAAACAAAATTCTTTGCCGAACATATGTATGGAATAAACTCACAGAGAGCTATTTTGGCCATGTGCCCGGGTTGTCATGTGACAACAGGATAGGTTTACAGAAACTTCGATAATAAAGGTACGAAAAATGGAGATGTTGATAGGCTAGTATTGCTAGTTAAATCTGTTTGTATGGAATTTGTTTGGATTACTGTGGCTGTCAGTTTCAGCAAACTCTCTAATGGTAATTCAAATTAATTGGTTCTAATTAGCTTGAGTATAAGTACAAATTAATTGGTTCTAAATAGCTTGACTAAAGATTGTACCATCTTTAAATAAATAGATAAAGAAAAAAAACCAGGGATGTAGGCATTGACGTAAAAGATTAATATTAGGGCTCTACAATCCCTTATTTGGGTTCGCATCATTTTCACTGTATTGCCTAGGGTTCCATTGTGATGTAGGCTAAGAGGAAAGAGAAAATCATGCCATTGTTGGGGAAAAATTATCATTTTCTAGCTAAATGACTTTTAAATGGGAGAGGAATGTAGTGAATGACTGCATTACGCGTCGCTGTAGTGTTTCTACCACTTAACTTTTGATTGGTGGATGGCTAAACCCCTCAAACATAAATGTCCGCAATGAAATAGTATCATCCAACAGAGCAAATCATGGGCCTAATGGAATGTCTCAGTTATTCAAGAAAATCTTGATATGTAATTTTCCAGTCAAAGCACATTGGGGGTTGATAATTTTTCCGATCATTAGTTGAGCAGCCAGGTTAATTGATTGTTTGAGCAGCAGTCAAGATGGAAACATCAGTAGCATAGGCAGGGCTGGCGAAACGTTCTTGGAAGGTGGTAATAGGGGGGGGGGGGGGCAAAGTGTTTAGATTGCTCCGTTGTTTACTAAAGGTCACCACCATGGTTAGGAATTTTGGCCGGATTCAATAAAAAGTTTGGAAATATGACATTATAGGCATTGGGCAGAAAATGCATCTAAAATATTTACACCATCAATTTTGACTAACATTTGAGTTTGGTTTGATTTTGACATAACAATGGGAAGGAAGTTGGAGTTGGTTTTATAATAAACTTTAAGCGTTTGACAACGCTTGATTACGGGGAACAACATTTTAACAACGAGGAATGAGTGGGAAAAGGTGGAAGCGATGCAAATGTGGAGAGTCAGAATCAAAGCAGCTGACTCTAGAATAATATGAACTGAAACAAAGCAAAACTGGGCAAAAATAGAAGGCAAAATTAGTACAACAAAAACAAGCAACGTCTTAAAAAATGTCCTGCGAAGATTTCCTTTTTGAATGAGCATGTAGAAAAGGCTACAGCTTTAGCTTTCTCTTCCTTGCACCCTTATTTGTGGCTAAAAATGACAGTTTTTGACCAGTGAAATGTGTTCGAGTAAAGCCAATCTCCTCAAACTTTCCCAGTAATTCTATGAAAATAATTGTCGTCCCTGATGATAAATTGTTCACAATTACCGACAAACCAAGATCAAAATCTCAACTTTTAGGGACAAGCGCAACATTTCCGACACACCTAACTTTAGGCAAATTTCTAAATGAAATAGTAAAAAACCTGTCTTGCCTGTAGAAGAAAGTAACTGAGTGTTCTCAGTAAGATATCTTCAAAAGTAGAGAGCCATTCTATTCTTTGTTTAAATGTCAAACTCTACATTTAAACTCTACATCTACATCTATATGAGTATAAAGCTTGTATTGCATCTTAGTCTTCCAGTTGCATCTCGTCCCTTTTTCTTGTTCAGTTTACAATGGCAGACATGTGCTGGAGCAAAACGTTAATCCCAGCTCTCTATGCGTTACACGATTCTTGTCTGACCGAAGAACAAACAAGGAGGGTGGCTGAGCCCTCCGCAGTTTTGATGTATATCTGGTTTGCATTAAAGTAATCTACCTTTCTAGAAATTGAGTCAAAAATCTGTTATGTCCTTGCAAACTTCGAAACTGAGGGCCCGAAGAGAATGTTTTTACGATTTTGGAACTTCATTAAGTATCCTAATATTGCGTTGGGAACAGTAAGCCCTGGACCTAGATTACTGCATGCTTACATGGGGTCCCAAATGATTTTTCATTGGATAAAGTTTTTTCAGTACTAAGATACCACAAAGTGATATTTTTATTTATTCTGTATCCACGTATCTTGATAGAGTCTAGGTGTAATAGCAAGAGAAGAGGGCCCCTACCAAACGATACAAGTTGCCATTTTATAGTAAAATGAAGAAAAATTGCAATAGTTTTGGGAGGGCCCACCGGGCGATCGCCCGGTTGCCCGACCGGCCAGTCCGCCCCTGGGTCAAAGCAAATAACTAAATTTGAACATTCAAGGAATGGAGGGTCAGAAAAAGGGGGCTGATTTGAATTTTAGGCCCTTAACGGTGCACTTAGCTTTAGTTTTTTCAGAACTGCAACTTCGAAGATACCCTTAAAACTATGTCCTGGCGTGTGAATCTAAATTCCAATGTTTGATATTTGATTTAAAGTTCCTATATATCGGCCATAGTATCTCTATGACTATTTATGAGCCTTGTCTTGACGACCTTGAGTAGCAAAAGTTTCCCTCGTCTGAAGTCTGAGTCATTGCAAGTTGATCGAGAAAAAATGGGGGTCTACGCCCTTTAGAATGCCAGAAAACGCCCTTTTAAGAGATACTTGCCATTGGAAGGTGCCCGCCCCCTTTAGCCTCCCCCTAACTGCGCTACTGGATGTACCAAAGCATTAGCATGCAAAAAGTAGCTCTGAACATGCAATTTTTGAGGATAAAACGTTGCACAAGAGGCAAGATCGGGACTGTCCTTCATTCATTGAAATTAAACTGGTTAAAAAACTGTTACAGCAGATTGTTGAAATTTAGACTTTGCTTCTCAGACGTTGAGCCAGAAGATATCAGCACTGAGATTTTTCTATACAAACGATTCATAGACAGGGGTGTGCAGGGCACTTTTCCGAACACCGTGATTGCTCAACGGAAAGTACCTTATTTGATGGTGTCAAACTGCAATGGGTGAGCGCTCCCCCTCTAAATTAAAATACTGTATGATTCAGAAACTTGAACCCTCATAAAACAACCCGAGAGATCGCTGGATGGCTGTTATACCAGAGTTCTTAGAGGTTTCCTCAAAGAAAGTTGGGAAAAACATCTGCCAAATAAAACATTGCTCCACTCACGTCAAAAATAAGAAATTAGTGAGACATATAAAATTAGACGGTCACTGCATCAGAGATGACAATCAGCTTACAGCAAGGGTATAACAGCACACGGCCCTGTAAGACAAGGCGGACAAGCAAAAACATTCATTGATGTTTTGAAAAAGATGCAGGCCCAAGGACCGCGGAGCATATTAGGATAGAGGGGGCTAAAACGTTTTTTGGGGGGGCTAAACATGCTAAACACAAAGAGCATGGCGATGTTTGGTATGATTTTAAGTACATTTTGAAAATTTTAAATTATGAGAGGCCTCTACCACTTTTCTGCAGAGCAAAATAAAGTATATCATTATGTAGGTAACTGTGCCTAGTATTCCCTTTAACTATGTCTTTAGATTTAGTTTGGTTGCTACACTCGTTTTATTAAGAAACACTCAATTTAAGTTCAGGCTGATTGTTCTTATTTTTTTGAAAAATCTGAGACTGAATTGTTCTTGATTTGTTCTGAAATTAATAGGGTGCGAGCAGTGCAATTGCTAGCTTTTTCGCACCAGGGAGTTGTCCAGGCCCCATTTGCTAACAAAGTGACCGAGACAACCTTCATTTGCCTACAAGTTTGAAATATCATTGAAGAACCACCCATAAATGGCAAAAATCCTCGTTATTGAGATGAAACGTTGCTTAAAATTACATTTTACAGTAGCTCAGTACCAGCTTGTTCTTAAATTTTTCTTAACTTTTGACCAATTTTGAGGCTCGTGTTCTTATAAAATTGTTCTTATAAGAAATAAAGAATGTATATCTTTACTATAGAAGACACACGCAATATTGAATATGGGAATTTGATCGAAGAAATCGGTCGTTGTCCAAGTTGTACAACAAGTAACAGCTTGGCGTATGAAATAGATCAAGAAACCTGTTCCAGAATAACTTGGTGCCAGCACATATTGATGAAGTTTCGTTTTTTCTACGGCCTAAGCTTGGCTCGCAAGGTCTTTTTTGTTAACGAACAATTTCTCAGAAAGATACAAAGCACCTTACTTCCGAAAAATTTAAGATCAGATGTTGTCAAATAATTTCCCGACTGTACAAAAATGCTTAATCTTTTATTTTTAGCTGAAGGTTTTTATGTTGATATTTCATTGTTAATGTTTTTATCAAACCGTGTCTCATTTATCATTCTCCTCTATCTTATATTGGGTAAATTTTAAATCTTAAAAGGAGTTATGTTAAAAAGCCATATTAAAAAGGCTATTCTAAAACTTTGCAAGACCTTTCCTACTTCAAGACAACGTTCCAGTAGTCGATACTTATTGATTACATTTATTAAACAAAGCTTATATATGTTGCCTCGGATTTTCCTTCGTCAAAATCCGTTTCAGATTCAGTCTCTGGCCTTCCCAAAGATGCAGTAATTCTAAAATTTTTCTTGCCGCCAAACATGGTGTCGGCCTTTGCCAAGCTCAGTCAAGATTAAACATTTTTGCCCCTCCACTTTCAAATACGTTCCGCCCTGCTTCTCCCTCCTAGAGAAAGTCCCAGGCTGATTTCACGAATCAGTAGAAGCCTAAGTACCCTATTGCAAACTATGGCAGAATTAATGATCCTTAAACACAGGGCATTCTTAAGCTTCCCGTCTCACACCGAGATTGACTTTTCGTTTATGTAGGCTTTTCTGTCAGCAAAGAACATTTCGTAGCCTTTAATCCGATTATCATTAAGACGTAGAAGGGAGGAGATTAGTATGCTATATTCATGAGATTACGTATGCTATAAAAAAGAAACCAACGGGTGAAATTATTTCTTTCAAGTATTAATTCATGCTTTCAGGCTATTTTTAGAGACATGTTTCCTTAAATAGATTTGAGAAACGAAAAAAGTCTTAACAAGTTCCTTATATTCCATGCCAGTGCAGCAACAATCTATACCAGAAAGAAAATTTCCTGCCAGCATTATCGAAAAATAGCATAGTCACTGCTGTTTTTGCAAAGAATTCATAACTGCTAGTTGCAAGTACGATTTATTGTATTAGAACTAGCGATATTTGGAGGTAGAGAATCAAGGAGAAGATAATTACTATCACCCCATAGAATGGTTGCTTAAAATCACAGGTACAAATCGCTACGTCATTTTGTAGTTCAAGGATAGGCACAGATCATTGAACAATTATCCTGTAATTATCACGATATATAAGAACAATTTTTCCAAATACTAAAACACAATGTTTCAAAACTTCATGCCACCTAAAAACAACTGCTTTATTAACTTGTTTGAATAAATTGATTATTCGATGTGTTTTGGGTATCAGTGCCGACCACCGACCATGGAAGAAAAGCGAAATTTTGGAATGGACTATAAACTGGCTTCTGAGAAAGCTTCTGGAATCATCATGGTTATGATAATCTCAATGAAATTTATAGCTAGATAAAGATAAACATTTTTAACCTTATTGAGTCAATAGAAATAGGAATCTAATACAATAATTATAATAAAGAACTTAATATATTGTGGAAATGGTACATTTTGTCAGCTGCACAGTATTTTGAAGGTATAAACTGCTCTGTCCACTAATTAATAGAAAATATACGGAAGTTTGAACACCTACAATTCATGCTTATGAAACATACAATATAAGTCAAAATGTTAGCAAGTTTTATGGTTGAGTCAGACTCTAATCAGACAACTAGACACGCTTGCAGCTTTCCTTTGGAGCTACTAAGATAAACGAAACCAAATGTGTAGTAATTGTTCTAAACAGCATAGAATCTTGATCCTTCATCGAAGCAAATTGAAAATGCTTTGCATTATATCAGGCAACGCGAATAAGGGGGGCTGGGGGCTTTAGTCCCCCCCACTTTTTCCAAAAGATGCCAAATATTGAGTAACAAACTATCAGTAAGGCCTCTTTTATACCGTTTGAGCTCCCCCCCCCACTTTTTTAGACCCCCCACTTTTCTCAACGCTCCGCGGTGCCTGTATATGCTACCTATTCCCTTGAATTATTCCATGAAATCATTTCCGATATCCAATAATTTCAGATATGTCTACATCTTACGCAATTTCGCGACGTTGTGACAATATAACAACTCTATTGGTACCTGGTGCAGCCAACATGTTATCAGACAAATATTTGCTCAAGAGAACTGTTTGGGTACTGAATCCTACCGGAAAATTTGCTAAAAGTCTATGCTTCAAAGGTTCTCTCGCAAAAAGAGAAAAATGGATGTATTTCTGTACAAAGATATTTCAATAATAAGTAAAAGCCCCGAGCTTTTGTTGTTAAGATAAACAAAATGAAGTAGATTCAAATGTTTGCTTAACTTAATTCTGCCATTTTAATTCCCATTTACGCTTTAAGAGGCAAGCTAGTTTTACTGCTTTGAACGGACCCGCCTCTTTGAAGTACTTATTGCGTTAAGGTAATGCCTTGAAAGACCGAGACACTCCCACTGCATAAATTTATAGCACTGAAGCTCATGAATAGAGGCCGGGAATAATCAAAAATAAGAATCCTGGGGAAAAAATATTTTTACCTGGAAAAAAGCCAGTTCCACTCTTTCCTGTAAACTTGCCAGTCGCATCGTCATAAAAACATTTAATTAAGTAATATGACATTAAGATACCTTTAGCTCATGAAAATTAAACACGCTCGATTGCAATATGTCTTCATAAGTAAATTTTCTATATGAAAAGCAGTTTCATTCAATTTGTCCATAATTTGAGAGGCCATGGTTTTCATCTCGTTTGGATGCATGAATTATTTTATCAAAAATCATGATCTACAAACAAAATACTCTTTAACTGCTTTCTTCATCTTGACGAAAGCTTTCTTAAACTCTGGAATACGTAGGCAGTATATAATTGGATTGAGCGCCGATGATAAAAGTGCCCATGAAATCAATAACCTACCCAACCCAAAGTCTTTTCCAGCTCCTACAGGCCAGTTGTTCAACCTTTGCCACGTAAAAGTCAAAATTGGAACATAAAATATGATCCAAGCTAGAAAAAGGCCTCCTAAAGTTTTTACTAGCTTGCCCTCTTGTTTTCTGTTCCGCATTTCACCCCTAATCACACGATAGAATCGTACAAATGAATTTGATGGGGTTGGGGTTTCAGACTTTTCTTTAAGAGACTGCGCCCAGGCTTCTAAAACAGGGAATCCAGTCATAACTCCAAAAAGGTCGAGTGATATAGCATCATTGGATGTTGTAGTAGTTTCAAGAACTCTGGTATCTACATGCTCATTGGTCCTTTTAGAGATTGACCCTCTTTCCGCGTATGAAATCAATGTTTCTAATTGGTCAACTTCGTCGCGAGTCGGTCTCATATCTAGTCCATAGTCTTCTTCAATCTTCTGTCTTTGATGACTGCTGATCAACACAGAAAACCTCATCACACGCCGCGCACTTGTTTGGAAAGTTTTCGGTGAAGGTTTCGATTTTCTTTCCAGATCTTCAATGATCTTCAGAAAAGAAGCTTCGGACGGGATGCCATCTTTTGAATTATCCTTACTTAGAGAAACTTTTTGCCAAAGTTTTGGCCATAATCCCCTTTTCTTTTCCGACTTTTCATCAAAACTGTCCCTTGAATGGTTCTGAAAATTTATTTTTCTTGAGTTCATTTTAGGATCGTTCAAATAATCTGCATCGAATACCTCATCATGTTTATCGAAATAATCACCGATACTCTCTATTTCATAAACATCAGCATCCAGCGTCAGCGGTATGGAGATTTTCTCTCTCGAATAAGACTGAGGAAAACCTCCAACTTGTGCATCGCCATCTTCTGTTTTTTCCTCAAAGTCCCCTTTTACTTTGTTTGTATACCATATATCGTTTTCAAGCAAATCCTCATAACCCTTTGACATTACATTTTCGGCCTTTATTGGCGAAACAGTCTTTCGCGGGTCAACTCTATCATTATTCAAACTGGCACCAACTATATGTTGTCCATCAACATCCTTATTGTTTGCATTAAGGTCCTGTGGAGCTATGATATTGCTCCTTTTTCTTTTTGGCTTTACATTAATCGAGTTCTTCCTAATGTTACACGAAATGTTTGCAAAGCTTACTGTTGACTGCTTTCTATTGGCAGTATTTACTTCTTCTTTGCCAGATTTCTGCAAACAATAGTTTTTGTCCCCCATCAGGCGAACAGATGGCGGCTCGTTTTGAACTACACTTCCCTTCATCTTGGCTGCTCCTGTAGGATTGTCAGCATTTACTGAATTAAAGAATTCTGCTGAATGTTCTTTAACAGACGAATAATCTCGGAGAATCATATCATCAGATTTCGCAGATGCTGAATTTCCACCAGAACTGCTGACACTTATCTGTTCTCTTTCAAATAGGTTTTCACAGTTACTAGATATCTGACTTTCAGTGAATTGTACTGGGCTCAAAACCGTTTCTGTTGTAGAGACGGAGCCTGTCGTTGATATACCAGCGTTTGATCCAAAAAACTGATTGTCTCTTGATTTGGACAACCTGTGATAAAGACGTCGCATGTTCCGCTCCATGTTCTTAATTTGCCTTATATGCTTCAAGGATATCTTGAAAATCACAGAGTAACACAGCAACATCATGATCAACGGGATGATGAAATAGATCACTGTAACGACTCCAGAGTATGTTTCTATTGATAAACTAATTGGCAATAGTTCTTCTCTATCTTCTGGTCCATCACTGACAAGCTTTGATTTCAAGCCTGATAAATTCTTAGCACCAAGCATAGCTAAATGTGTAGAATCACAGTTGAACATGAGCACGCGAAATGATGGCATCCAGTCTCCAGGCTTCTTGTAAACTGCATGGGTCAAGATGATACCAATAGCTGGTAGAAACCATACTAATACCATAAGTGATATGAAGGTTTTGATGGTGAAAATGTCTTTGTACCGAAGAGGTCTTGCGATAGCAATCAGCCTGTTAATACTTTCCAACAGTAAATGAAGGATTGTAACACAAATCAGGTACAATCCAACTGTTGACACTATTAGACACGATTCGAATCTTACGCTTGCATTGCCAATATTAAACAAGGTTTGGATCTCCAATATGAGGGGTATGATTTTAAGCAAATCAGCCAACGCTAGGCTGATCAATATGCCAAATCGTCGGTCCTGGAGAATTCTATGTGTACAAAATGCCAACAAGACTCCCCCATTCAGAGCAGAGTTTAGTATGATCGCCAACAGGAGTATTGTCAGCGCAGCATAATCATACGGCCCATCCATCTTCATAACATTGTCCAACTCTAAGCTGCTACAACGGCCAGCATTGCAAACGAATTAAACGTCAGGTTTGTTGCATCTCACTGTTATGGAGAGAAACTCAAAATGAGATTCAAATCGAATTCAAAGCTTCCCATTAGCGTTGCTGAATATCTGTGAATAGAAGGGGGGTAATATAGCTCAAACTATTTCAGGGATAGGCGCAAATATTGGATGTTATATCGTGGATGAAAGGCTATTTTCTATACAAAACGTGAAAAATTGTAAACTTGACACCTAAACTTTGCGCTCCTCTATTTTCTTCTGCAAACATGAAACATTTCTAATGTCCCTTAGCGCATCAATATACTTTAGTTTTATAGAAAAAGCAAATGAATTGTTACTCAGTTTTAAGTTAACAATGCCAGTCAACACTCGAACACAAATGTGAAAACAATAATGAATGGATTCAATTGTCATCTTATATCTGAGAAATTCAAGTAAGGATCCTAAGCTCGAAATGAGCGTTTGCGGATAAAATACTATATTGCCTAGTCGAAGGACAATTTCATGTTCTATTTACCTCCCGAAGTTGTTTCAAATAATCTCAGCAGTACCGAAAAGACGATTATAAGCTAAAGATTGAACGTTGTTAAAATCAAAGAGATTATACGCGCCAGTGAACAATGATTTCGAAATGCCAATGCCACGCAGTATATGGGGAAGTCTTTTTGTACTGTAAAAGTGCACAGAAATAACATCAGTTGGTATGGAGCAAACAATACAGTCTAGGAAGCAACCTATAAACAAATGTTTCCAGGGAACTGAGGCATTCGCTGCTAAAGCGCTGTTCGGTTGAATCTGTGTTATTATCATTATTGAAGTAGTCCTCTGTATGTTGATTTGGAAAACAGCATACTCTGGTTTGATTATCAAATGAGTGTGATTTTTTATGTAATTTAAATGTTATCTCACAGCGTATTCATGCTAACTTTTACCTGGAATCCTAAAGCTGCCCATATATTGTAGAAACATCTTTTTAAAACACGAAGTCATTGCAAATAATAAAGTAACTTTAAATGGCGAAAAATGTGTTCAGAATTGCCCCATCCCAATGCTACTCTTGCATCCATGACAATTGCCCTTCCTTTAGAGCTCAATACCTTAAAGAATATCCCAGATAGGGGTTAATAGTCATTTGCCAAGGTTCTTTCAATTTGTAATCAGGTCAATGTTTAGAGATATTTAATCATCAACATTTTGGGGTTCCATATAAACAAAAAGTGTCATCCGCTGAAAAAATTCTTTTAAAATGTAAGGTAAATTATTATGATATTGAAGAATAGTAAAGAACCAAGAACTGAGCGTTGATGACCTCCACAAGCATCCTTCACCAGTGTGGATGTATGACCATTAGCTGATACATATGGCTTGCGGTCTTTAAAAAACAAATGCAACCATGTTTGGGATGTTTAATACAATAAAGAGATCCTATCTCAACGATTTGAAGTACAAAGACTTGATTTTTTCACAAACTTATTAAAGCATGTAGAATACAACGAGTCTGTCAAATCTCTAGCAATCAACAACGGAGCGAAATCTAGGAGGAAGAATTGTAACAAAATGCAACAAACTGTGGTTAAAATATAAATACAAATTATTCTCAATAAAAAGTATTTTTTGACCAATTCTTGTACAAGGGATCTCCTTAAAATGCCTGTTGACGATGTAGAAAGCTCTCTTGACTTAACTTCCAAGGCTGTAATTTGAAGCGATTGCAATTTGTACTGCAATCGAAAACATGGTCAAGGCCACAAAGCTTTAGCAGTTTTACTCTAATGAGCCCCGAATGCTTAGTCAAAAAAACAGTCTACATTGCTTAATTTTTTAAATTTTAGATTTTCAAATTTGAAATTTTAAAGTTAGATGTATTGCTAAGATATATAGTATATGAGTGTGCTAACCATCCCTCCCAGATATATGCATTTTCACAGAATGTAGATATGATATTGGCCTAGCATTAGATAATTTAGCATCCCCTTTTCTGTACAGAGAATGATACATGTATTTGTGAGAGTTTGGTCAATTGAGGAGGATTAATGCCCCCTGTCACTGCAATTTAGGGGCTTGCGTATGCAACATATAGCAAGGACGCATCCTAAAAATGATCGGCAGGGGCGAACTTTACTTAAAATTATAGGTATAGGCTTTCTCTTAGAAACTTCATCTGATATAATGCAAGTTTCTAAGGGAAATTGTTCCCTAAAAATCTGCCAATTTTCTTGCTAGATTTTGGTGCACGGATTAATGAAGAGACCCTAAAACCTCTATACATCCGCATATCGGGAGAAGCACACGATTTACTTACTACGCGGGGAGACACCATAGTTGCTATGGAAGGGTAAGGAAATTTACAAATGCCTCTAGTTCGCTGTGAGAAAGCTGTTTGAAGACTTTGATCAATTTCCTGGTGCCATTGTAACATGTTCTCGCTTATACAACAAAGTTGGATGGATTTTCTTTAGAAATCTCTCAAAGGGAGTGGTTGGGACAAAGTAAGGATGTTATCGGGACCAATCGAGACGGTAACATACATATACATACATTTTTAATGCTTTTTTGCATTGAAGTTCCCATCGTCCTTCAAGGAAATGACTTGCCAAGCCTTCATAAACTGACAGATAACAGCAATGGTAAAAACAGAAAGCACTATGATCTTTTACCATGTGTTCTCTCCACTATCTAAAAGTAGGCCTTGTTTGCCTCCACGCATTTATATGCAACGCTTACGTACCGTATTTTCTGTTTTAAGGCAAATGGGTCTTCTGAAATGTAATGAAGGACAACGGAGAGTTTCTAGCAACCTCCAGTTAGCTTTGCACAGTCATCGAACCGATTTGTCAAAGGATTGAAGAAATACATATGTTGGCTGTGTGGGAGTAAACGACTTGATGCCGTCACTGATGTAAGAGGGAAGCTTTTTCGAAAAACATTTGCAAGAGACAAGAAAACTACAAATCTACCTCTATGCCTACTATATTGCAAGCCTGTGGAGACCGGATAGAAGAGCCATATCCAAAGGTATAAGAAGGACTTTTGCATCAGTTAGATGTCAAGGAAGTCTAGATGATGAAGATAATATGGACACTGAAAAATTCAGTGACAGTGCAGATGATTGAGAAATTAACGATATGATAGCATGCACGAAGTCAGCACTGAGAAGTTGAGCGGGAAAGAGGGGCGAAGCCAGAAAGTTTAATCGGAGCGGCAGTATTGTCTTTGGCCGACACAAAGGGCGTGTCTTACTCTTTTTGGGTGTGGTCGTAAAATAAGTAACGTTATATGCAGTGGCGTAGCGTGAGCGCAGAACTTAGGCATGCGGTAACATAAAATATACGGCTATGTTGAATAAATGTAATGGTAATTTCAATTTCTAAAAAATACAAGCGTTAATTAATGATAATCGTGATAGCAAATTTTGATTTTCAAAGTAACAAATCATTTGTACTCTAATTCTAATCAATCAAGGTGTCTATTCTTAGCATCAGAGGCTCCGATAGAGGCTCCGATCACCCATGCGAAAGTTTTTGAAAAAAGCTCAATTGTTTAGCAAGACTTTTCAGAATAACTCCTAGTGCTAAAACTGCTTCGCAAAAGATTTTATTCTTATTCATATTCCTCAAGAAAAGGCATCACCTAATGCCCACCTAATGTAAGAATTTTTTATGCTATAATGAAGCTGGGGATTCCCGCAAGAAGGAGCTCTCCACATTGCGAAATTGTTAACACACTGCAGAGCCTAAGTGAACAGGAGCAACAGTTTCTGCTCATTTTTTTACTCTCATAGTTAACGAAGATGAAAATAGTGAGCTGTGAGAGTTGTTAGAAGTGAAGATGCTTCCATGTGTAAAGTTTCAGAAAGTTAGTCCCGGCAAATCATCATGTGTTTGGCAAGGCTTGCGCTCAGGTCTACCGCATGCCCTGGTCCGTAAATTCTGACTATACTGGCAAGCCTTTTGACTTGAATTACGGAATGCGGATCATGACCAATAGACTCTGACCCCACTTTGACGAAACATTTTCTCTTTTCAACAGTCACAAAGTAAAGAAAGGAAAATAATTGGATTTGGAATGATGTATCACGCAAAGAGTATTCGCAAAAAGCAGCTTATAGGTAGAAAAATGTTGTGGATTATCAAATATTTGGGAAGGCTTGCGCTCAGGCCGACCGCAAGCTCCAGTCCGGAAAATTCTCACTTCTCTCAGAAGCTTCTCTCCAGTTGTACTGAAGCTGCACTGGAGCATCACACGTTTCTCTTATTTTAGACAGGCAAAAAGAGTGATGTGGAGGGGCTTCAGTTTTTCAGATTTTTCGAATTTCATAATTTTTAGCGATCTGTTTACTTGGAAAAATAGCCAATTGGGGCCAATTGGCCTGTTGGCGCTAGAGTTCACCGCATGCTGCTCATGACAAGAAAGAGAAGCCGTTTATTGCGGAAATTGTTATGCATTGAAAGTGTTGCAAGAATTTTAGACTTTGTCTATAAATTTTTACGCTTGCGCCGCAAGCGTAGCATACATAGACGCTACGCCACTGGTTATATGCTGTTTTTATGTGTTTCTAACTCATTATTAAGAATTCTTAAATTTCAATTTGTATTTTTAGTGCTTACTTTGAAAGTTTAGCTGCTATAGAAATTTGAGCAAGTTACAATTGTTTCAAAAAGATTATAGTTATGCTATAGGGTGAGAAAAATATTATGCGCCGACAGAAAAGGTATGGGAACTAAGCGCCCTCTTTAAGGGGTGCCCCTGGCAGGCAATGCCGAGTTAAGCACGGCTTCTTTGCAATTGATACAGAGTTTGATACAGATTTATCATCTTGCCCCGGATAAAGAATTTTTGCAATTTAATGAATTTTTACGTATGAAAATGGAATATTTCATAGACTTTATTTGCTTTGCATCATATTTCATGCATAAATATCGCAGACATGCACTGCTTGCAAATCAGTTATTTCATTTTGAGGATTTGGACCAAGATCAATGTTCTAAAAATCGAAAATGGGTAATTTATGGACTTTATTTGCTTTGCATGACATTTCACACTTTACATTATATACAGATACCAAATTTTACAGGTATACAATGGTTAAATCGCTCGCAAGTGACTTTTTTCATTTTGAGGACTGGAAACAAGTTCAATGTTCTAAAAATAGCTTTCAGAGGATTTTTTCAGCTTGGATCTGTTTCGCATTGTTTTCTACGAATCAAACTACATAAGCTATGAAGTTTTCATGCTGGTATCATATTTTGCACGATTGTTGCAAGATTTTGCGTTAACAGACCTAACTACTACTCGAGGATAGATCGTAAATTCAAATGACTTCAGTCGCAACAACAACAACAACAATAATCAGAGAATGGCCTAACTCTGTAGTGTGGCGGGGGAAGCTTGTACGGTACTGTAAAGGTAATATATTTTCAATTAAATTAAAAATCTTCTTATGTTTTTCTTATCGCTTATGATTTTACTCTCGTAGTCTTAAAACTTTTGAAACTATACCATATCTTCATTTGCGTACATGAAGATTTTTTTATATTTGATGTAATTGAAGTAATATATCAGATCAACCAAATGGAAGATTTTATTTGCTTGCTGTTGACAAAAATTAAAGATTGCCGATGCAAGAAATATTGTGACAATATTGTACAAATCTGTATAATACTTAGCCATAATGTGTTAATGAAAGAAGGCTAAGGGGACTGTTTGTTTGAAGCTCTAATTTCCACTGATCTTCCATGGTTTTGAAACAATTCAATATGTTGGCTCCAAACTTTGGAACACCCTCCCACTTTTCATTCGTGTTGCTAGCTCCGTTGCAGGTTTTCGGTTTAAATTGAATATTCATTTCCTTGACTCATACTGAAAACTAACTTCCTGAACTCAACCTTATTTCTCGATTAAAAATCTTTAAATTGTTGCTATTCATTTGGTCTCTTCAAAAAAACCTGGCAAACATTTTGTTTTGCAATCAATCTTAAATACAATCATCTGAAGTTTTTTTTCTGTAATCTTTAATTTTAATTCATTTTTGTGTAGTGCAGAATTTTTGTATGTATTTAGGTGTAGTGTATTATGTAGAATTGTATTTAGGATTGATTGATGAATGATGAAAACTGAAACTAAACAAATCTTTTCCCAGGGTGATATCCATGTAAACCTCATGCCATATATTAGATATGTAATTCATGCTGTGCCGAAAATTTTATTGTGTAATGCGCAAGCACTGATGCACAGAAACTGAAAACACTTCAAAAGTTATAAACGTTAACATTATCAACATAACAGAACATTTTATAAAATATCAAAATAATATGTGAATAATAAGTCAGTAAATAATGAACAAGAACAAATAGTGTTATTTATATTGTAACTTTAATTTACATAGCTAAAAACGGACAAAGGAAATTTCAGTTTGTCGAAATAGTCAGGGGAGGTGCCAGCGCCAAAAAAGTGGGGTGGAAAATGAAGGGGTGGAGCTGATAAAGTGGTGAGAAACTGGTGCAACACCATACGAGAATTCACATTATTGATAACCAAGTTTGACATATTTCGAAACCTTCAATAAAAGACTGAGTTAAACTTCACAGGCAAAGGTTTACACACATAAAAGCTAATAACATAAAAGTTAATTTCAGAGTTGTATTTTTAGCCATACCTCGATCGATGCTAATTTGAACAAGGTTTTCCAACCTTTCATCTGACATTGAGGCTAAAAGGTAATGGAACTGTAACAGGTGGAGCTGCAACTATACTATCCTTACAGCTTAAAGGGCATGTGTTGTGAACATGATTGGCTCATGCAATACAATTATCTCGTTTGTCTAGTACAAAGCATGGAATCGAAGGTGAATTTTTACAGCAGTAAAAATTAATTGAAGAAAATTAAATAATTAAAGAAACTTGAGGTTCTGTGGCATCAAATTTTGTGGCAGCAAGTTGCAAGAGGCTTCAATATCCTAAATCCTAATGATGTGGAAAGGGCATTCAGTATCTCAACCCTTCTGCTTAATAACTGATGGCTATGCATGAACCATGAAACCATGGAATAACTCTGTGATTTGAAAGGTAATGAAAAATAATCTTCACAGATTCAGTGTATCTCAAGAAGAGAAGTAAAACACAATCATTCAGATCAAAGATTCAAAGGAGACCATTCAGTAAAATATATGATATACCAGTAAAATTTATGATATGCCTTGTGGGCCTTGTCCATTGCAGAGATGCATTTTGCATTGCGTGATGCAGTAAAACAGTATCAGAGACAGAACTAAAAGAGAAGTAAAACACGACCATTTAATCCTGATTACTTTGTTGAAAACTTTTACCTAAGTATGTGAGATCAAATGTTCTGCTTGATTCTTTATACATTTTCATTATGGTATTGTTACGAAAATTACAGTTTACCAGTCTTTCAATAAGTGCTTGATAACATATGGGCAGGGCTGTACATGCCTTTATTGTGTAGAGCAGGGTGGTTCTACACAATTAGTGTGAAACTGGGAGCAGCAACTTAGAACTGTAATCCTGCTTTATACACTTCAAGCATATATGTATAGTTTTATATTTTTTCAAACTCCTACTTTTTACAATCGAAAAGATCCCAATAACAAAATTAATGTGAAGTAAAAAGCAAAAAAACCAAAGCAACAATAAAAGGTTTATAGGTAAATAGTAGGATTCTTAAAGTGGACACTAAAGTGAAAAGACCAACTCCTTGCTACTCCTGCTACTCCTTCCTTTAAAGTGGTAACCCATTGTTCTCCTTGTGCTTTAAACACTTAAAGGACTACAGAGAGTTTCCCTTCATGCAATTTTCTCTACTCTGTGACTGTGCATTTTCATTTGAAATCAAATTTGTTGTTCTGAGGGCTGGCTCCAATTCTAGGTGGCTTGTTTTTTTTAAAAAATTGCAAAAAGTTGTGATTGTACTGCCATGTAGGACTTACTATTGATTCTAATTGGAAGTTTATTGATTATATTTTTTTTCTGTTTCACAATTAACTACCTGAGATTGTGTAAATTTACAACCCAGTGCTCATCAACAAAAGTGGCTCATACCATTTATCTCAAGAAAATATGCACTGAACTGTTTATGAATACACAATTGTGATATGATAGCCAATGTTGTGACATATGACATATATCTAATGATATGACAGATACTGTATACTGGCATAGTAACAGGTGTTGTCATTACTTTTTTAACATTGATGTCCTAACTCTTCTATTTCCAATATTCAATTTTACTTTTCAACCTTACAATATTTTGGTAATATTGCTCTTGCATTGAAAGATTTTGTTTTTCTGATGGATCTGTTATAATTTTTTTTTTAAAAAAATTAATCTCAAATTGAGTGTTCTATTCTTTTTGAATTTTGATCGCATTAGGTACTTATGTAAAAGTTTTATGCAATAATTTTTCTCTGTCTGGAAACAAAATATTTGCCCTTGCGCAATGGAGTAGATGAGCTGGGAAAAGAAAGCAGAGAGCTTAAGTCTTCAATAATCTTGCTTTTGAAAACTTTGAGAAACATTTTGTAGAGAATATGATCAATCAAAGATGTGAAAAGACAGTTTATAATCACTTCCCATCATTACTTTCTGTCTGGCAGTCAGCAGGGCAAAACATTATTTTATTCCACTTCTCGAACGTACAGATTGCAAGCGTTAAACTCGATGGGGTATTATCAAGCTAAGGTATTTGACCTGCTGTAGCTATGGTTGCTTATATATGATGTTTTTCGCATTTATGCAAGTGGCTTCTACGTCTTAAATGCCAATGAATGTCAAGCAGGTGAACTATTGATTCTATTTGCAACGTTCAAAGAGGTATCATAACTTGACGGGTGTTTCTTTGTCTGTCATCGGCTTGCGTCCAAAACAAATTTATTCTGTTCAAATATCTTGACAATTGACAGGGATGTTTCCATGAGACTATGACTTCATGAAATCATCTTCTGATGTTTATTGGCTGGGCTTGTATTTTATATTGACAAATACTTCATCTGGTGCTTTTAACGATTGTAACTGCAGTGTTGCAGATCCAGCAAAAAAGTACTTGTGATGAAAGTTTGGAAGCTTACTATTCTATCGCACATTTTCTATTTCCCATCTTCCCTGAACTGAAAGGCTTGCTACGAAGGAAAGGTAAAGCCTGACAGAAAATCGCGGAGAAGGCGTTAGAATACGAAGTCAATCGACGAAAGGCATGAATATCTTGCAACCGTCACCGCCATTTAACAAATGTGGCTTTATACTAAGATCACAACCAGTGCTGTCTATATAAAAAAGAGGGCAGGATGGATATTGTCAACAAGATTTGTTTGTTTTTTTATGTCGTTGCTCTATGTGTCAATCTAATTTTGAACGGTCTCGTTTTATTTGCAATTTACAAAAGCCGACGCTTGCTTCTAAAGAAACGATTTGCTCTTCTCATCAGCATGGCTGTAGCTGACCTCTTGAAAGTTGTCCCATCCTCTGCCCAGATAGTCGCTGTTGTGCATGGGCCCAGTCATGCTAATGGCAGGTCCGCTTGTTTGGTTTCATCTTCAGTCGGTTTTCTGTTCATCTCTGTAACTGCACTTCATCTTGCATTTGAAAGTGTTAATCGACTTGTCTCCATACTTTGGCCTTTGAGATATGAACAATTTACTAACTCCAAGAAATACTCAGTCATCATCATGTCAGTTTGGCTGTTGCCAGTTATAGGTGTGATAATGCCAATCCATTTTTTGTTTGGGCGTCATAGAGATTCGTATCATGCGCTGAGGATGAGAATGTTTTCTTGTTCCATAGACGTCATTGAAAAACATGAGAGCGGTGTTTGGACGACTTATGTCACCTACGCGATATGTGTTACTATTATCTTTTTTATAATACCTTTTGTGATCATGGGTGCTTCATATTCAATCATGTTCAAAATATCTCTTAAACATATCCGTGAAATCAAACGAATTGAAAATCAGATGCAAAAGTTGCGCCAATACCGAGAATCGATATCTGAAGAAGTAGCCACGTTTGCCTCTCCTGGCTCAAGCAGATTGAGCAGATCTAGAATTCATCTTGGTAATGATGAAGATGTAACATTGAAAGGTTGTAGAAATCAGGGAAATGTGTCACGTCTGAGTTCCTTAACGTCCTCTGAAGGTAGAAATCCAGCAAAAGGCATTCGTTCGCGGGCGGCATCTTGGCCAAGTAGCGAAGAACTAGTAAGTAATGTTTTGAGAGATGGCAAAGGCACTGAAGCATGTGGTTTTCACTTGCACTGTGATTGTACGCTGGAAACAGATGACAGCATTAAGAAAAGAAAAATTTGCACATGTTCCCCGGAAGAATCATTTACAGGAAAGAGGGTATGTATGTGCTTTATATCAGACGGAGGGAAAGAGAACTGTATCGAAAACACTTCTAAAGAAACGAGTACAGATGACACAGGCAGAAAGTTTATATTGGTGAAAAACTGCGATAACTATACTGAATCTTGTCAAGATCTATCATTTAATGGAGTGTATTCCGAAATGAAGACACGGTGTTTTGATGAGGCACAAACTAAAAACTCGGGAAAAATTTCTGTTCAACCCACGATTGTTGTTACTGCCGCAGATGATGGGTTAGAAAGTGACCCCTTCAATTTTGTTAAAGAATTTTCAGTTATGGGAGCATGGGCCGAGACACTTCGGCAAAGGGCCTTAGAAGATGATGAATTTAGGTTTCCATTGTCAAATATCAACCTGTTAATCAGGGATGAAATAAGGAAAAGAAAAAGAGAGATTCGATTAGCAAGAACTTTGAGCGGACTTGTTGGAGCATTTGTAATTTTTTACCTCCCAATGTTGATATTTGCATGGACAAACATGGTCAGAGATGCAATTCAAACTGAGTTCTCCTTCGATTTTGGCAGAAGCTTGGTTGCTTGGGCATTTTTGAACTCAGCACTAAATCCACTGATATACTGTCTGCGAATTGTAGAAATTAAGAAGTCTGTTATGAAAATTCTTAGAAATTTTCGAAATCTTTTTAAATGCTTTTAAGTTAGATATAAGCTGTTTTCGATTATCACTCACCAATTTCATCCAAGACGCTGACGGTGATGTGCTTATTTCTAAATGAAAAATAATTAGAGTTCTGACATTGTAATAAATCGCAGTTTTATCAATTGTCAAGACACATTGTTCTATTGGAACTGTACAGCTAGACTGGTTTATCTATTTAATAGGTACATAATGACCAAATCTTGCAGCGTTGTTGTCAGTTCATTAAAAAACTTCATATCATAATATGGCAATGATAGATGACGGAGGAGGTCAGTACGAAGTACTACAGATAGTTAGCGAGATTAATAGCAACATATGCCTCAATAATATCTTTTCTGCGGGCATGAATATTTAAAACCAGAACACAATTGTAACCTTTGTAGCGATACGTCGAGATATTTTAAGATCTTTCTGTGAGAATGCGTGTCTCTTTCCATGGTGGATATTGGAGTGGATATAGATATCGCCTGGAGTTGTAGATATCTTGGGGTTCAATTTAATAGCACCAAGAGCTGAAAACCTTCCCGCTGAAGTATGCAATGTATTTTTAAATGCTTCCAGAATTCCTACCCAATAGGATATGACATGATATATCGTTATTTTTGGGAAAACTAAATTTACCTACAGACTCTTCAAAACCAAGCAAGCAACGAAGGGTCCCTACAAAAAACAGCTATGCTGCACCAGGATTATTAGTTCTAGATAAACTAGATAAAAGAGCTGCGGCAGAGCGAACTGACTAGAATAGAACAGACAATGTTTTCATTGCATCGCCAAATGTTGTCGAACCAAAGCTTAATGCAAATGATGTCAAATACCAGTGACGACTTTCCATCACCAATGAAAATATCATAGAATCGCTAATAACGTAAGTTTTTGCAGAATACAGACTTGGCGCGACCTCTCAGCTGAAGCGAAGAAAGTACCCTATCTAAACGACTTGCAATCCCTGCCAAACCTACTTTGAACATCCAGCAACGTGCTTTTCGTTTTCTCCGTTATTTCTTTTCCCGAATACTACTTCTTCTGCCCCTTCACCCAAAACAATGTTAATTGCCTTGACTAATACCACACAAACTACACAAACCAACGTACTTCCTAATTTCTTATGTCGTTTATAGAAAACCAATATTGTTCCAAGGGGGCAAAAAGAAGATGGCTGAGTTTGCTAGACATCAGTGTTTCAAGTCTTTGGCAAGGGTTTTTGTTCTTGTGTGGTGTCGCAAAAAACTTAAGCCTTCCTGAACTGCCTCCCTCTTTTTTTTGATCCACCTTTTTATCCATACGTAGGTTTATAATGTTTTTGTAGATTTCATACTGCTTATGGGTTTAGTGAAATGGAAATTCCTTTGAAAGCGAAAGTAAAATGACAAAAATTAACAAGCAATGCAAACTTGTATAGGAGGAAAACAAGCGAATGTCAGCTAATGGGTCAGCTACCTATATTAATCGTCTTACATTATTAAAGCATGCGTGTTAAACTGGGGGCATTGTTACGCATTATTTTAAACTGAATGAAGGGGGTGGCTCACCGTGGCATGGGGGTGCATGGAGGGTGCATGGAGGTGCATGAAGGGCCATAAATGGCGGAAAATTCTGTCCCCTGCCAAATGAATGCCTAAATTTCCAACAATGATGGCTCAGACATTAGAAAGCGTTCGCTTCCTCTAAAAAATACGCCTTTAAGAGAGAGAGACCATCCAGAAAGCTAGTGTTGTTTTAGATGTTGTGCGAAACATTTAGTTCAGGAATGCTCTGGTTCAGTAGAAGAAAGCACTCTTGCCCGATAGAAAACCGGATATAATATTCAGGAATTGCTTCTTTCGGATGATGCGAACCCGACGCAGGACGTGCTGTCAGGAGCAATTGATAATTGTGATGCACGGAAACATTTTGTTGAGAGCGGTGACTGTGGTTGCCTTGATCATTTCAGCCTAACGAGCCATTTCCTTTTTTATTATTTCAGATTAGAGATACGTCGGTTGTATGATCGTACGTTGTATGAGAAATGCCGAAAGTTATATCAAGAGCCATAGTCTGTTCAGATACTCAGGATAAAGAGGAATACAAAGATGAAGATATTCCTCTTTTTGTTTATTTTTGTATTTGTGGACAATTGGCTCTGATTATTGGTGAGTCTTTATTTCGTAACTACAGATAGCAGATTGTTATATTGCTCATATCTTCGGTAAGAAAATTCTGTTTCACTACTTCCTCAACAATGCAGTTTTAAGAGAATTAATTACAAAAATGTTAAGCTCATTGTATCGTTTAAGGATTTATTTTCTTTGGTTCTTATTATTATCATCATCTTTCTGTTGTTCATTGATTCTGTTTTGTATTTACGTCACAAGCTTGTCTATTGCTCTATTATGTTTATCATTCCCTTTTCCGGGAAATATATATCACAGTCATGAATTATGTTACGTTTTACAGTGTTTATATTATTGTTCGTTTATATTAGTGACATAATTGTTCGTTTTAAACCTTAGCGATAAAAAAACCTAGCCAGAAGGTGATTGCATTTTCCTCCATAACGTAACCGCCTTGATGGGATGGGATTTAATTTATAACTTGGGTTGAACCGAGCTCTTTTAACGCTACACCAGGTTAAAGGAAGTAAAAAAAGTAAAGGATTGAGCCCAAGCTAGTGTACAATGCATATTCCTAAATTTTAGCAAAGAGGGAAGCTGACGTTCATCGTCCAGTGCTCTTGCGGTATTGCTTAAAACCTACCACCAAAGCAAATCAACACCTGCGTTAGTCACCTATTACCTCGCTTAAAAGCGCATGCACTTATAAACGGAAATTCACGATTATTTCCATTTTTAGGGTACGAGAAAACGATTCATGCGCCTATAAATAAGAAAAGGTTTTTAACAATAAAATCACATAAGTAATGTTTTAACAATAGAAATTGCATATTTTAACCGTTATTCAATGACAATTCCCATGGATCCGAATCATTCTAAATGATCAATCAGCTATTTTTTCAAGGTTGTCTTAATCATCATGTCAGTTTAAACTCAAAGGACAATTCAAAGAAATTGATAATGCAAGAATAGTAATCGAGGAAGCATGTAAATAATGTCAAAGAGAAAGTAGATAGCCATATTGTTTTTTTTTGTTCTTTATCTTTCTCGCAAAAATCGTAAGATTAAAATCCACTAATAAGCGCATTGCGCCTGTATCCGGATATAAGCGCATGTGTCTTTAAATGAGGCGACAGTGGTTTAATTAAAAATTCGTCAGCAAGTTTTGCCTTGAAATGTATGACAATATTATGTCTACATTCGTGCATTAATTTATGAGGTACTTGAAATGTTGACAATATTTTGTCTACATTCGTGCATAGATATTTATGAGGTACATTGGCATTCGTAACCAATGTATGTCCTTAACTATGCTGTGTTTTTGCTGGGGGAAAGGTGAGTACAATCAGGTTATGTTGCGTTTACGCTTCAATAACTTCACCACGGTTCGTTCAATTTACCTCTTGTATGATGTCGTCCACATGGTTTTTCGAAGTTATTTCGTCAGAGACAAAAATAAAATCTTTGTTTTCTTGCACCCGTTATTTTGACTTCTTCTTCAAGTCAAATGTACAACTTTGCTTTTGGACACAATTTAGTTCTGAATAAAGAACGAACAACATTTTTCCTAGATTGCATTGAGTTGGTCAAGAAGGGTCAATTTCGGTCTTTTAAAGTGACAGCGATGATGACTAACTCGTATTCTGTGACTTCATAATCACATTTGTTAGATATGAGTTTCAGTTGGGTCTAGGGCCTACTCTTCAATGTAAGAATTGTTTTTGGTTCCTTCAGGAAAGGCTGTCGCATTTTGTTATGATTTAAAGCGCTTTGTTTTCTTTACAGACTGCGAATTAAGTAAGTTACCTTTAAGACCAAGAGACCACTCTAGAGTCATTGATCAAGGACATCATTCGTTTAAGCTCACCTGTGAAGATGGAGATGAGGTCTTCTTAAAAAGGTAAGAAACTTCAGTACAAGACCGTTTCTTTAAGACATTCTTGATGGAACAGCGCATCTTGAAAATTCTTACAAATATAGCTGTTAATTTTAAATTACTTTCTTGAACATTGATATTATCAGGAAAATAAATTCTAAAGTAAAAATTAATATGTAGCTATTTGTGTGTCCAGATTTGCACTTTGCGACGAAAGAAATATGCTTATACTTGCTTCTATCCATACTATTAGCTGACTTTTCAAATTTTAAGGTATTCAATAAACTTATTTGGTTAAGTATGTTTTTCTGACATTATTTCTTAAAGGCATTCAACAAATATGAAAAATAGCTTAAGCCATCTGTCAATCTATATTAGTCAATCAATAACCGTTTGAGTGGAATCACACTCACTGATTGGTCAATTCTTGATTAAAATATTTCTGATTAAAGTATCTGTCGATTGTTTTACGATCTCCGAGGTGATTTGTTATCTTGATTTTGTTCACTATTGCTGAATTGGTAAAATGTTTATTGTAGAGAAAAGGGTTTGGAGCGCCAGTTTCGTAAGAAGTGTAAAAGGTTTGTTGTGTTCATTTTCAAGATGATGCACTCGTCATTGAGTTTGTTCAAATGTATGGCTTTCAACATTCAGTAAAAAATTGACTGTCAAAGGACTTTATCATTCAAGTTTTCTACTTGGTTTTTAGACTGGAGAAAGTTTTTTTACTCTGATATTATTAAACGTTGAATTTGTCTCGTTTTAGTTGTGGCCTATGGTTATTTTATCAACATGAGAAACGCAATACAAAGATAACCTTTGTTGTTGATGGTAAGTGGAAAGAAAATTCACGAAAAATCCTTTGAGTAAAAGTTTCTTATTTAATCACCTACGTTGTCAGGAAAAAAGAAAAGTCCAAGCACCTGTAAAATAGGGAAAGTTTTCATTGGGAAAGTTCTCTGCTAATATTGATAGAACCAGATAAAAATCCATTGGTATCGACAATATTGATATTCAATATGACACTTCAGTATTCAATTCATGCAAATTGACGAGGGTTCAGACTCAGAAGAATTGACATCTTGTAAATTACTTGCTTATGACAAGTGTTATGCAAATGGTATATTAATTTTTGTAAAAACAATGATCGTTTGTATATCAAAACTTTTCTTTCATTGATGGATTTTTAATTCTTTATTGAGTGCCCCTCTCTAATGAGCGCCCCTCTCAAATGAGCGCCTCCTTTCAGAGGACGAAAATTAGATTAAACCCCCGGTGCTCATTAGAGATAATATTGTATAGCTATTTCTGTTGTTCGACTGGCTGGCTGTCCTTATTGAACCGTATCTCTGCCGCTGGCAACAAACAGACTTCCTTCTGATCACCAGGTATGTGTCATGGATATTTTTTGTAACCAGGGGCTTTGGTGAAAGGCAAGGAAGACGGTGAAAGCGATGGAAGACAAATATTTGCTCCAAAGAAGCAAAAGGTAAGTGTTAATACCATATTTGCCAGAACACATCAAGATGAAGATAACTTTCACTACCTCTCCTGTGGCTTTGCAATTTATGCCACGTGGAAGTGGCATTGCAAAAGGTTTATCAGTCTTCATTGAACGGATTAGAATTAACAATTTTTGCTCCTGCAGTGGTGCTCCTTGATGCAAATAGCCCCCGGAAATAACATAACTATAAAACATGAATCTCGTGGGCTCACTGCTTCCTGCTTCTCCGTTGGGCTTATACAAGGGCTGCTGTCACTATAGACTGGTTCCATTTCTCTAAAATAGTTCTTAAAAAGAGATCAAGAGGCATTTTAGGGTAGAAGCTGGGATCCAGTTTATTTGGGGTATTTCGACCATGCTGATTACGAATTTGGCGGATCCCAAGCGATCCCATGTTTGGTCCATTGCCCTGGAATCCTTTCGTGAAAGTAGAGCGACCTCTCTGGATATCTTCAAAGCCTTTGATCGCATCTGGCACAAAGGTCTTCTTTCCATGTGTTTCAGACCAATATGACCCTTCAGACCAATATGAGTCCCAGACCAGTATGACTCTGATTGGACCAGTATGACCCCTGAAGCAGCCAGCCTCGCTTGCAATCTTTTTTAGGAAAAAATATAAAGCGAAAAATACTTGCCCGTCTCTGCGAAATTAAGGGAAATTTGAACTTTATTTCGAAAAGTTTGGTTACAGGTCTTTGGTTGATAACAGTAGTTTACTTACTGAACAAATTAACCTGTATAGATATTTTCATATTAGCTTGACTTGATTAGATTAACTTGTATAATTTATTTTTATTAGTATTATTATTATTATTATTATTATTAAGGCATGCACTATCCTAATTCACAAAAAGGGTAGCAATGACGATCCAGCAAACTTCAGGCCAATCACTCTTGAGCCAGTGCCTTTGAAAATCTTCACATCATGCCTGCGTGACAGTCTATTCAATTTTCTTAAAGTTAATGGTCTCATTGAGCACGAAATACAAAAAGGCTTCACCTCGAATATTTCAGGGACCTTAGAGCATACTGCCATGATGGCTCAGGTCAAAAACAAAGCTCGTATCAAGCAACGTTCACTAGTTGTCACTCTTCTTGATCTCAAAAATGCATTCGGAGAAGTACATCATAATTTGATACCCACTGTACTATCTTACCATCATATCCCTGACAACATACAACTTCTTATCTCTAGCCTTTACGCCGATTTTAAAACCTCTATCATCACAAGCTTTCTTTAAACTTTCTAGCTACGTCTCTTAAAGCTGTTAATGAATCTACCATCTACGCTGATATACCTGGCTATCTTTCACCATCAATCATAACTGGAGAAAACCTTCGCCCAGATCTTCTCTTGAAGACTAACAACAATTACCTATACATCTTAGAGCTTACTGTTGGTTTTGAATCCAATCTTGACACAAATGCAACAAGAAAACACAGCAAGTATGCTTCTCTCCTATATGATTTACAGCGGCAGTTCAAATGTGTCTCTTTTGTGAATCTTTCTATGAGCTCTCTTGGCATCTTTGGCAATTCTTGCATCTCCTTCTTCAAAATGTGTGACTCTCTCTCCATCGATCAACAACAAAAACGGTATCTCATCTCTAAACTTTCCAACATTGCCATCCGTACTACGTACTACATATTTTGTTGCAAAAATAAACCATGGACAAATCCGGAATTACATCCGTTTTAATTTTGGTTGTTTTATTTTTCCTTGTCTCAGTTTTTCCTTTTACCTTACGGTTGTTATAGTTTTTTCTTGTAAAACCAGGCTAGCCAATTGCAAATTACCTTGTAATAGTGAGATTTGTAATTGTAGTTTAAGTTGAATTGAAAATGAAATGTTTCCATTATTGCTATTATTATTATTACTATTATTATGATTAGTATTATTATCAACTATTTTTGGCTTGCTCCTTGAGGTCTGGCGTTGTTCTTGCCTATACTAGACGATTTCGGAGTTCGCAATGCCATTACATAACCGGGGCAAAAGCTGCTTGAATTGCAACGACGGCCTAAAACATTGAGATTTGTAATTTTTTCTGTAGCTCAAACAAGGTTCATTGTTTATCAATTAAATTAAGATTTTAATTGTGTATTAATCTTTCTCTGTTCTAAAGACGTTTCTGGACCGAAATGTTGGGAAAAAGCCTTATCTATCTATCTTAGCTATCTAGTATCTAATCCTTTATTTATATTAAACTATCCTCTGGTTCTCTTTCAGTTCGGTCTTCCTGCAGAATGGCTTTGGATGTTGATCAGACAAAGATTTTAGTTACTCTACTTAGTTTTATTGAATTTTGGCAAGTGTGCTTCCCAAGATAGCAAAGACGTTTTTCTATAGCAAAGCTTTTTTGTGCTCTTCTCTCCAAACTTGCTTCATCACGATGTGTAGTCAAACAAACACTTGTTAAAGCTTTTTTGTGCTCTTCTCTCCGATCTTGCTTCGTCACAATTAACGTGGCTTTCCCGCGGCTTTCGATTCGTTTCGTTAGGTAATCAGAACAAATTCATTCACACTGCCCACGAAAAATACAATGAGCACATTCAGTGCCGTGATAACCGCTACAATAGCATCGACTTCTTTTTTCTTGCCCAGACGAATATGACCCTCTCTGGACCGATATGACTCTGGTGTCATATTGGTCTGGACCGATATGACTCTGGTGTCATATTGGTCTGGACCGATATGACTCTGGTGTCATATTGGTCTGGACCGATATGACTCTGGTGTCATATTGGTCTGGACCGATATGACTCTGGTGTCATATTGGTCTGGACCGATATGACTCTGGTGTCATATTGGTCCAAGGGGTCATATCAGTCTGGAACACATGGATTAACAACTTTATCTCTGATAGGTCCTTCACCATTAGTGTTACGGCTACCTCTCCAGATCTTATTTAATAAATCTTGGTGTGCGACAGGGTTCTGTCACATCTCCTGTTTATTTATCCTTTCATCAATGACCAACTAACTTTCACCGCTACAAGTATCATTATTTTGCTTATAACACCTATCTAAGCTCTTGTATCTCCTTCAATTGTCAACAAAGTTCTGCTATCAACAGCCCTTTCAAAGAAATATTTCAGAATGACTTCTTACTGATCACCTGGCAATAATTGAGAAGTGAGGTAAAGACAATGTCGTTAGTTTTTATCAAACTAAAACCACACCGGCTGTCATTTCATGTAAACGCTACCCTGACTTTCCTCCTTTTTCCATGAATAGTGCATATTTGGATAGACTTTTTTTACAACTAGGTCGACCTGTGCCATCCTACCTTAACTGGAAAATTCGCATTTCTTCTATTGCTAAACGTTCGTCTGAAAACCTCCGTTCCTCTCTAAAGCATTTGGACTTGTCCTTCCTTAGATTACTGCTCTCATATCTGGGGTGGTGCTCCTAAATCTTCCCTGTCCCTCCTTTACAAACTCTAACTTAGAGCCATTTAACTGGTCAACAACTCTTTTCTTACAAAGTCTAGCTAATGTTACTCTCTTCCTGTTTCCATGGCACTTTTAACCTTACATGTAGCTATTTAAACTGAAATAAACAGATTTCATCTTACCTCTGCCTCTTTCTTATCCACTTCTTTTCCCCTTTTGGGGCTTGGATAAAGGCTTCCAGGCCTTTCCCTAACATTGTCCACTAGAAAAGCAACCGTCAGTAAGCCAGTGTACAGAAAAAAAACTTGAGTGATATTCTCGAACCCTGCCTTGTTTTTACTGCTTTTGTGACGATGTTTTCAAAGTTTAAGGGTATTATCCGGAGAAAAGAAGAGCACTACCTGGCTTTGTTCCAGTCCATTCTACATTTAACGTTAAAACTTGTATTTTAGATTATGATGAAAAAGCATACCAAGGAATTTGGTAAATTTGGCTCTGTTACAGTGTCAACCATTGACGAGGAAGAAGAAGAAATAGAACAGGTATTAATGACATCAGATACTATGTTTTGTGCTGTGAGAACATTGCGTCCCTTTTCTCCGTTTTTTATTATCATTTTCCATTGAGGAGGGACCCCAAGCCTTACTGTTTTTTATCTGACACTCTTACGAATGGTGATAGTAATCTCAAAATGATCTGAATTGTCAAATTTTTTGTTGAAACAGTCAATTTTGTTTACAACTGGCTTGGCAGGCAATTATTTCGCTACGTTTGTTCTTCGATTGAGACTCAGAACATTCTTAGCTTTTGCATCGTTCTTAATAAGGGTCTAATATTTTGTCTTTGTGTAGAGTCGAACTATCTGAAATTAATAGTCATATGTCATTATATTGCAATTATAAAGCAAACTACACTTTATATTTAGTAAATCTTCAGAATGTTTATGTTTTGCTAATGGAACAAGGACGAAATGTTTCATTTATTTGCCAGGCGAAGAGATTATTCAATCATTCGAAAATTCTTATAAAATATTAAACTTTGTTGATTTCTTTTCGAAACTCCGGCTCTCAGCATTAGGATTTTGATGAAAAGTAAAACTTTGGCAAAATCTTAGAATGAATGAAATTTGATTTTTGTAAAAATATGTTTTGTAGCAGCTATTAGATTGAACTTAATGTAAGCAAAATGGTTTTCACCGTATTTCATTATGTACGATTACGTAGCTGACCTCATTCGAAGTACCCGCGCCAAAGGCCTGCCAAAAGGGGTGTCAGGGGTGTCAGGGGGCTATGATCCCCTAATTTTGAGTGACATAGTAATTCTGAGCTCTTTGAAGTTGAAGATGGGTCCTCTTGCACTTTGTATCTTCATTTTATTACCTTTGTCTTTTTATTTTTATCACCAAATCCTAATTTCAGCAAGAGGTTGCTTCGTCTTACGCATTCAACGCCCGTGTGATCGAGAAGCAACTTCAAAAGAAGAGGACTGCACAGCAGAAGGCAGCACAACTTGTAAGACAATTCATTAATCGGTTTCATGGATGTTTCCTAAAATTTTATTTTCTTGTTCTCTGTTACGTCATTCTAAATCTTTATTTTCGTAAATCCATTTGTAAAACCATGAAGCACCCTTTAATGTATAATGTTACAATTGTTTTTGCAATCCCTTAGCAGGGTCATATTTCGACCACAGTGGAATCACAGATTTTTGTCTTCTTGCTCCCAACTGTGTCATGATAACGCTATTATTGATATTTTTGTATTTTTCTTATTAAAACGGATTTTTGTTACCCAGGTCAAAGAGGAAGAGATGCAGGCAAAAAGGCAACGAGGAACTCTTATTGATAAGTAAAGATCTTTTCGTCGTAAAAAGCTTTCAACGTTTTGAAATTTCAACAAAAAGCCTCACTCTTCTTGGTACTTTAGAGCACCATATTGTGTTCCGAAATATGTGGCTGGTTTTGTTCATTTCTCATACAATGGTACACAATGGTTTTTCAACGGTGCACTTTACAGCAAAGTAATTTTGAACTCTCGTGGAAGTTAGTGATTTTAAAAAGCAGTGCACTTGAGGTTAGGTCACAGTTCATAGTTGACTGCCTTATCCGACTATTGCTATGATTTGATATGGGAAACATTCTCCGTCTGCTAGTATAGATTAAATATTTGTTTAAGAAGATATTCTCCAAAAACTGCGATTGTCTTATAGTGTTTATAAGTTTTTCTTATTATCTCTCCTTTCAGATACAATTCTTGCATTATTGTATGTTGTTTTTATTGATGTTTTTTTGCTATAAATAGCTTCAGGCTATTTCCGATATGTCCGAAACGATAGATAGCGTAAGTTCTTGAATATTTTCTCCTCCTACAACCCCCTCTCTAATTAACCACCAACCCTTGAAAAAGAAACGTTTTTAATAAGCCCTGACTCTCTAATAATCCCCTAGCCAAACTGCTCATAGATTTGTGAAAAGTATCAATTGTACCAATTGTCCTGGGTCACAATTTTGTTGTTGTTTTCACAATTTCGCAAATTTTTTGTTGTCAACATTGAATGCATGATGGATTTGCATTGAATGCATTGAATGCATTGAATTCATTTTTCAAGATGGACTTGAAAAAAAAGCTGAAAACGAGCTACTTGTATGGTACGTTTCAGACAATTTAAAGCCCTCCTTCTATTGTTTTTAGCTGTAACATCTAGATGTCAGTAACCATCCTATTAGCCCTGCTATCCAAACCTTTATAAGCAATTAGAGCTGATTCGAGGATTTAGGGCTGCATAAAAGCTGAATATTACTACTACCAAGCTGTGAGTGAATGGACGGATTATCAATCCTATTCTGTAGCATGTGAATACCTTTATCAAAACATGTTTCGCACCAAACCCCACCAATCAAACATCACATGCCAATAGAGCTAAGTTTTCTAAATTTGTGCTTCTACCAAACCAAAAAGCGCTTCACAACTTTCATCTGCAACTTTTCTAGCCAATGAACCCATTCTATTGATACACACCCATTTTTTATAATAAACAAAGCACGTGATAAGCACTTAGTTCCTTTTTTTCGTTGATTTCAGTGCTGAAAGTTTTCTCAAATTTGAGAATTTGTTCTTTGGCATCTATACCAAACGTAAAGAACTTACTTTTTAGAAAATAAAACGTAAATAGGTGACAAGGAGCTCTTCTGGCTATTTAAATATGCTACCTCAATAGAAAGGAAATGGGTGCCTAATTGTCGAAAAGAATCATTTCGAGCCTATCTCATCATATAAGGTTGAAGGTGACCAGTGCTTTGGTTTCTTTATTTTTCTGGTCAGTTTGGTCTTATGGCTCGGTTTTTTATGACGGTTCCTATCATTAAAAAAAACTGACCGTAGGTGAATATATTTTGGTATCACTACCCCCACTTCAATCAAGCAACCGCGTTTCCAAACTATTCAAAACTTTTTTCTATTGTTCCTATACATATTTTGTTCTCGGCTTCGGAGTAAGCACCAAAAATTCATACTAGTTGCAAATTTTCAAATTTCAAGCTCTTATGATGTTGATCATATGAGGAAAAGAAAAGGCAGGGACGCCGGAACGACCAAGGGGCAAGGGGGGGGGCAGACTTGAGTAAAAAGCATTGAAAAATAATTCTCAGCTACTAACAATTATTTCGTATCATTTTGTTTCGATCTATTGAAGGTACCTTGAAAATCGGCTAACTTTTTGCATATCAATTTTCTTTACAAATTTGTAGAAATGTCGCCATGAATCAGACAGTACTGTCGGAATTTTATATGAATCTTTTGATAATAACAAACGGCCGGTGTCATGGACACTTCTATGAAAAGGGCCCTTTGGCCCCCGGTGCTCCTCCTATCGAAAGGCAACAGGGGCGGTTGACCCCCGCCCCCTCTCCTGCGTCCCTGGATAAAGGGAATTCTATTAAGGAATTTAACCGCAACAATCGACTGAAGGGTTTAAAATTACACCCCGAATGGGTTTGCAGTCTAATCCTTTTTAAGTTTTTCGACTTCGTTTTGTCATAAAATCCGTATCGCAAATTCTATAGCTTTGAAGAATTGTAGCTGTACTAAAGTTTTGGATGCTTAATCCTAGACAGAAGTTAGAAATTTCATAGCAAGAAATTTTATTAAATAGAAGCCGCCTTCGCATTCTCGTTAATTAAAGCATTTTTCATTTATAAAAAGCATTTATAGAAAGGCATACCGTATTCTCTCTAATGAGCCTCGGGGGCGCTTGTTTAATGTTTTGGTCTCAGAAAGGGGGTGGTAATTAAAGAGGGGCGCTCATTAAAGAGGGGCGCTCATTAGAGAGGGTCGCTCATTGGAGAGAGGGCGCTCCCCGGCGCTCATTGCAGAGAATACCTAAAAGGAGAGAAGCCTAAAAATCTTGAAGGCAAGTAGGGTATTCCTTATTGTATCAATTAAACATGGTTTGATAAACACGCACAATTTCATTACAATCATCTCTTAATCAAATGTTAAAATTCGAATATTCTCAAAAATAGAAGCATTTTGTAATGAACAATAGATGAAAGCGGATGACTCAAAGCTTGTATTTATTGTTAATGTTATGTTTTTTATTGCATTTGGGTAAGGGTAACGGTGTACCCAACTGACATCATTTCACATCTTATGAACAGGAGTGGTGGTACTAGGGGGTTAAGGAGGCCAGGGAACGCGGAAACGGGATGCTAAGGAGGCTTTCGCCACGCAAATAATTTCCAAAATGTACTTAAAACCATACAAAAAAATTCCTTTTTTCTTGGGTTTAAGCTTGTTTAGCCTATCCCAAAACGTTTTAGCCCCCGCAATCTGTAATATGCTCCGCGGTCCTTGAAGGAGGCTCATACCCCCTCAGATTCCAGTTATTAATCGGCAGTTGTGTGGAATATAAACTTTGGAACCTTGAACTTTTTTTTCCAACTCCACCCCTATAGCTGATTAGGCCCTGAACAAGAATATGTCAAATATTATTATATAGACCTGACGATTCAGACGATTCGCTCTGATAATTTGCGCGCAAACTTTCCTCCTATTTTCCTTTAATAACTTCTAACTAAATTCATCTTTAAGACTGATTGATATTTTAAACGTCACAACTACCATATTTTGATTATTTTTTCCTTTTTTGTTAATAAAAAGAAATTCCAGGTAGTATAAAAGTGTTTGAAGTTTAGACAAAAATGTATGATTTGTAAAAACTTCCTCTGGTTTTCTTTTGATAACCGGAAGTTTAATCGATAGAGCATCGTCTGCTACACTGTTTTTTGTTGTTTGCAAGACCATAAAGCAAGTCCTCTTGCAAACTATAAAAAGCAATCAGTAAGATAATCTCAGAATTATTCTATTACACTCTTTTTGTAAGAAGCAGTAAATTGAAGTTAAGGCTGGTGGCTGGTTCTTAAATTTTTCCAAAAGCTGTGAGGCTGGATTGTTCTTTTTTTCTTCTTGAATCTCAGTGCCGTCGGAAGGAAATTCATTTTGGGGCTGTCCATTGTATTCTCGCTCAAGTACACTGTTATAAAGGAAATATACTACAGCTTGAAAAGGGGCCCTAGCCCCTCCCGTTTTCGATGGCCCATCCTCTATTTGCCAAGAAGTTTGAAACGTCACTGACGAAGCACTCCTAGATGAAGAGAAACTTCTCGTTTTTAAGATGGAATTTTTAAAGGGGTTTTTAAAACTTTACTCAGCAACATTTTACGGTACATCAGCTCCAGCTTTTTCTCGATTGGTTCTTGAATTTAGACCATTTTCGAGGCTCGCTATAAAATTGTTCTTATAAAGAGACAGTGTAGATGAGTCTGCATCTAAATTTTCTTCCTGCAATCTGAACGCGTTAGCTGTTATACTGAAGCCGAAAACATTCTGTCCGTATTCCAAAATATTGTTTACTTATTTTGACAATTATTTAAAACTTACTTTCGAAGTCAAGGAAAAGGAAGTTCAACTGACGTACACAATACCGGAAGATTTTCAAATGGTTCAAAACGGTGCTTTGCTTCCGCTTTGCCGCTTCGTTAACAGAATGGAAGGCCATCTATGTTTGGTTTGGTTGATATCCACGTTTTTGCTTGGCAGTTATACTCTTCAAGGTAAGACAGAGGAGAAATAATTCCATTTATTCGAGGTTTGAAACTTAAAAGAGAATTAGAAATTCATCCTCCCTCAATCACCCTTTTGTCAGAAAACGTTTTCCAGTCATTCGGTTTTATTTGAAATTGGGATTTTTTTCGAAAGGTTTGAAACTGCATCCAAAAAAAATATTTTGGCATTTGCTGTTCGTTGCTAGGGTTACAAAATCTGCTTGATGACCAGTCTGCAGAGCATGGCAGTTCTCGACAAGATCTTGTGTGTGCGAGAGTAACAAAAATGTGTGCATGTATCCAAGAGTTCTGAGATAGTGATGAGGCTCCCTGCGAGCGGTGCGAGAAGAAAATATCTGCAATCATACCCTTCAGATAAGCTTAATAAAACGCGTTTCAGAATATTTCCCACGTCGTTTTCTTGCAATCGTTTAAATATTAACACAATTTTTAGTCATATTTTTGTTACGTTTGTTAATTCCATTCTTAAAATGGGTTTCGTTACTTTTGAGGCCCCCTAGACCTCGAGGCCCTGGGCCAATTTATCACCCCCTCTCGGTGGCCTTGGTGCAAGGATGCACACTTTTTACCTCAGATTATATGGGTTCGCTCCTCTATTTTTTATGCTTTAATTTTGATTATTTTTGTTCCCTTGTACTTATTCGAATTGTTTTGATATTTTGCAGAAAAGACTGCCAGCATTACTAGGTTTGTGGCAACAGGGGTTCACAGGCTGGGATGTGATACTGAAGTGTAACTCCCCTACAGGTCGCTCAGTCAATTGATTTTAACACAATACATTCCATAGAATGAGCTATAGAATGGTTCATTCCTGACCCTATAATCCTGAGTTCTTGTTAACTGCTAAATATTTTGTAAAAGCAGCATTGCACAAAGAAATTCTTTTTCGGAATTTAAGGTTAGAAAACTCCCACACACCCATGGTTTCAAGAAAGTTTAAATATCCAAGCTTGTAGTCTCCCATTTCTTTACTTTCACCCCACAGAGCTAAAAAGTGGGCCTATTACCGTATTACGAAATGAAAAGACGCGACCGAAGTTGCAAAACGTGCCGTGACACATGAGCCAACTACTTGTTTATAAGGGAAGAGAAACATGGCTAGAAGTTACGGCATGACCAGTTCCTATGGTTCTCGCTCTCTTTCAGAGAAAAAGCTGCTGCGTTGGTCCAAATCTCATTTGACATCTTTTGATTGCATTTTTCCTGAAAACGCAACCGCATCCTAAAAGCCGTAAACGTTGCTGATTTACACCGAAAGACACAAGACAGTCATTATATTAAAACCGTAAGCCGCAGAAATCCACCCCCTTCCACCTACCTAATATACCTCATATTTTATCGACCCGCCCCTGAAAATCACTGGCTATTATGTCATTTTAATTTAACCCGAAGGAATTTTTCTTGTATACTTTTAGGGTACCCAGGCACCGCGGATCAGAAGGCTAGGGGGACTTTAGCCTCCCCCCCCCCCCTTTTTGCAAAAGATGCAAAATATAAAGAGGTGAGCCACCTGTAAAGCCTCGCTTTATTCGGTAGCCCCGCACTTTTTTATACCCCCCCCCCTACTTTTCTCAACGCTCCGCTGTGCCTGGTACCAGAGCCTATAAATTTGGCAGGGGAGTACAACAGCAAAACTACACAGTCAAAGTAATATATGTTTTTATCTATTGCTGTTACAAAAGATATTTTCAACTTTTGACAGTCAGATGGTTCTGATGCTGTTTATTTTTGTGACCAACGCTCATCAAGTTCAAGTGCCCCCTCCACCTTAAATTACAGTGAACTTTGATCCCCGTCCAAAGTACCAAATGACTACCACATTTCCATCGAAAATCACTTCCTTATCTCATGGCTGCGCAGCGCCTCAAAATATTGGTGCAGGTGATGGTTGTCGTCATTGCATTTGTCTTCTTGTATGTCATTGTCGTCTTTGCCGTTACCTTTCTCGTCATCAGTCTTCTTCGCTGTCGTCCTCTATATCGCCATCGTCTATGTCGTCGTCGTCGTTTTGATCGATGTTGCGTGTCAGATACTGACGTAGCCAACTTGACTACTGATAAATGATTCGTATTTTTAGCTACATCATCATGCCCAAGAAGGTCAGAAACAGATGGTCGATGTAGAAAACCTTGCCGTGCTGACAGCGAATGTAGCTCAAAGAAGACTTGTCTGTGTGACGGGCCATGCGGGATGAGTTGCCTCAAAAGAGGTTTCACTTTTTGACCACAGTTGGAACTTGAAAATTAAAAAAAAATATTTTGTAATTATAATATTAAAAGGCTGCTATAGTCCAACCATGTCACGAATAATGAAATCTTAAAGGCATTTGACACAGGTAGAAGTGGCACTCGACCACGAGCAGTTGACCAATCAAATTGCACACAGAGAAAAACACGTGAACAGTTTCCGTCTCTCTGCAAATCAGTGAAATCCTAGAGCAGCGCGTAGTGGTTTCACGTGAGCGGTTTTCAATACCTTTCTTGTGCGCGTGCCCTGATCAATTTGGCCTAAGTTATTTTTGGATTCGCTGTACTTATGCATGTCAAATGCCTTTAAGCTACCAACTTAATATTTTTAAAAGGCCTAAGGCAAGAAGAAGTCTTGAATTTTATGAATGCTTCGTCCAACATTTCCTTGAGAATTTTTTACTCTTTTGCTAATAGCTTTTGGGCTTTGCTTAGCATTAAAAAGAATTGCCAAAACATGTTTGAAAATTGATCGCTGATCTCTCTTTAACTAGGCCAAAAATGTCGCAGTGACTACTACGAAACTCCTGCTAATGGAAAACGAACTGTCAATGGGAATACATTGGGTGATACTGTTGTCTACAGTTGCAAAACCGGATATACACTTTTTGGAACGAGTGTACTGACATGCAGTGGCATTCGTAAGTGGAAACCATGGGACCAAGGAGAGCCAAAATGCAGTAAGGATAGCTTATAAATGATAGCCTCATTTTATTATCCTCCAAAGTTGCTTTTTACTAAATGTCTGCAAATTCATGTTTTAGTAATAACTCATTTGTAACTAACGAACCGTGCTTGGGATGGGGCAAAAATCCAAGGCTATGCTATGGCTCGAACGCCGTTTTCCTCAAATAACTGAATGAATGCTAGAGAAATGTAAAAAAACATGGGAGCCTATCTCGAGCAACAGCAACAACACAACAGCAGCAACGATAGAAAAACAGCAAACGAATGCAAGAAATGAAGCCACTTTCATGCAGTGGATCTTAGCAAATATCTCTCAGAATGAAAAAATAATTTCTCTACTATCATTGTCTTAAAGCGCAAGTATGCATAAACTGTAAGGGCATAGAACTACTCATATTTCACTAAATAACTGTTATTCAAGCGATTAAATTTATTTTGTCAATGCGATATTTTCGTTACCTTAAAAGTCGCCATGCATAAAAATATTTATCAGTGTTTCTTTCTTTTTTTCTATTCACTTTGAAAACTTACACTAACAAAATATCTCAAACACTATCTAACTGATAACGCTATTGTAACACTAAATATAGATATCCTGCATTATAATACTATATTATAAAGCTACATACACAGTACGATGCTACATGTACATATAAAATAAATACCGTATTTACTCTAATATTCCCGCTGCGGGATTAGCGTTTCAACCTAACAAAAAAGGCGGGATTATTGGAGAGGCGGGTATATTGGAGAGGCGGGATTATTTTTCAAGTCTAGTTTGAGGATACCGATTTAACAAAAAAGTATCTTAAACATGATTGTGGCAAATCAGAGAAAAAATATGCAATTTAAACATATATGGGGGGTTAAAATTAAATGGGGGGGGTGGGATATTTATTTTCACAGACAAGACAGAGCAGATGTTGTGCTTTATAGACAGTAGTACGAAGTCAAAGAATCAAATGTATTTTTATGCCGCGAGACTTGGATGTTTGATAAACTTGTAAAATAGGACAGCTCTCTGACCTCTCCCGTCTATGACATTATCATGTGATTAAACCCATTCACTCCAAGCACAAGTTTCAATCCTTGATTTTCAACCCATACAAAGTGTGTAAAGAATAGCAAATGCCAATTAAAAGTTTCAATCCCGCATGCGGGATTACTGGGGAGGCGGGACTATTCTTCAATCTATGAAATACAAGCGGGATTACTAGAGAGGCGGGAATAAAAGAGAAGCGGGAATATTAGAGTAAATACGGTATGTAATCCTGTTTCACAGTGGACGCAATAGGAGGATACGTTAAAATTGTCAAGGCCTGTATTTCTTGTCGTATAGTAAGCTTTAAAATGAAGCACCACGATTTTTAGCAGGATTATTTTGCAGGTAGAATAATTTTCACATATGTATCGCACAATGCAGTACTTATTTCGAAATTTAAGCATATCATTTCTGACCTTGCAAACAGAGAAAGAAGGCTGATCTGAACACGTGTTAATCTGACCAATCACACTTCCTGCCTTGTAACTGTTTAAGAAGGAAAAGGGTTTTCCTTTTTTAGCTTATTCTTTATCGTGAGTTATTTTTGCTACACAAACTCCATTTTCACGTATGTTGTCTTCGAAATTTAGAAAGGGTGTGTGCCAATCCTGGTGATCCAAGAAACGGAAGAACAAGTGGGGACGACTTTGAAGTTGGACAGCGGGTCAGGTTTCGGTGTAACCCTGGCTACGTATTGCACGGTAGATCGTCTGCAACATGCCGTCGCAATTTGAGGTGGAGTCACTCTCCACCACAGTGCAAAGGTAGGAGTTAAGGGCTATCTACACTCATTCCTTGCCAAGGTCTAACATAATTGCTAAAAGTGATCGGGGCACAACAAAATAGGAAGATGAAATTCAGGAACAAAGTAAAACGGCGACGAGAATCCAATTTAATTAAAAAAAAATTAAATAAAACGTATACTAATATTTCGCCCCGGCATACAGGGTCTCATCGGAGTATATGAAACGGACTAGCAAAAATACACGATTCCAATGTTGACAATTCCTGGATTTAACTACCTCTTAAAAATGTCATGGCCCACTTCGATCCACAACTGATATGTGTTTTCTTTCTTGATCTTTTAAGCCCCTATTCTGATGTTTTATACTCGGGAAAGTGCTAGCCGAAAAGCTTCAGTATGTTTAAAATGATTGCTTTTTTCAAAATCATCTTCCTTTTTGTTAATCGCACTATTATTTTGTTAATCTTTTCATGCCATCCTGATACCATTGCTCGACATTAGCAGAAAATGATTTTTTTATGATATAATGGTTATCAGACAGCTTTTTGCAGCTTAATGATGTCAAATGCCACCTAATGATATTCGGTGGTAAAAGCGCCATAAAGAGAGTCACAAAATTGTTAGGTGTGACTGTTGATAAGAAATTAAGTTTCGTGTTTGAGATTTGTGTCAACCAAGTCAACCAAAAGTTTCATGCGCTTGCTCGCTTGTCTAATTATATTCTTCAAGAAATCTTAATGAAAACCATTCCTTTATTGTCCACTTTTATGGATCTGTATATATGGTTGGGGCAACTTAGTCAAAGGTTAAGTGCATGATTGAAATTGCTAATGATTGAAATTTGAAAAAAGCACAGAAGAGCGGAAACATATGATGTGATATCATATATCATATCACATCATATCATATCACATATCATATATCATATCACATCATATAATATCATATCACATATCACATATCATATATCATATATCATACATCATCATATCATATCAAATAACATCATATCATATCATATCACATATTATATATAATATATCATAAATCATAAATCATATATCATATATCACATATCATATATCATATATCATATATCATATATCATATATCATATATCATATCATATCATATCATATCACATCATATCATATCATATCATATCATATCATATCATATCATATCATATCATATCATATCATATCACATCATATCATATCATATCACATATCATATATCATATCACATCATATCATATCACATATCACATATCATATATCATATATCATACATCATCATATCATGTCATATCATATCATATCATATCATATCATATCATATCATATCATATCATATCACATCATATCATATCATATCATATCATATCATATCATATCATATCATATCATATCATATCATATCATATCATATCATATCATATCATATCATATCATATCATATCATATCATGTCATATCATATATCATATCATATCATATCACATCACATCACATCACATCACAATCACAATCACATCACATCATATCATATCATATCATATCATATCATATCATATCATATCATATCATGCCATATCATACCATACCATATCATACCATACCCCCTCAAAACGCCTGAAAGGAAATGAAGACATAAATATGAATAATTATGACCTATTCCTTGGCCGCCGTAACATTTGCTTATTCAAACTATGTATGCCTATTATTTATAGTGATTGGTTGCGCATCACCTAAGCTTCCACAGAATGCCGTTATCAGAAGGAACAAAAAAGACAGTTACACGTATGGGGATCGAGTTTATCTTGCTTGCAGTAGAGGATATGGCGCCTTTGGGTCTTCTTACATCGACTGTTTGGGGAATGGATGGTCGAGAGCAAAACTTCAGTGCAGGCGTATGTATTATGTATTTCTATTATAAACAAATGCTGCACTTGATGGAAGCGTCATTAGTGTATTTTGATTCTCCTCTCTGGCCGAAAAGTCAGACGGTGCCCTTCTGTACTCCCTCAGGATTGAGATTTTACCAGTCCCCCTGCTACCTTCAGGGGCGTAACAAGCCCAATAAGTTTGGGGATGAAAGGTTCGTTTATAAGTTGCTAGTGAAAGCGTTATCAATGTGCATTTGTCTTTACCAGGGATGAGTTTCTAAGCAATGAAAAAAAAATCCGAAACTTGATTGCCTATGTAATATCTATTTAGCTGCTATTTAACTTCTTTTCAGCTTTCTTTAAAGTTTTTCATTAGTCTGCTAAACCTTCTGAAATATATCATAGAATAAGTAATTTCTATTTTTGTTATAGCAAAAAGCTGTGGATCCCCGGGTCAACTTACAAATGGTCGTGTGATAGCAAGTTATTACACGTATGGTAATGAGATAACATACGAATGTAAGAAAGGTTTTAGATTAAGAGGGTTATCAACAAGAACTTGCTTGAGTAATCAAAGGTGGAGTGGCAGCAGACCAATTTGTGAAGGTCAGTTGAGTCAAAAACATGATAATCGATGTAGATGAGCATGTTGTACGTCGAAGAATGGGCAATAATTAATACAATTAAATAACGACTTTGTACACAAATGAAAGATAAGTACGTCGTTTCGAGCATAGCTCTTCATCAGGTTAAAGGAATAGAAGGAGTAACGGCTAGAAAATAGAAGAGTAAATCGAAAGATAAACAACATACGGAACGTGATAGGAATACGACGTAGAATGTAAGACGAGATGGGAATAATAATAGCTATATTGGGAAAGAAATAATTTGTTGAGGTAATTAAGAATAAGAGTACAAAGTTTTAAAATAATGTTTCTCGAGGGTTTTGCGTTGAATGTTGTTATTAGGTGCGTAGCAAAGTCCAGTGATTTTCATTTGGCTGGTGTGTGGCTATCTTTGTTAAAATGAATGGAGACTGTGGCATCCGCTTCATCTTTTGTGGATTCCTTAAGATGTATTTTAAGGAATACATTAAAAATGAAGCACCGTTTCATACATTAAATCCTTTATCTTAAAATGTAAGATTGAGTACTTATAAATGCATTTATAAGCTTTTAACAATATTCTTTTTTTTCATTTACTTGTGCCTAAGTATCACTGCTTGCTCAAAATAGAATTTGTGCAAATAGATCCACCTCAAATTTTGCTTTCCATTCTGTTGTATTTTAAGCCACGCTAAATAGAAATTAGAGGAAATTTCACAGCTTAACATTCTGTTGTATTTTGAGCAACGTTAAATAGAAACCACAATTCTACATTAAGGTGTTTTTTCACAGCCAAACTTTGTGGAGCATCGCCACATTTGCAAAATGGACAGTTTGAAGGATTTTCGACGGCATATGGAGCAAAGAAAAGTGCTAGGTGTAAGGACGGCTATATGGTGCAAGGTAGCAGTCAAATCATATGCAATGGTGACAACTGGGAATATGACGGAGCGATATCAAAATGTGTTGGTAAGGCTCAAAGCTTTTTATTGCTAAGATCCCATAACAGTTTCTATTGCCAAGATCTCACAATAGAAATTCAAGAACACTTTTTACGAAATTCCAAAGGAAATTGAAAGTATCTTAGCCCCAAGCAGTGTTTTTATTAAGAAATTTGGTCTGCAAGGCATCACAAAAACTAATGCTGTTAATCTAGTAGAAAAATTCTTGCATGACATCAACATAAGAAATCAATTTTCATTTTGAGTTTTTAGCATTCTGGGGATCGTCCTTGTTCAGAAACTTTTTCAAAACCTCAAAAATATTCGAAATCTATTCGAATTCTATAGGTTTGGCGTTAGAATCTCTAAATCAGGCTGCAGTATGTTTGCAACTTGTTTCCTTTCTGAAAACACTCTTGTATTCAAGCATAGGAGATTCAGCAATTTTAAACTGCCTCGTATTATTATTTTTGAGGGGCAACTCACTGTTTAAGATCACCTAAGCTTTCGAAAAAAATCACATTTTTGTCATAAATTAATCACAAACATCACAAGAAATACATTAATCACAGAAACATCACTAGGCACATTGATTACAATATTTGAATCTTCGACCACTTTAATCACCTATGTTATGGAAAAATTAAATAATTAGAATGTCCCTTCTAAAATTTTTATGAGTACGTTCGAATATCTGCAAAACATTTTGAATAATTTGCATTATGTCTAGTTTTGAAATTGTCTCTTTCATGTAGTTTAATCACATTTCAGTGATAACGTGCAATTCTTTTGTGATTGCTGACGGTAAAGTTATCCCTGATAAGCAAGGAAGTTTTTTGCCCGGCGAACGTGCCTCGGTTGATTGTGATGATGGGTATGTGATAAATGGAAGGAGGTCTTTGGAATGCAAAGGCGATGGAAGATGGTCACATGATCAACCAGTGTGTTTACAGAAGAGTAAGTGATGAATATATTTTTGTTTCCAACCTTTATACTGAAAAGTTCATCTACAATAAAAGCTTGTCTAAGAAAAATTATTTTTAAAGTTTTGGCCTGGAATTGTTCTTTGTTTTGGAATTGAGAGTTTTGTGGAAATTTATCTAAGTATACTTTTAAAGAGTAAATACTAAGGAATTTTAACTTGTCAAGTGTCTAGGACATTTTGGCATCTATGTATTTACTTTCCACGTAACGGTTATAAGTTTTGGAGTCCCAGTCAATTGTTCAAAGCCAGAGAATAAAAGTTTTGGCCTTTTATTTCTTTTTGTTTAATTAAGTTCTTCTAAAATTTGTGTTTCTAATTGAAAGCAAAATGAATAAAGATATAAGTAGACGAAACAGTATTAATTTTGTTAGAATTATTTATAATTCTAACATATGATAATTCTGTACAGAATCTCTACCTCGTATAAATCTGTACTATTATTGGATGGAAAGCTACTAAAAGTGCTCTTCAAACAAGCCTATAGAATAAAAGCTGATGACGTGATAAAATATATTCTTGTGATTTCAGAATTTAATCATGTTAACACGAATGTTATAAAATACATGCATTTTGTAAAACGGTAGATTATAACCAGTATTGTCTAACTGATAATTGACGAATGTCGTCGTAAAGAGAAAGAGTACTGACAAACTCCTTCGCTTTTCTTGTCAAATAACTGTAATCTTAAAACTTTGTTCTCAGCATTGTGGTCTTTGTTCTCAGAGTTTATCATGTAGTGTTTTTTCAGATGGGATGGTCAACATTTAAATGTTTCAACAATATATTTTATGATATCATCACTTCAAAATCAATTGTTTTTTGTTTCCTTATTATAAAAAAGGTCAAAATTCTACATAACCATCATTATCCTTTGGTCGTGCCTCCTACTATTAACAAATGGCATATTTCACTAAATTAACCCCTATTGGCATTAAAAGTTAATTTGTTTTAAGAGTTATGGCTTAGTTTCGAAATGAGGACAGTCCTAGCTACAATTTTCAGACAGGCATCCGATTTTAACTTCCCCTGTTTGAGGTTGTAAGGCCTTAAATTTTAGTCTACTAACCAAGTATGGCATGGCGTGAAAAATTGGATTCTGTTCTTTGACCTCCTGATATTAAAACTTTTCTAAAATACCATGAATGTTGTCAACCATTATCCCAGATAAAACTACTATGATGAGCTCTTGAACCTCCACTGCTCCGGTGTAATGGTCTGGCGCTGTATTGCGCAGACTTGTGCGAGAGGACGTCTTGAGTCGAAAGAAATGAGATGTGTGATGAATCGTTGTGATCGTCCATAACAATTAGCTCCGCTATTTACAAATATCGTAAAATATATATACTAGCAACGAAAAAAGAATAATTACATAAATAAGCGAAGTACATATGAATACGAGACGAATGCGAGTTTTGAAGTGCAAGACCCTGTTACACCGGGACATCCTAGGAACTACAATCCCGGACAAAAATGTTGAGACAAAAGGCAATTTTTGTAATTTTCTACTTTACCTTGCCCCTGTAAGCTCGAATCCCCCTTTTCCCCCGATTCAATGTTGGATTTGTAGTTCTATCATTTCTCCTTCAAAATCATGCATTCAACATTGAATCAGAGGTGGCGCCAGAAATCTTCCGACAGAGGGGTTGGAGCTTCCGACAGGGGGGCTAAAATGACTAAAATAAGCAGTTTTCGTACGTTATTTTGTCAAATTTGCTCCGACAATAATCTAAAATTTCCTCCGATGGGGGGCTAGATGCTTCCGACGGAGGGGCTGTAGCCCCCCTAGCCCCCCTGGCGCCACCACTGCATTGAATTGGGGGAGGGGGGAAAGTTATTTTTGAAAGGAAAGTGAAAATATACGCTTTCCATGAAAAGTCTCAACCATTTTTGTTCGGGATATTGTAGACTGGCTCATGAACAAGCGAACAAATTAAAATTCTTAGCGAAAATTGAAAATTAGAGATTTAAACTTTTTATAGCTTGCAATAACTTTAAAGAGTTTCCAATAACTAGCAACGGAGATTATACTGTTCTCGTAACTCCATCGATCTTGATATCACGTTCGGGGCAGGGTTGCCAGATGGGCATTTACAAAAGAAGGCCAGACCGGTGACTAGCTCAGGCCAAAATGCACATAAAAAGGCCAAATCAGAAATTTCTCTATCAATAATTTCCAAATTCAAACAGGAAACAGGGAAACTTTGTGCTTTGATAAAATTCCTTTACTAATCATTAGATTAGGTGATAATATTTAATATCTTGGTTTAAATGTATAGTATTTATCTTTCAATTAAAGGTTGTTTGTTGCTTATTGTGTCAAATTTTGTATCAATAAAATATGCTCTGAATTTTCGCTGAAAAAGGCCAAATGTAAGAAGTAGGGCAAAATTCTCCAAGCAATTCAACACTGAAGAAAGCCAATCTGGCAACCCCGGTTGTAGGTGTATTCTGCAAAGACCACTAGTTTATAGTTTATAGTCCTCTGTGTAAACAGCACAGACAGTTTCGTTACTCCCTATTTGTATGTGTGATGGTTTCAATCTTAAAAAACCTATGTTTCGACAATCCCCTAGAAAGGTTTATCAATCATTATTCCTTGTCGAAGAAAGCCTCTAATACCCTGTCTGCTGCATATGCTCACGTAAAGTTTACGATGTGTTGTACTTTTAGCGTGTATAAAACCACGTGAACCTCGAAATGGCAGAATCATTGAAAAAGTATATTATATTGGCGACAAAGCAGAAATCGTTTGCTCTAAAGGCTATTATTTAAACGGCGAAAATCAGAAGTGTGGACAACATGGTTGGATTGGCTCTGCGCCTACATGCAAAGGTTTGTAAAATTTTCAAAAATCATAATTTCTAAATGAAGAGGCAAACATAATACATGCCCTGTTACTCAAGGGCAATCGACAGACGACCAAAGGTGGCTTATTTATCTGGCGTGATCTCACTTACACCTTTATTGATTAATTGGTGGACGAATACTTATGCCACTTCAGTGCAAGAGATGTATTGTTGTAATTTTTTTAATTTCTTACTCGGAGAAAAAACATCAACAAATCCATTCGATCAATTAAAATGAAAATGCTCCCTCAGAATACGTTGCCACATCCCTCATCAAATCAAGTCTTGAGGCTACATCCCCTCATCACAGGAAGAAATTTTTGGCCGTTGGTGCATCGGCACAAATTGCTTCACCAAACCCATACAAAAACCTAGCCATATAAAATGGTTAAATATATTGTAATTGCCATTTATACGAGGTAACTCGATGATCCTGTGTCTTTTCCCTCTTTGAATGACATCATATGAAGTAGCTGTTGCCTAGCCTTAATATTTCAATTGCTTATACAAAAAACCTAACCTATGATATAGCTTGATAGACTCAAGTACAAGCAGCTTAAAGTTCTTGGCAGGGAGTGGACAAGAAAAATTTGCTTTTCCCTACCAGAGAGCCGTTGCACCAGTCCGACCTTAGGGCCTGTTTACACGGAGGCGAGTTTCCCGGCTAGCCGAGTTTCCCGGCAAGGCAGGATAATTAACTGCCAGTGTTTACATGTAGCCGGGAAACTCGGGCAGGCGGGATAAAATTTATTCAAAAAAATGAAGTACTATGTGTTTGGTGCCATTCAAAAGTTGGAATCGAGAGGTTTGGCATCAGGAAGGTTTCAACAAACAATTTCAACAATCTGAGACGGACTTTGATGATAAATTTATGTTTAAGCTTGCTGTTGATCCATTTGCAAGGAATTTGTGCTCTTGTTTTGGCTTATGAAAAAACAAGAGATGGTATTTTGTTGAAAAGCTTTTTGCTGAAAAAAACAGGATCAATAAAACACTGAAGATACAAAAAACGTGAGATTTTTGAGGAAAAAACGCTGCACATAGAACGACACGTGTATATGTCAGGCAATTTTATCCAATTCGGGCGGGAAACTCAGCAATTTGCGTTTACATGAGTTGGCCGGGAAATTCGGCTGAGCGAGATCCCGCCTCTTTCTGCCTAGTCTTTCCTGAACGAAAAACAACAAGAACTTTGGTAAGAATCCCGTGACGTAAACACACTACCCTTGATATCAAAAGGGGAGAGAGGGACGAGAGAAGAGAACAGCGTGGAAACAGCATACGAAATAAGCATGATAATCCCGACTCAAAGCAATTAAACACACCCATCTGAGTCAAGGGACACTCACTTTTGTGCAGAAGCCTAAACTACAGAACTCCTTCTTCTCCATTATTCCCAATGGCATCAAAGAAGCACATAAGGACTTGAATACCAAATTGAAGCATGACAGTTGACACCCAAATGAGAATAATACAAATAAGCTAAAGTAAGAACCCCTAGCGAAATTAAATTCTACAACATTTGTTCAGCATAAAACTGCAGAAGCGATAACCGCTGATACGGAACGACAAAAACGATAACTGCAAAAGCGTCAATGAAAACCGGGATTTCAGTTTTTTCATTTAGTCTTATTTACATTCAATCTTATTTAATATATACAGAAAACACTACATCGCAATAAAAATTTGTTAAGGTTACTCAGAGATTAAAAATATAAATTGCCTTATCTTCCATGTCTGAGCGGATAACTGCCATGACGGCAACGACATAGCTGTTTCTAAATCGACCGAAGTATACTGACTGGAATCATGATGTCCTTGAAATTATGAGAAAAGTTTCACGTGTTTTTTTGGCACTGAGAGATGGGAGCGTTATAACCGAATAATTTGCCCAAGCTCTGACATTCGCACGTAGCAAACCGTTAATCTCGAAAAATTTTATTTTGAGTAAAGTTGTAGTATTACAGTTAACTAAGTTGAATGCAAATGATGCAAAATTGAATGCCACATTGACATTTATTGTAGTGAAAAGCTGCCCCTATCCAGAAAGTATTCTAAACGGTTACGTTACGAGAAAAGATTTAACATATGGTGGCAAGGTATCATATCAGTGTGAAAATGGTTTTCAATTAAAAGGGCCTAGCGAGAGAAAATGCTTGAGTAGTGCAAGATGGAGTGGTGACGAGCCAATTTGTGAAGGTCAGTCCCATTACTGATTTTGAATAAGTAACATATCTCAACAATGTCTTCCGATAAGCGTATTCCACAACAACCACTGGTTTAAAGGATCAACTGTCGACTTTTTAGTCCCGAAACAGGGAAACTGTGCCTAAACTTTCAAAACTCTGGCTATGTACTTAAACAGAGGAAAAAGTATTTAAAACAATGCAAAAATAAATTTGTAAGAAATTTCTATACACGTTAAGTATTTGAAGGGTTGGAAGGTATTATAAGAAAATATAAACGAACGTAGAAAAGTGACTGCAGGCACACATGCAGCTTTTTCATTTGAACTTCATTTTGAGGAACTGTTTCGAATATTTCGTGAACTGTAGTTCTCTCCGTGTATTTGCTTGCTTATACGAAAGGATAAGTCTTTGGATCAATTGATGACCTTTTTTATGTCTCTGTTACAGAGATACAAATGGATGAGAAGATTAAGATCCGTTATGTTGGGTGTTTCAGAGACGAGGCACAACGTGCATTACCCGATGAAAGAGATTTGAATGTTTATTCGTTAAATTCTGGCGAGACGTTCATCTCGAAGTGCATTGAAATCTGTAAAAAAAAGGGTTCCCCATATGCTGGTCTTCAGTTTCGAAGGGAGTGTAACTGCGGTGACAATTACAACCGGTACGGTAGAGCTCAGGAATCTGATTGCAGAGAACTATGCTCAGATGGAAAAGGGAAATGTGGAGGCTCGTGGAGAAATTCTGTCTACAAAACTGGTAACTATGCCCTTCCACTATTGTTGACTAATTGCCATTTTCCAAGGATGACAGCCTACCTGTAAACACAAACTAAATCTACAATCGAATTTGTAGCTACTCCGTCGCAAAAATATTAATAATCCCACTATATTAAAGTTATCTTACAGCAGAGCATTTCTTAATTCGCTCTCAGCACTTATCAAACAGATCTTAGGGTTCCCCAAAAATTGGAGATGTATGTCTTTTCATATTCAAAACCAAGATTCCCTTTCTAAAATATCTGTTGTTACAATGAAAGCAAAAAGCCAGATCCTAGAACGATGCAATATTTTCACTGAACATACAACTGCTCTCCTATTAAGTGGCAGCTCTGGCATCCACTGGGCTGGGAGTTAAACTGTGGTCGTAAAACTCTAAAGTAGCTTGCAAGCTAGGTACAGCACGCAAGCTAGTACATTTAGGATAAATAATGAAATATATCAAGGAATTCAAGTAAAATTGTATATTCCATTTCACTGTACATCACGCAAGCTAGTATATTTATAATGGCTTTGGCAAAAGCAAACATTTAGTAAACTAAAGCTTTTCATCTGACACTCTTCAGAGTTTAAAACGTCAGAACATAGACCAAAAACTCTACGCTAGGAAATATATATACCTAGTTATGGATGGAAATAGGCCAATCAGAAACACAAGCACATGACTGTTGAGGTTGACCAATCAGTTTCCAAAATCATGTAGCTCTATCGATTTCGGCTCTTTTTCTTCTTTTTTAAGTTTCATGAGCCGCTCTCTTTCTTCAATATTTATTTTGTAGATAGTGTTAAGGAAAGCTGGATTTCCTCGAACCTCAGTTCCATAGCTATAATACCATTATCGTCCTGTAAGTTATTTTTAACCACAGTATCATCGTTTTCTTTTCATTTCCCTGTGGTCTGGTTGGTCCAGCATTCCTTATTTGTATTGCTTCTGATTCTACGTCATCTCCAACTCTCATTTCAACAAGGTTAAGTAATGATCTGTCTGTATGAAGAGTTCTCATACAAATCATCTCATGTTCCTTCATTCTCATCATAAATCAACGACCTCGATTTCGTTGTCGTTGATGTTCTAACGTTGGAATTTATTTTGATCTATGTCTCTTATATATCGTTTTTGTGTACGCACGGGTTATAAAGTCAGTCTAGAGACGCCCGGCTATGCTTTTGTGTAGGTCTCTAGATAAGGCTATGATTTTGATAGGGTCGCCACTTCTACCAGATTCCGCAATCGGTGACCTCATAACGCAGCGGCCATTTACCTATATCGGCACGGTACCTTCAGGTTGCGGATGTCATTGTTTGTGTAGCCTTCACTAGATGATATGCCTGGCCAGGCCGAAGAGAATCATCCACCCATACAAATTTTCGTGTAATTCCCACTAGACGGACTGTCCTCCCGGACTAAAAAGTTTCGCCTACCCTGGTTTTCAAACCAGAGATTTTTCTTCCCCTAGAGCTACTGACAACGTTTATGTGCTTGTTCTGCACGGCACCTAGCAACCTTAGGTCTTTAGGACTTGCCTGACAATGCCTGACAATCATTCCAGTCCCCAGCAATGCTGTTACCTCTGGGGCTCCAACTATGATCGGGACAACTGCAACCTCAGACATGTTCCAGATATTTTTCACTTCTCGTCTTGACTCACAATAATTTTCTATTTTCTCCTGCTCTTTCAATTCCACTCTCTCTCCCCAGGTACAGCAATATCTACAATCTGAAACTTTCTTTTATTTTTGTACACCATCACAATGTCAGGCCTTCTGTGTTGGATGACATGGTCTCGTTGGATGATAAAGCCCCATAAAAATTTTCACAAAGTCATTCTCCATTATATTTTAGGTTTGTGGTTGTACCACTTAACTTTTCCTACGAACTCAAACTTCTAGCATAGTTCTAGATGTACAATTCTGGCAATGCTGTCGTGTCTTTGTTTATACTCTTTCTGAGCAAGTTTTAACATTCTGCTATCAGGTGTGCAATCGACTCATCCCTTCCCCTACACAATCTACACTTCTCCGAAACACCTTGTCCATCAATGTTCTTTTTTATCCAGTTGGTTCTGAGGGCTTGCTACTTCGCTGCAAGTATCATGGCCTCAGCTTCTTTCTTCAGGTAGCCTTTCCTTATCCATCTCCATGTATCTTCGCTTCTAACCTCTACAGTTTATCTTAGAAGCTTGCCATGAAGCTGCTTTTCCTTCCACTGTCTGTTTTTCTCCCTTTTCTGCTTCTTCGCTGCTGATACAGGCTCATCAAATCCTTGCAAAATCCTCTCATTCCTAGCAATTTTCAAAAGCCTTTCTTCTGACTGTTCTACAAATAGGGATACACTACGTTCTACAATACTAAGGAGACCTCTTCCGCCTTCTCTAGGGATGTATAGCCTGTCTACCTCACTCTGTGGATGGTCCATTCTAGTCATTGTCATATAATCTATCGTGTTTTTTTATCCATGACTATACATGACGTGTTTTTCTATCGATGGATGAGCTGCATATGTTTATACGCATCATCAGCAATAACACCAGTGAGCAATTTCCACATAAATAGTAAACTGGTTATTGGCCTGTAATTGCTCACTCCGTTTCCTTTGTTTTTGTCTTTCATTAATAAGGCAGTCCGACCAGTTGTCATCCAGCCTGGTACTTCACCTCTCATTACACAGTCCTGCAGATGCGATGCAATTCTTTACTGCAATGAGAAAAACCCCTTAAATCAATAACGATGGACACGATCGGGTGTGTTCATTTGATAGACAGCGTTTTTCTCAGTATTTAAGCGCTTCCAAGAAGAGCAATCTTCTGAGCATGTCAGCTTTTATGTCGCCAGGAATTCAGGAGTTTTTATATCACTAGGTTATTATTTTTAATCACAACGTAATCTTGTTATATATTCTTTATGCTTAATTAGACTTGGGCGAACCCTGAACTGACTCTAAAAATACTATGAACTCAAAAAATTTTATTAGTACGTTAAAACTTTTGTAAATTAGTTATCTTGTAATCAGGCTAGCCGACAGTAACTACCTGTAAAAGGAGTTACTTTTGTAAGTAGAAGAATATAATAAAAATGCTTCTATTTTTATTATTAAAGTTATTATTATAACTCTTTGATTTAAAGTGGGAAAATAAATTATAGTTTGAAAGACTAATTGAGGCTAATTTTTTTAGAAAATGCATACAATTTACTATCAGAAAAAATACAACTGGAAGAAAAGGGTTTTCAATAAAAAATGCCTAAATTTTGATAAATTTTCTTGCATAATCTTGAATTGCTGTTACTATACTCAACAGGGCATTTTCAGTCTATCAGATTCTCCGAAGTTCAGAACCACCTATATATTGGAATTTCGATTTATTTTTGTTTTGCATTAAGCCTATGTCTGTCCACACCCATCGCAAAATTGACCACACCCGTGGCATCACTGACTAAACCCATGACATCTCTTACCATAACCATGGCGATATTGACCTCACTAATGGCAACACTACCAAAAGGGGGTCCCTGTTGTCAATAGAATGAAATCCCTTTGGCACCGTTGCCTAGGCGAGAAATTCCGATGAGACCAAGCGAGAGCCAAATCAAACCATGGAAATCCCCCCCACCTTTTGTGGAAACCCTATTGTTTTACCTGAATATCCCTGGGAATCTTTTGCTTCGGTAGAAATCTCGCATGGTTTTTGCAAAAGTGAATTTCGCCTTTAGAACAAAAGCAACATATCGTTAGCAGGAATTGCAGGTTAATGCAGAGCCAACTCTTTAATATTATCAAGACTTTGTTATTTTAGGTTGCGTCCAGCCAGATCATCCAGAAAATGGCAAGGGCATACCTCGATTGGACTACAAAAGTGGCGATGATGCTGATTATTCATGCAATGATAACTTCAAATTGAAAGGAAAAAGACAAGTTTGCTCTGGATTAGATTGGTCCGGTGAAGTCCCAAAATGCAAAGGTCAGAAAAATTTGAAACTTAACACTATTTAATTGCTAAACCTGGGCATTCTATCTTCTTTTGTGATAGTATAATGTCAGGGCTAGAAATACTCCCAAGGGCTGCAGACTGCAAAATCTTTGCGTTCCGTAAAGGTCCCCAAAAGGTTTCTTCTTCACGACCATAGAGCCCTGTCTACATGTGTTACAGCATGTATCTCTCTCTTTCTATTGGTCGACTTAATTTGCGTAAAGAAAACGTTAGATTGTTCGCTGTGAAACAAATGAAGGTAGTTGTCTGCTGATTTTTGCCTAAATTCTCCAAGATATTTGTTAATTAATTTATATCTCCTTCTTTTGCTGGACTTGATCCCCCTATAAGATGCTTCAGATTGTTTGCTGTCAAACAAATCACTCACTAAATTCATTGAGGAATGTCTCTTTTTTTCTTCATTTGATGGACTTTGTTTCCTTGTAGGGTTTTTCAGATTATTCGATGTAAAATAAATTAATCTAGTCTTCTATGGGGTAAATTAAAATGTAGACCTACCTAGTTTTAAAACTTCACCAAAAGATTTATTTAGACTTGGTACTTATACCTAGTCCACTGTTGGCTATCGCACTAAGACTTTATGACTACGCAGATTGTTCAGCTGATTTTTTCTGGCGAAATCTGATGTGCTTAGTTACATAGAGTATATTCCAAGTCTGCAAAGCAAAGAAATCAACTACCTAAATACAGGGGCGAACGGAGTGGTCTGAGGTCCCTAGTGAATGTCGTGTTTAGGGGACCCTCTAATTAACTAAATTTGTACTCTGTGTCAAGTTTTAAAGCATTAGTACTCAATCTCTGGGGCTTTTCTGAAAAACCCAAAGAAATAGCATACAACAATATATGAAGATAAATTTTGCTCAGGTATCTTTTATGAACTCTAATGGTGGGATATGAAATGGAACTTCAAACCTTTACGTCAAAGACCCCTAACTTAATTTTTTGAAAAATAGAATCATTCCCTCGTGCATAAGTTATTTTCGATCTGGATCTGGAAACGAATGGTTAAGTTTGTCGTACAATTTCACCAAAACCTAGCCCGTATTCAACCCGGGCTCGTAAGAAAGATATATGTAAGAGATATAAAATTGATTATTTCGTATTTATTTAAATTTGTGCTTTGATTTTTGTTCAACTAATTGTGTTTATTCTCAGAAATTCGAACTTGTCCGAAGAAATTTACCAACTCCAAGTTGTATATAACGGCCGAGAAATATACACCCGGATCTTATGGTATCTTTCGATGCAAAGATGGATTTGAATTAGAAGGTGACAGTCGGGCAAGTTGCCACCGGAACCTAACGTGGAGTGGGAGAAGAACATGCCGAGGTAAATTTAAGAATAAAGGTAAAATTCTTGGGAAATTTTACCTTTCTTGGGGTTTATGGTAATAACAAATTCTTGGGGTTTACGGTAATAACAAAGGGAGAAATTTTAACTGTTTTTTTATCAGAGATGGGCAAGATACTCTAAGGAATATCTTATTACAAGATACTCGACACCCTCAAGAGAGTATCAAATATAACGTTTCAAAATACTAGTTACAAGATACTTCGCCAAAGGGTACATGACCAATGCCTTTTAGCATTATGCTTTATAGGTAGCATATTTGTCAACTAATTGTACATAAACACTGCAATAATGTTTAACAGAGTGTTTTTTATCTAAATGTGTGTATTTGGCAAGTCCCACTCCTAAAGCATTTGAAAATCTTCTCTTACCTCCTTATTTCAAAGCTTCTATAGTTCACTAGACGCTGAATTTTCTTTTGGGCGAAGAAGCATGACACTAAGTCCACCACAATTTATCGTTTTTCCAAAAGTATTTTTTGAAGATAGCACGAAAAACACTCACTTTTGAGCTTTCTTCAAAATATGGCCCCAAAGCCGTTGCGAGGCAGGCCTTGTTTGGGTTTACTACTAATTCGCCTGATTAAAAAAATTTACTTGAAATTCTTTAGCAAAAACTTTTAATCTACAAATAAGCTCCAAAAACTTCTAAATGAAAAATCAATGAAACTTAGTCCCGCATTTTATTCGTAAAACTCCTCAGAAATGAATGAAACTTGTTCAAGTTGCTAAAATTACTGTACTCAACATGTTGGCGAACTCTCTTTGTGTTTTCTGGCTTTGCGTGGTAAGGATGGCTTATTTGTATATTAAAGTGCCTATGCGGCGAAATTTACCATTCCAATATTTTAAAAGAAATCTATAGAATCCTTCACCTTTGTTCTTATACAAAAAACAGAATTCCGATAAGTTAAATGGTTCTTTTTTTATTGAGTGTCAAAGTATGCATATTTTGCAGTTGCGTTGCGAAATTTTATTTCCCGCTGTGACGTCACAGTGATGAGTGGGGGCGAAACCGTTTTGTCAGGCCTGTTAAATCACTTATTAGGTCGAATTGTGCAAATTGTGATACTAGCATGAAACTTTGCAATAATGGGCAGTTTGATACGCTGAAGAAGATAGGGTATAAACCCCAACTGAAAATTGCCCCCTTCAGCTATTTTTTAGCTGGGGTACTTTGCCCCAAGACTCTAGAGGCGATATTAAGATATCTCTGCTGTAAGGAAGTACAATGACATGAAATTTTGTAACAATGGGCAATTTTGCAATAATGGGCAGTTTGATACGCTTAAAAAGATAGGATATGGACCCCGACTGAAAATTGCCCCTTGTTTTATTTCTAGAGTGCAAGTTATGAATAGGCACTATATCACATCTTTGTCAACTGCCTTTATATTGAGAATTTCCGTTCTCCGTTTATGGCCAATGGTAGAATTAGGGTTCTGTATCAGAGTACCCCAGTCTAAAAATAGAACTTAGGGGCAAGGTATGATTTGGTTCTATATCACCTCTTTTTCAGCGTATCAAACTTGATGTTTTCTGAAGTTTTGGTAGTTGCATTACAATTTGCACAATTCGTCTGCTTATCTCCCTCACTAAAACCTATTATGTACAACTGCAGTTTCCTGATTGCTGTTGAGCCGACTCATCACTGTGACGTCACAAACTGGCCTTGTTTTGCGCAAGTACTACCTGATTTCAAACTCTTAAAAAAAGCAGGACACAAAATTTCGCTGCATAGGCACTTTGAGTTTACCGGGAAGGTCAAAATTCAAGCCTTTTGCCTTAACGATTTGCATCATTGAGTTGAAGGTACATTTTCTGTTGTTTCTAGTCGATTAAGTTACCTTGATCTGGCTCTTTTGTCGGAGGTCAGTTCAAATCAGGTTGTGTTTTTCACATCCATTGTATTCCTTCTCATTCAGTGCACTGTCATAAATGAAATATAACACAGTTTGACAATTATGAGGGGGCTCCAGAAAGGGGGAGATATACTACACCCTACAAAATGAAAATTCATTTTGTCACCCTTGATGTTTGATCGGCTGGGGCAATTGATCCCCTTGCTCCCTGCCAGCACGCCACTGGTACCAAGAGGCTTATGCTCTAGAAGAAACGCATTAAAATCGCAGCAGAAAAACATTGACATCATTTCCTCGTCCATAAGAAGCAAGTGATGCTAGGTTTATAAAGTTATACCTTCTCAAATGCTGCCCACGTTTTCTTGTAGAAAGCTGTCGGTTACCTGTATTTGGCAGTTCCATCCGACATGACAGTACATTTGAGGTAAAATGTCCTAGAACTGGGACTTTAAATAAGATATATCGTTGCAACAATGGAGAATTGGTTGCCATAAGAGTTTTCGGATGCCAGCAAGGTATGTATTTATGTAATTAGGTTCCCTCACTGTGTGATGCTTGATATATATCCCATACTTTTGGATCAGTGCATCTTTTCACCAATTTTTTCACGTCAGATCTTACATTGCCATGGGCAATAGACACTTAGTTTCCCTTCCAAAGGGACCGTTTCACATTTCTTCTTGACACATTCTGAGGAAACAACCCAGGTTTTGGGGTTAAAGAAAAGGTTACTGAGACAGGGACTCTAAACTAGGAAATTATTTGACTTTTTTTATCTTGAATACTTTATTTCAATATGGTACAAATATTTTTGGTACTAATTGATTAGAACGATAACCGTTCTTTTTAGACTGCGATAAACCATCGTCAATTGCAAATGGAAAAGTAACATTTAAGGGAAGCGTGGCAGAAATTCAATGTGGGCGCCAATTCAAGATTTATGGAAATAATAAATTGACCTGCCGGAATGGAAACTGGAGCGAAGAATGGCCTAAATGCATAAGTAAATGTGTTGTGATTACATTTTTTGTGAATCTTCATATTAATCGCACAATATCATTCCTACTTAGCTGAATGGTCTTTTTCTGGATCGGAAAGATACCAGGTTTGTGTACTAGATCCATCTGTTTAAACAAAGACATTTGATTGTCTTTCACGCCAAGCGATTAGTGCCAAACTTCAAGCATCTGCGTATAAGTTCGGTTTAATGAAAATATGACTGTGAAGTGTCTTTATGAATCATGTTGAACTATGTCTGTGAAATGTAACAAAGGTTTGTTATAGGTAAAGTATTTATCTATCAAGGTTACAACACCATTTGGATCCCAAGAAGCTTCGTCAAGTATTACCTACACCAACCGCGAAGTAGACATATAATTAATTTTTTAATGAAGACAAGAGAAATCTCCAATTATAACTTGTGTGACTTTAACTGCTTTCCAATCATTTTGATGCACTTTTGTCTATCGTATTACACAAGAATAAACCTAATAAGTGAAAGGGAAGTAAGACTTACTTGCTGATAAAACGTAGCCACATTTCCATTTCCTTATCTAGTAAAGCAGAGCATTTACAGTACATCACACATTCGACAATTTGATTTTAGAAGTATCCATCTTTTCTCTATTTTCACATATTCTGAAAATTGATTAATTTCCCAAATAAAAGCTAAAGAAAATTTTTTTGCAAAGAAACAGAATATTGAAGAAACATAGAAGTAATAAGTCTTATGTTTATAATCATAATGCACATTCTTCTGTCTTAGGCAAAAGAACATGCATTTCGGATTTTTCCCAGCCGCTTTCTACGGTGACGAAGCTTGTCCGTCATCTGAACCCTCAGATATTTGTGTGTGCCAGTGGCTACCAGATACAAGGGTCAGCAGTTCTGTTATGCAAAAATGGTCGTTTCCCAGCTACATTGCCCACATGTGGTGAGTCTTCTTAATGCTAAGTAGAGAACGTCTCATGCTTTATAACAGGGGCGTCGAGAAAGTGGGGGTAGCTAGGGCCATGAAAACTTAGTAAATAGATTAAATTGAAGGAATCGAGTTCCCATCATCTGAACTCTCAGACATTTATGTTATATGTTGCACTTGGGCAGAGGCTGGCTTTCGATGGCCCTGCTCTCTGATACCGACGACCTTAGAGTATCGCTATTCTTTAGAAGAGGGCATTTATTCTTTAGAAGAGGGCCACAATAAAGGATATGCTAATACATCTGCACGAATAAGTTTGGAGCGTACCAAGGGGGGGGGGATGCTGGTTCATAAGTTCATCTAAATTACCATTATGCTATGAAGACATAGATGAAGACAATTTTATAACCTACCAATAAGCGATCTTGCCTACGAACTAACAATTCTTCTGGCTTTCAAATATTGCTCTAACCTCTAGCATGTAACAGCCTTGCCCGGCCTGAGGCTGTACATTACCACAGTAAACAAAACGAAAAGAAGACAACGTTGTTTCAAGTTCCGTCACAAATTCTCAATGCTTCTTTAACTCTTTCGAATATGCTCTAACAACTCTCAATGCTTCTATAACATACGGGGGTCGACACCCTCACAAGAATACTAAGATTATTTATCAGTTTACTCTAGCAGCTAAATGTAAAGTATTACTTCTGCTGATTAGAAACTTTCAATAGTCTTTTTATCTCCTCAAAACTGATTCTTCTAAACTAGAAGACAAAACGTAGGAGATCTCAGATTTGAATTTTATGCGATTATTACTCAATATATTCTACCGCTGATCTTGTAGAATATGCTGCTTATGTTTTATCTTCTGGCTTCAAACCCTTTGGTGAGAGAATTGTGATTTTCTCGATTTCTACAAGGCCTTCGGTTGCTTCTAGATGAAGGTTTTTTAGCAAATCTCCGTTAACATTTTTCTACTTTTCAAGTTTCCATATTTTTGCCTGATGACTTATTCTCTTCAAAACTTACTTCTATTGTCAACATTCAAAAGAATATCTCAGCTTCACTTTCGACTGATGATCTGACAATGATAGTGTTGCAGGATATATTGTGTCCTATAACTCTAGAGTAATCCAGATACTTGAGAACGAAAGGCGACTCGAAGAAAAACGTGCGACTCGTACGTGGGTTAGCGATTGACTGATCTTAATATAAAAGAACAATAAGACTTATCGTTACGAGGTTACAGTTACGACTTATGCACATATCATTACGAGGTTGCAGTTACATTAGTCCTACTACAATAGTGGGGGGGGGGCGGTAAATAAATCTTTCTATCTTTAATCAAAGTAAAACCACCCAGGCTGTTACTTGACTTAAACGTATCCCTACCTGTTTTCCTGTTTCGATAAATGGTTCCAACTTCGATATTTGCTCCTTTATCACAGCTTGGCATCCCGTCATCGTTTGAAATCTCGAATTTCTTCTATTGCTAATCGGACATCTCATAAATTTAGGTTCGTCTATAGCACGAGTGCGCTCTTCATACTTCCACGTTGTCTCCAATTTGCAAATCAAAGTTTTATTCCTTCTTTGAAGTACTGCTTTCGTCACTGTCTTTTTTGACAAAATCCAGTCAAAAGACTTTATGAGTCTATATTAAACTTTTCTACAAGATAAATAGCTTGAAGATTCGTCTGAAGATCAGACATAAATATTGACTGACGGTGCAAAATTAGAATTGATCCTTTCCTGTGTGCTCAGACTTGGTTCTGGAATTGTGAAAGAAACCTTTCTGGTTGTGATGTTATAATGAAGAGCCACTTTATTTTGCATTTGATTTTATTTATACATTATTTTCATTCATTGAAAAGAAAAATTATGATATAGAAAGTTATGAAAGATAAGAAAAACTACATTGCACTAAAAAAATTTGAAGGTTAAGCTAGTACAAATTGTCTTTACCTTTGAAGATTCTATTTGATCGAATGTTTTGCTCTGATATTTTTGCAGAGTGCTTAGTTTGGTATCAAAGAGGGCTCCCCATACCACGTTAGCATACCTTAAGTGACATTCAACCAGTGCTTGATATAAATTGAGCAACTGGGATTACAGTAAGATGTTTTTCAGTTTCCTAATCGATGCTAAGCCACCCGCTACCTTCCCTTAGACTGATTGGTACTGTTCGCCCCAGCACAACTTATCGCCAACCGCAAGTCCTAGGTACTTCATTTTATGAACCTGTTTTATCCTAGTAATATCCAAATAAAAGGCTGGTAGCGCTGGCGATTTCCTCTGCCTGCAAGGATGGTCAATAACCATGAACTCGGTTTTCTCGGGGGTGTATACTTAGCTTATTTATTCTCATCCACTCGGAAATGTTTTCAAATTCAGCCTGAAAGTTTTGTATTACGTTTTCAAGCTCATTCAACGAGAATGAAACTTCTGTGTCATCTGCATATAGGTTAGCATTTTAGAATTTTAGGCAAGTTTCAAAGTCATTAAGGTACAATATAAAGAGAAATGGGCCTAGACAGGACCCTTATGGTATTCCACATGTAATTCGACGGGCGCTCGACTTTGAACGTTTAAAGAGAAGTATTGTTGACGGTTACGGAGGTACGATCTAAACAATTTTACCTCAGTGCCCTCTATTCCATATACTTACAGCTTTCTGGTCAGTATTTCATGGTCTACTGTGTCGAACGCTTTCTTTAGATCAAGAAATGAGGCAAAGTTGACATTTTTTGTCTATATTCTCGTACTAGTAGTCTGAAACATTTAACCTCTTCCCTACCTTTTAGCAATTATATTACCAAGATATTAGAAGCCGTGAGAGGAGAATTCTCAAGAATGGACATGCTCCTTGAAACCAAAAGGGTTTTTTGTACCCCGGAAGTAAACAAGAAAATTTTTTACAGAATGGGAATTTATTGACGTTTCTTGCTCAATTTGTTTATATGAAGCTTATAGCTATAAAAGCAGCTTATATCCTTGTAACGTTATTCATGCTTTAATATTTTAGAGCCATCATCTTGCAAAAGGTCTTCTACAGCTATATCGTTTCAAGAGTTATGCAAGTCAAATGAAAATGGTTAGTGAGAAAATCAAAATCTATCATCTTCAGATATTCGCTATTTTGCAGTGGAGCGCTTTCGTTTACTGAGCAGTGGATCCCTTCTTATTATGATTATGACCATGGTCAGGCTCTACGAAATTCGCCTGACCAATGTCATAATTTTTTTTTCAATGGAGCTTGGTGATTGGCCAGAAGTTTCACGTGAACATATTGTTTTTGATATTTATTCTGGATGACCTTACCAATTGTTAAGGAAACAGTAAGTTCGAGGGTAATTAGTAGAATTCTGTGGTAATTATTTTTTCCCCTGTCTTAAAAACAATCAAGCGTCTAACTTCATAGGCTAAGGATACAATCATGTTTGTTTGGCAGAAATGAAACCTCAGGCTCATTCCAAATGGCCTGACCCCGCCTGACCTTCTTCTTGAATTAACTTCAATGCACATTTAGTCAAAAAGTTGTCATGGCTCACAAACCTGAAGCGGAGCGAAAATTTGCCGTGGCTCAATTTTGTGATATTTTTGCTGTAATTCTCAAAGATGGAAGTCACGGCATGGAAGCATTTCCTGTGCAAGTTCTTTTCGCCCATTTATCTTTTAAACCGTCTAGTGTTAGACTATCAATCAAGCAGAAAAATATGCAACGGGATGATAGGCGCATGTCTGGAAGTTTCACTCAGATGATACAGAGGGATGTAGTGTAAGATGATTGGTACGAAAATGCCACGAATGATTCGTGTTTTCAGAAATCAGAATTAGGCGTCTTATTTTTGGGCGTGGTCAAAATGGGCGTGGTATTTCCGTATCTGACCGTGACCGTCCCATCAAATCTGGCTTCGCCACTGTTTATAGATCTATGAAATCAGTGTTTAATCTATTTATACATACTATAATAATGGAAACTTTTCATTTTGAATTCAAGTTAAAACTACAATTACAAATCTCACTATTACAAGGTAATTTGTAACTGGCTAGCCTGTGTTTACAAAATAAAAACTATTACAATCGTAGTAATGAGAAAAGAAAAAAAAATGTCAAAAGAGGAGTAGCTCTGGATTAGTCCAAGTTTTGTTTCTACAGCAGAATATATAGTATGTGGTGCAAATGGAGATGCTTGTAAGTTTGGAGATGAGATAGCGTTTCTGTTGATGATCAATGGACAAAGAGTCGTACATGTCGATGAATGAGCTGCAGGAGTTGCCAAAAATACCAAGTGAACTGATGGAAAGATTGACAAACGAGACTGACTTATAATAATAATAATAATAATAATAATGGAAACTTTTCATTTTGAATTCCAGTTAAAACTACAATTACAAATCTCACTATTACAAGGTAATTTGTAACTGGCTAGCCTGTTTTTACAAAATAAGACTATTACAATCGTAGTAAAGAGAAAAGAAAAAAAAAACGTTAAAAGGGGAGTAGCTCTGGGTTAGTCCATGTTTTGTTCCTACAGCAAAAAATGTAATAGGTGGTACGAATGGATATCGTAGAAAGCTTAGAAATGAGATATCGTTTGTGTTGATCATCGATGGAAAGAGAGTGACACATTTCAAGGAATGAGCTGCATGAGTCGCCGAAGATGCCAAGAGAGCTGATGGAGAGATTTACAAATATGACAGATTTGAACCTTGGTCTTAGATCTGAGACAAGGCGAGCATATTTTGAACGTTTCCTTTCTGCATTGCAGTTAAGGTTAGTTTCAAATCCTATCGTTAGTTCCAAAACATAAAGAATGTTTTCCTTTGTACGCAGAAGTAGATCTGGGCGCAGATTGTCTCCAGTTATGATGGATGGTGAGGAGAAGCCAGGTATATCGGCAAAAAGAGAGGATCCCTCTATTGCTTTCAAGGAGGTTGCAAGAAAATTTAGAGCAGAATTATGACGCCAGGTATAACGACCTTGTTCGAGATAAACTTTGCAGCCTGCAACGACATGAAGTAAAGTTTCGGGAAGAAGGCAGAATTCGCAATCAGATGATTGGCTTAGGTTCCAAAGGCTTAGATTTTTGCGCGTAGGGAGAGTATTGTTCAGGTACTTGATGGTGAAGTTGAAGATGTTCGTGGGTAGGTTGCTCTGCACAACAGACCAAAGACCATTGAGCTTTTTAAGAGAGTGGTCCAACAGAAATGAAATAATAGCACCCTGGGATAGTAATTGGTGTGCCAAGCGCTCTCTACTGTCTGATTTTACTGCTTTGAGTACATCTTTGGTGTTACGGTAAATGTCGTATTGCAGATTCATCCCACTACTGGTGTTTTTCCATAAAGCTTGAATGTTTGTGTTAGGAGAAGTTCGGAGGGCATTGCGTGAAACAGTTTGGCATTGAGTGAATTTGACAGAAGGTAGCTGAAGATCGAGACCAAATTGATTTTTAGAAAGAACTATACTAGTTAAAGTAGCACTTATGGGAAGATCAAGCCACTGGCGAATGTATTTAGAGACAAGATTATCGAGGTTCTCAATGACCCAGGTCTTCGATAGGTCTGCAACAGTGAAGTGCCAAGAAACTTTGGACAATACATATCTGTGGTACAATAGAAGTTTATTTTTGGGATGCAGAGGCAAGTCATCAATTTCTTTCAGAAGGCTGGGAAACATTGATAGCAGTTTTTCTTTATGACTGCCGTTGGTCATTTCGAAGTCAAAGAAGCGGCCGAGGTATTTGAAAGATTCTCCATTTTTAACAACAGGCACGCTTTGGTTGTTCACGAAAAGCTTTGGCTGGAACTGAAGAGATCTTGTTGAGTATTTCTTAATGCCAAAGGTGACACATTTATCAACCCTTATTACAAAGTTTGCCCACTGACACCATCTTGTAAAGCAGTTTAACAGGAGTTGGTTCTCCTTTTCACCACTAGTAACAACCGCAGCATCATCAGCAAATTGGAACCAATGCACTGGCTGGAACATGCGATCGTTTTCGTCGTGGGGAGAGAAGCCAAGCTGTTTATATTTTTCTGCTTTTATGTATTGAATATACGTATTGAAGCATAGATTAAAGATAAGAGGGCTGAGGCAGTCACCTTGAAGAACACCACGACAAACGGGAATGGCAGGGGTTTGGAATGTATCTGTGAGGATAGAGGTCTTGAAGCCCGAATATAAGCTGGAGACCAGAGCCTGAATATGAGATGGTATATGATGGTACGAAAGAATAGTGGGAATCAAATTATGGTGGACCTCGCCGAAAGCATTTTTTAGATCAAGCAGGGTAACAACCAAAGAGCGCTGTTTTGTGCGAGCTTTATTTATCATATGACCCATAAGTGCCGTGTGTTCTAAAGTACCTGATATCTTGGGAGTGAAGCCTTTTTGAATTTAGCTTTCAATGAAACCATTTTGTTTCAGAAAGTTGAAAACAGAGTTACGTAGGCAGGAGGTGAAGATTTTCAAGGGAACAGATTCTAAGGTTATTGGTCTGAAGTTAGAAGGATCATCTGTATTGTCTTTTTTGTGGATCAATATCGTTGATGCTTTTTTCCATTCGGATGGAACACTGCCAGATACCCAAATGCTATGAATAATTTTGGTGAGGAAAGATCGTAGGTAAGGGCAACGTTTGAAACAAATGATGGATATCTTATCAAGGGGACAGGGAGAAGTGGAGGATTTCATGCGACGTATAATAGAAGTTATCACTTGATATGATGGAGGTTGTGTGTCAAATGGATAGGATGGTTCATCGAAAGAAGGTATCCAAGAAGGAATAGTGAATCGTTTATTTGGATAAAGGGCAGAAAAAGCATTACTAAAGTACTCGGTGCACCGTGTAGCAGAAAATGATGGCAGAAGTGATGATTTACTTTGAAAAAAGCGTTTGACGTAACTCCAAAAATTTTTAGCGATGTATTTATCATGATCAATTGTGTCAGAAGTATTT